AAAAATAATGAACACTTAGTTGGTTTTTTTTTTTTTTTTTTTTGCTTTTGTTTTTAATTCTTTGTTGACGTTATTTACATTGCCCATTGGTAACACTGTTTTCCAAGCAGTACGTTTTTTCTCAGTGCAATAAACGTTTCAATAAATCAGTAGTTACTGTAATTGAAATTTACAATCCCCAAATAGGACAAGACACATCGTCTGTCTGTTATTATTTAATTATTCTCTCCAGGAAAATAAATATCTCCAGGCGTCAATTATTCGGATGACTTCCATTTTCTTTGTCAATAGTAAGTAGGCAATGAAATTGTTTGATCAGTATTCACAAACTATCTTTATTATGTTCATTTTTAGCAATGTTATAGTCATGTGATCACTGCTGCATGAACATGTCTGCCGAGTTTTCAAAACTAAACCATTATCTTTATTCAAATGTTCAAGTCTCTTTACCAAAAACGAGGAGGATCATTCATTATCCATGAAAATAACCAGTCCAATTGCTATGCCAGACTTCAGATATGCATTTTGACATGTCTGGTAAAAAAAATAAGTATAGTAAAAATAATTTCTCTTTCAAAATTATTTTTTTATCAATTTCATATCCATCAATGGAAGCACAGAATACTTCTAGCTTTTTATTATGAAGAACGTTATTAAAAAGATCTAAAAAGAATCAGTGTTGTAACAGAATCAGTGTTTTAACACTTAAGTTTAACATTTATTTTATTTATTTTTTTGATACTGCAGAAAAATTAAGAACAGAATAATTTTATTTTACAATCAATGGAAAGAACAGTTTGCTTCTTCTATATTTTGAAACAATTATTTACATAATAAATGCGCTGAACAAAGTACCTTTATCGCTTATTTTTCTGTGACTCAAAGTTTAATTAATTTTGTATTTTTTGTAAAGTAATAACCTATGAATAATCAAACGTTTCAAATAAGATTGCCTATTCTGAAAAAAACATCTCACTTTTCAAGACCGTAAACACGGTATTTATCTTTTCAATCAGAATTCTTTATTTCCAATTTGTTGACATGTTAAAACAATATAGTTTTATCTACATACATTTCTGCAAGTGAATTAAAGTCTTAGAAATAACGTCTCTCAAAGGTGTAAATTTCCATAGCAACTGTCAGAGTAAAAGCATTAAACTTCAATAAAACTTCTCATATGCTTTTACTCTGAACAAGTAATATCGAATTTATCAAGTGTTTATAATGGAAACAAGAATATCCATTATATATTCAAATATCGTATTTTTTCTTCAAAGATAAAATTATATAAATCACTTTTGCCAAAAATAATTTGAAATAAATATGTTTAAAGACGGGCAATCTATTTTCTTGTCTCATTGTGATTATACATGTTATAAACTAATACGATATTTATTGTACCCCCTTTGAAAAACGTTATTTCTAATTCTTTAATTCACTTGCAGAATTGGATGTCAACAACTTGGAAGTAAAGAATTCTGAATTAAAAGATAAATACCGTGTTTACAATCTTAAAAAGTGGGATAATGATTTTAGGAGTGGCAATCTTTTTTTAAACTTTTTATGATATCTAGGTAATTACTTTGACGAACATTTAGAAATAAACATTGCAAGTGGCACAGGTACTTTGAACAGCGCATTTATTTATTTTTTAAAAATGGCTTGAAAAATATAAAAAGAGCGAACTGTTTTTTCCGTTGATTTTGAAATATTGTATTTTACTCTTAATTTACAAGTAGTATCGAAGGGGGATAGCTAAATATTAAAAGTTTTCAATAAGCATGCGTTTCCGTTGATGGATATGCAATTTTTAAGAAATTAATTAAAAGGGAACATTTTTAATATACTTCAATTTAAAGGAGTCATGCAAATGCAAATGCAAATCTGAAGTCTAACACATCGAAGGCGAACATGCTTCGTGTGTGATTTGTTTAGTCATTATCCTGGATTGCTTCTACCTTCGTTGTTGATAAAGAAAATTGAATATTTGCATAAAGAAAATAATGATTTAGTTTTAAAAAATCGGCAGAGGTGTTTTTTGCAGCAGTGTTTGCTTGATTATTACATTGCTCCAAAAGCCGAACAAAATAAAAATAATTGGTACAGACTGATCAAAATGTTTCATTTCCCATTTACAATTTACAAAAGAAAATGGAAGCCATCGGAATATTTGACGTGTAGGGGTATTTATTTTCCTGAGGAGAATAATTGAATAATAACGGACAGATGATGTGTCTTGTTCAATTTGGGGATTGTAAAATTCTGTTGCGACTGATTTATTGAAACGTTTATTGTCTTGAGAAAATTCGTACTGTTTTATGTACAAAAACAAATGCTTGGAAAAGAGTGTTTAATAAAGTCGATGCGAATAACGTCAACAGAAAATATAGAAAAACACATAATATGAAATTAGGCAAAGCCAATGAACGTGAATGCCTGTTTAATTAATCGTTCATTCTGTATTTTACATTTTCCGTTTTAAAAGTGTCAACTCATACGGTATTTTATGCAACGTTCTGTTTTTACTCGGAACAACTCAACGATGATTATTTAGCCGAAAATTTCCGATTGTTACGTTATCGGATTACCCCGCCTATTATCATTAAGTTACATTAAAAACGGTGGCGCCCAACTAGATATATGACACTGAAAATTTCACTGATAGGCATAGCATCTGTCAGAGTAAAAGCATTAAACTTTAATTCAACTTTTCATTTTCATTTGAGTTTCTTTAAATAAGTAATATCGAATATAATTATAACTGAATGTTCGTGTTTTGATGCTTCTCTGTTAAGTGATATTTAGTATATGGATATTTGATTCGTTGTTTTCGTTGGGTTAATTCGGTCGCCGCCAGCGGGCTTAATGTTGGTACAACATTAATATTTAAAATGTAGTTCTTTCCAAGCAGTCCGAATTTAAATGGGACAGATGTTTGTACTTTGAAGTTTATTTAGAAGGAAGAAAACTGTCAAGAAAACATTAACGATAACTAAATAATTTGTATTAAAAATTTATATTGGTACACATCATTTACGAGTTAGATATGAAACCACTATCTTTAGAGGTTAAATACTTTATTGTTGTTCGCCATTATGCGTAAATGGCCTCTTTATTAATGTTCACCCTACAATGGCCTGTGTGTCGCGGGTTCAAAAGTCATTTTTTGACTTCGAAGGTCAAGTAACCTCACTGCGCTAAAGATATATCTACCATATTTGGGTCACATTGATACTTAATGAATAATGATAAGTCAATGCCAGAGTCTTAATCTTGGTTTTAATGTTAAGTACAGTGTAAAAAAATGCCAGGTTCCCGTTATATCGTTCACACAGCTCAGGTCGGGACACTACCTCTTATAATATTAGTTATAAAAATTGTTGACAGGTTATATGGCCCTATATAAACGGTTGTTTAGAGATATTACCCGATGCGCTAGGTGAGGGTTATTTTACAAACAACCGTTAATATTCGGCCATACAACCTGTCAAAAATATTTAAAACGAATTTATAATACTGCAAACTTCCTTTTAAGAGAAAAAAGTGAGATTTCTTTATAAATTGACAGCAGCCGTGTATATAAAACTATATTATAGTCAGAATTATCCATTGAGAATTTACGTTACAAACGTGCAGTATTATAATATTTGTAGTTTATCGGCAAGTAAGATAAGTACCGTGCTGTGCATATTAGTTTCATGATACACCTCATGCGTTTTATCTTTTGCACGGCATGCGTAAAATCATATTCACATTCTTTCAAGTTTAAGGACTGCACTTTGTTCAACTAACACATTAATACTTGTAACAACTTGTAACACATTCACAAAGATATAAGTTTTGCATTTTTTTCCATTTTCGTAAGTAATTAAAGGTTAGGATAACCTGAATTACTTGTCAAGAGATCAATAATACATTCGGAATCAATTGGACTAAACCGTATTTAAATCTTAATTACATTTGTCATAGAAACCGAGGCCTTCATTACAAATATGATATGACCTAAACGATAAGAAACACTTTTGCCTAACCATGGCTAAATTGGTCGCCAATACGGCTCAGTGTATAAGTCTAAAGTAAACAATGCGTGGTTACATGAAAATCTAAGTCTACATTAAATATCTAATACCATAAGTCATACAAATTTCTGGATAAAAATTAATCTCTCGGAAGCACCAATCACAACAGAATTACATAAAACTTGCAGACTCGGTTTGACTGAGTCTGTACATTATTACCTTATTTTTTGTATACAAATTGATGCTGGTTCGATACATTTATTCAGCTTTAACACGAAGGTTTGATTACTAACGAATAATACACTGTTACTATTATTTCTTTGTTTGTTTGTTTGTTTCATTTTACGCCTTTTCCCAACAGTATTTCAGTCATATAGGCGGGTAGTTTCCTGAAGAGTTACACCAGTACTAGACTTCCTTTCTCCGCGCTTAACTACCAAAGCATCTCCCGGGGAACAAAACCACGCCAGATAGGTAACTGGATTAGAAGTCATCGACTCTAACCCCTCGACCACGGATACGGTACAATTATTTCAATTAATCTTTAAGATGATATTATACAGTGGTCAATAAATGTTAAGCTCGTCTTCATTAATCATTCTAGAGTGCCATGCTATAACAGCTATAATCTTACACTATAATGACGGAGATTACTTATTCTTTTATGTTAAGTTCATACTTTTCATGTCATTCTTACCTTGACAGGTTTTCATAAAAATATACATTAATCATTTAAAAACGCCAGAATAAAAGTCTTAATCATACAGATCACGTGAAAAAAAAACAACCAGCCACTGGAAAAAATTAAGATAAAATTATAAATTTTTGATAAACTGATAGTCTATTGATCAATTTAATCGGTTTAATCTTAGTTCACTGGGATTTCACAAATATCGACAAAGTCATTTTAAGGCTTTCCAATAAATCTTAAATGTTCACCATAAGTCAGACTTTAGTTCACTTTTTCATTTAAATTTGTCAATCGGTGATCACTTTCAAACAGTTTTGGAAACAGATATACAGAAGCATACATCATGTGCGGTGGATTTCATTGATACTCAGATATGGTGAGTTGCTTTCCATATATGCGATAATGACAATTACAAATCCTTTAATTCATTTTTATGGTTTTATATCATACATATAATGCTCAAAAGAAGATTAGTTCCAAAAAGCATTATTTGTAAAGATATTACCGAATTTACATTTCTATGTAGTATGCAGTATGAATTTTACATATTTATTTATGTTTTAGAAGCTTATACATATATTAAATCTAATTTAGTGTAGCAACAAACTAAATTACAACATACGGCTAACACAGCTGTTGCTTTATTTTAAAAACAAAAAATATACAAGTAAAAATTGGAAATAAGACGGATTGGCAAAACGGATGTATGCCCTTTTTTTATTTAAATCGTTTTCACGATATCTATTTTGCATGTGTCTAGTTTGTAAAAAGATAATTGATAAACCCTGAGTGTATTTTGAGTTCAACCTTGCTGTTTTAAATGTTGAAAATTAACGACATTGTGTACTCTTAAACTTTATACGAATAGCATTGCTCATATATTTTAACTGTTTAACTGTTTTATGTTTAATATATAATTCAGAGAAAATGTTTACCACTAGAATCATGTTTTATGTGTTATTCTATTCATACTTTCTACGATGACAACAATAGAAGAGCATGTATACGTCAACATTTTGAAGTCAAAAGTTTATATTTGTAACGTATCTTATAACATACCCGGGCCTATATTGCGACTCCGTAAAAATGGTATTGCACAGCCGTGAATATATTTTGACGTTATATATAAACATAGCTTTAAGAAGCGCTTAATGTTAGTGTTATTCTATTGGCGCGTCAATGAAAATTTGTTCTCTTCAAACGGTCTTTATTTTATTGTGCGAGACTAGTTCAAGAAATTCAGTATTGAACTTACACTCATTCAATATCCTCTGTATAATGATAAGATATTGAAATGCGATGGTCTGAAGCGTGTTTTAAAAATGAAGCTTTTATTTTATTTTATCTAATTTTATCTTTTTAATTTATTTCATTTATCAATAAATACAATATTCGCTTTGTCATTCACAAATCAATTTTCGAATTATTTTAATTTTCAAGCTTAAGCATTCACAATTTTTTAATTCAGATAGAAATTTACTTGAAATATAAATTTCGATATTCGATGTAAGTGTTAAAAATAAACTAATTACAATTTGACGTCGACAACACTATCCCTTGACTGGCTTGAATTTACGTTCTCCGCTGTTGATCGTTATTTTCATATTTTATTCGTATGTATCATAACCTGTTCACGTCAGTGTTAATTTTAACCATGACATAGTCGTTCGTATAAGTAGTCCGATTCGAATCAGATTAGGACGGTTAGATGACTTTAGAAATGATAATTTGTGATTCCTTAAACGTTCTTTTAATGTTTAATATTTTATTGTACATTGTAGTTAATGGAATCTTTCAGGCAATGAAAACCTTGATGTTAGTATTTGCTAACGCCATGTTACTAGGCATGTTTTATCAACAAGTTGAGTGTAATGGGCAGTTCTATGGCGGGTCCATGAGCTATGTTATGGAAAAACAAACTGACGACAGCCAACTGGTAACTAGTTATTGCAATTTTATTTCATTCTTGCTGAATTAAAACAATTCTGGTTTGGAAATATATGGTTCCGAAACCTGAATACGTATACACTTTGTGTAGTTATTTATACTTTATCTCTTTCAAACTTTTGAAAATGTATGAACCGTCAGGAAAGCTAAATAAAACTTGAATATTATGATAATAAAAAACACTTTTATAATCACCAGGTAACCATTGAGCTCATAACTGGTTGGGTGCTTGGGGAAGGCCCCTGTGGCCCAGGTTGCACAAAATCTGATATTGGAAGATCTACTCGTTTAACTAGACCACAAATGGTTACAACCAATCCAGACTACCTTGGTAAATTTTTAAAAGAACATAAATCAAACGCTTCAACTCAACTAATTCCTATGGATACAAGAGTAAATTCCACATACAATGAAACTGTTATCGCTATCAGTGAAAAGGGAAATTGGGAACAAGAAATAATGCACTTCAGCGTTATTATGGAGAAAGACAAAGAAAGAATGGATATCATGTAAGTATAATAAAATTTATGTTGATATTAATTATCTGATGTCATAGCATGAAATTGGTAATCAATAAATAGATAGTTCGTGCATATCTACATGCGAGGGAATATCCAAAATAAAGTAGACTTTTATAGGCTCAATCAAAGCGAACCTGCGACGTTTTCAATATTGCTGTATTGGCCTTTCTTTTAGGATAAAGTAATTTATTGAGTAAAAATTGCAAGCGCGCTTTGCGATTTATAACCATATTTACACGGCACGGGCATATTTAGTTATAAAGGTCTCAATTCAAGACAAATACACTACAGAACTTGCGCCAAACGAAGCAATATCACTGTTCGATATGCTTATTTTATTACGTTTACTGAATGTAGCCATTTTAAAACAACATAAATTTCGGTTGTAACCAGTGTATAAGGCTTAGAAATGTCGATGTCACACCAGCGGCAAATCATATAGTTCTGCCATTTTCTTGTACATATATCAAAATAAACTCCGGAATTGATAGTGTCAACCTAAAAGATATACAGTGAACAGAAATCTTACTTTTTTAAATATAAATATATTTTTTAACATTTATTTTCGATCTTTTAAGATTCAGCACGACAATATTTTTGCGTTTACATGTTTTGTCGTATTTTCACTTTCTTCCATATGGTCTTTTTCAACTTGGGTGACATGAATACTGTATAATAAATAGCCCTTGAATTATGTTGCCTGCTTTTTTATTTGCCCATTTTTGATATCTTGTCTGTGATATGCAGACATCATAACCACTGATTGATTTCCCTTTCAAAATTTCATTTTTTATTGTTTCGCCCTTGTTATTTAGTTTTGGGCACATCTTTCTACTTGATGACCATATGCCGCTTTTCTTTGATTGGCACGAACGTTCCACATAGAAGGTTCCGTGATAACCGGCATATAAACACATCTGGGAATGTTTAAAGATTCAAATTTTTACCAGTTTATGCTAAATGTTGAATTCTACTTAAGCCGGTGCTAAGGGGCGTGGACGGTAACTTGCACTTTCCAGTACCGTCCAAGAACAGCCTCAATCAAACCAAGCCTGCAACATTTTCAATTTTGTCCTTTTTTTGGCTTTCTATAGGGATTCTGTTTTTCTCTTTTTTATTGCCACAGTAGTGTAATTTGTGACGTGTGATGGTTACAAAACGTCTCTTTTTTATGACTGCCAGGGCAGCCATTATGGGCATGTTAGTCGCGTTAAAAACAAATTATGATACAAAAAGATACATAAGCATGTAATGCAAGTTACCATGGACACATGTCTATATAATACAAGTCTTTCGTTACAGGGAAAATCATTAAAATTATTCATGCAAGTTTAAAAAACGTGTGTAGTCCATAATCACCACATGTTTAATGACATTTTTAATTTGATATTACAATAAGTAAAGTAATTAAGTCACTTACTTTGTAATAATATTTCATTTGCCTTTGGTTTGAATAAAGAAGTTGATGCTGTAAAATGTTATATATAAAACCAAATAAGTTTTATCATTTATATGGGGTAAATGTTTCTCAGTTACTTAGATTTGCTAGAGCTTGTTTCAACGTAAAGGACTTCAACGAGCGGAATATTTTCATTACTAGCAAGCTCCTAAAACAGGGCTACCGCTCTCATAAATAAAGGAAAATTACAATTAAAAATTACAATCGCAGTTTTTATTTCATTTTAAAATTCAATAGTAATTTAAAACACTTTTGTGACAAGGGAAGAGCAAGCCTGATTTACAAACTTACGTAAGATCTGAGCCGTGGTAATTGTTTTGCTGTTTTTACTAAAATCATTAAACGTTTTATTTAAAGAGGTTATGACCCTACTATTTTAAGACATACCGCATGCTGATTGTCAACGCTTTTACAGTTGGACACTACGCTTTCCTCTGTTGATCAAGTTGGATAAACCCTTGTAGCCCTAGGGTAAAAATTGGCAACTTTTCATAAAAATCAATTTCTGTGAGTTTGTCTAAAGATCTGACCTCAATCAAAAGAGATATTTCCTTTTCAGAGAATATTCTGACTCTCTGATTGTGATATTGTGAACCCTAAAACTGTAAGTGTGATCTTGACTTTTAATTTTGGGGCATGGGTCTTGGTAGCAACACATCAAGTTATCTTGAATCCTTCATTGCACGACAATGTAACAGCTCGGACACGATTGTTTTGTTAGTCTCTAAGTGTGACCTTTACCTTTTAGGTAGTTACATTTGTCTCAGATGGGACAAGTCGTCTTGATGTGTTCGACATTAATTTAAAATCCCCCAATGCATGACAAATATACAGTCCAGACAAGCATGTGTGTAACTTTAAACTCTTGTTGTAAGAATGTAAACATTCAAACTGCAAGTGTGACCTTGACCTTTGAGGAAGGGACTTAGTTCTTCTACGTGAATCACTTTGGTGTGGTTAACAAATTGTGCCAGGTTATTTTAAAATCCCTCAATGAATGACAAAGCTACAGTCAATACACGTATGTTGTATGGGTGGGGACCCACCGACGGACGGACGTTCTCACATTTTTTTTTATTTATTTATTGTATTGTTAAAAAAAGCCACATTAAACAAAAAAGCCAAATAAAGCTTTACGGAATGAATAGCATAAAAGAACATTTACTATTACCTGTTGCTGCGATTGTCACATAAACCTAAAATAGGTTCTCGTACAGACAGACAGACAAACGAACGGACGGTGCCATTGATTTTATATACCGCCCTTTGGGGCATAATGATAACTGTCACTGTATTTCATTTAAAGATCCTGTATGTTGTAATCAAGGTTTTAACCACACTTAAGTGAAATTATATGACATATATATAATTATGCTTCTAAAACAATTTTCAAACATCGACGAATATGTTAAATATGTACTGCAAGTATTTGTTGTCATTATATTTAATCTTTAAAATATATGCATTCATTTCTTATTGAACGAAATTTGACTTAAAATTTAAAGAAAATAAATTTCTACCTCCCTTTACTAATATTAAAGCTTTTTTACTAATGTAAATTAGGCAATATCTTTACAAATAATGCTTTATGGAACTTTATGATATAAAATCATAAAAAATGAGTCACCGGATCTTTGATATAGTAGATCTCAAATACAAAAATATGTATCAAGTAAGCAAACTATTATTTTGACAATTATTTTACTATTCCCTTTAAATCTATATAAGACTTTGCTCATTGTCTTGCATTTGAAATGCGGAAATATGTCCTTGACCTCGAATTTTCACTACACACTTATGCATTATGGCAAAGTTCAATTGTATAGAAACAAAGAAAAAGATAAATCTGCTTCTGTCCCTACTTTTAATGAATGTATTAATGTGGTTGCATAGCAGTTTTCACAAATGTAGTTTTTTTTCTATTACTTATTATGAGTTTATTTGTTTGTTTTCTGGTTTTAACGCCAATTTCAATTCAGTTTTGATCAGACCACGGATCAATAACCAGTAATTATCAGCTTTTCAAAAAGTGTCTGACTTCTAATTTCACTTCATTTTTGAATTAGTGATGTGAGACCAATGCCTTCTAGACTAATTACCAAGATCTTCTTATTTACTTGCAAAACATTATTCTTTCTTTCATTCCATTAATAAGTGGAGATGTAATTAAAAGAGGAAAGCGTAGCGTCCAATTGTAAAAGGGTTAGATGCCGTAAAAGTAAGTCTAGGTTTAGGTGGTAAAAGATGTTCATTCCCACGATAAAATTCGATGCGTGATTCAATAATATTAAATATATTATGTTTTCATGTATTAAGTGCATTGCTATCAGCATTTTCGCGACGACACCATTTTTGTGTAAAGTCCTCGATCGATTCAGCTATCTGACTTCGACAAGCATTAAAATCAATAGGGGAAGGAATTCTATATTTTGGTCCTTTTAGAAATAAATTACGGATTCTCTTGTCGTTTATTATATCAAAATCACCAGTGATTATATGGCCAAAATCCAAGTTACAGAATTTAGAATTTTTGCAGTCTCAACTAGTTGGTGTATTAGAATCAACGTCTAGGTCGGAGACAATTTTGTTATAATTGAATATGATATTTCTGACAGGTGTTTTATATTTGTAGCAAATAATTGGAATCTCAGAGTTTTTGAAATATATAGGAATCGCGTCGGTAACGCGTTTATCCCGAAAAATACTAGGTAAGTCGATGAAATCAATACCTTTGTTTAGAAAAGTAACTTTAAGAAAGTGCTTGTCATGTTCAGCGGTGGTGTCGATATGAGGTCTTAAAATATGCTGTGCGAAACTTTGTATAAGGTAGGCTGCAGTTTATAAAGGATCAGTTTGGATAACTATGTTATCGGCTTCTTCGTCTAACGTTTTAAGAGACCGAAAAGAAAGAGCGGTTAAACGTGATAACATAGCATGTCTACCCGAATTAGTCAAGATAATATTTAAATCGGAAACAGACATAGTAAGTTTTTATTTACGTTTGATGTTACCATTTTTACGTATTCCATGAGAACGAGATTTCCGCTTCCGTATGTTAAGAATAGAAAAAATGTCAATACTGGGATCTTTAGAAATATAACTTTGTTGAAAGATATTGGCATTAAGGCCAAGTGGAAAAGGGGTTTGTAAATTTTCAATCCTGGTAAGTTTGACGAGTGAAATAAAATTGAAAAAATTGTTATCAAGTTAAAATTTTATGAATAAGTTAAACTTACCAGTCATACTAGTTACCACCCCTTGGAAATATTTTGATGGTGTAAATGTTTTCACTTAATCAGTAAAATTGAGAGGCGCATGCTTTTCCCGGTCCTATGGATGCTTGCTTTTTAGTTTACGCATGCGCCTCGGCGAGTCCGATTGTAAACAAAGGGAAGTAAATCCTACATGTACATCCCACATGTATATTAATGACTGGTTAGTTTAACGAGTGAAATAAAAATGTCTTACACCAAAATTTGAAACTTAAAAACGACTTTTCATCAAGCTCACCATAAGAACACCCTCTTATTAAAAATCATCTTTACAACTTATGCCAAAAAAATAGTAACGCGTGATAGACCTCCATATTTCGTTTTCAGATCTTCTAACTACTATTTTATACAATATTAAAGTAAGGTTAAGCATGGAGCTTTCTGTGAATGGGGTAGAGGTTAAACGCTTAAATGTATACATGTATATAATCAATTATCTACAATTTACATAATTGTTTAATCGTTTAAGATGGTTCATTTTGAAAATTACTCGTACCATGAATCATATGTAAAATCGTATGTGTTATTTTGTTTCCGACACAAATAAGAGAATTATTTAATTACTATCGACGTAATTGAAATTTTAGGTTCTCGGGATTATCATGGAGGCAGCTTTCGTCAGTACAGACAGATAAAAAAGATATTAAGTGGCACTTCCAAACAAAAATAGTTTCAAGGTTGAGGAGCGATACAAACTCAACAAATCAAAGTCCGAAGACTCTTTCGAAACCGTTCTACAGGTAAAAAGTGTTTTTGTATGTTCTTTATGTTTTTATTAATTTCATATTCATTCTTCATTCAATTTTACTTGTAGCAAAGTGATTTATTGATAAAAGGATTTAATTTTAACAGAAGCTCAAATCAACTTGATATACAAGGTCAGTCCTTTTGTTATTGGTGTCAGATAGGTAACACATTTAAGCAAGGCATACAACTGTTTCATATTTATTTTAGGCACAGTTTTCTCCAGTGTAAAAGCTATCTGTGTAAAAAGATTTTTATAGAAAATCCGGTCGAATAATCAGATTATCATAAAGATATATTAAGTGATAATGCCCTGACACAGAAAATATTTGAACAAACTGATAAAAAAGTCAGTATGTCGACCCGTACAAGTGTTCAAATACGTGTGTCTTTTCTTCCTTTTCCGATCAATAGCTTGAAAAAGTACCGACCGTAGTTGATGTTATTTAATTTGAACATGATTGTGGATTTGAGAAAATTATATCATAGGTTAATTAGTCAAAATTACAGTCCTTGTCCAACCTAAAATGAGTTCTGCTCAAGTGTTTTTAACTTAGTAGGGACACTGTCCAAGGCTGGACGTTGACTAAATTATTTAATTGAAGTCATTATGTCAGATGTCAAGAAGACAATACTGCTTTGCTTTGACAAATTACTTAAGAGTTTCTTTCTTATGCATTTCTTTATGATTCTTATAAATGTAATATGGTATTGGAATCTTAAACAATTGGAACTTACTTTTTGATGGTAAGAACAACCCTACCGGTAATTGTCTTCTAAAGCGATAAAGCTATGTCATTCTCTCTTGCAATTACAGATATAAGCATACTTTTGGACACTTGACAGATAGTTCAAGTATTTATGAAAAAAATTAAAATCTGACAGGCAAATGTCAACGTTTGTTTCAGTATGTCACATATTTGCTGCACATAACACTTTTTGATGTCACTGCTACAAATATTGACATGTCATGTATTAAAAGTGTTTATAAGCTGTAATTTTGTTTATTACAAAGAAAATGTACATAAGGATATTAATATGATTTTACGATTAATGATGTCTTTATATATTAAAGGGTTAAACTTGATAATGTAACCGAAATCAGACTTCCGGCAGTTGATGGTGATGGCGATTACATTAAATGTAAAATTTCAGAATTTGGTGAAGGAGGAGTGATATCATCACATCTGCCTCCACTCGTACAAATCATGGAGGTATATTATGTTTCATAGAGCAGTGATTAAACAAGCATTAATATAGTATTTTTTCATTAAGCTGACAGTTGTTTTTCTTAAAAATCTGCGCAAGAATTAAAAAAAGATAGCGAAAATGGATATTCTAAGTAGTTCAATTAATATTAGTTTATTTCAAACAAGTGTACTCATTTACAATTCTCAAATAAATGTTTACCACATGTGAAATGAATGATAAAGGATCAGAACCGAGGATGATGCTTATATGCATATCGTAGTATTTATTTGCTAAAGATTTGAAGTATGTAGGTCTATGTTCATGGATTTGTTTAAAACTCTAATTATTTGTTATTAAATAAGAGGGAATTTTTTATGTTAAATATAAAACTTTTGTTATTAAATAAGAAGGAATTTTATGTTAAAAATAAATTTAAACTTTTAACATGTATTTGGTAAGAAGAGACTTTCAAAAATTTATTATTTTAAAAAGAGAGATAGAGAAAAAGTAAGATAGCAGAGAAAAGAAATATTTCCAAACGGCACTGACAGTATGGCAGTGAAGAAAGAAAACAAGCTTCCTTGTGCAAATATCTTGCTTCTGTTGATTTTATTCGCCATATAGTAGTGTTTGCAGCGTTACAATACAGTAGTTTCATATGATGTTCATGAAACATAACATTTTCTTATTGAATAATGATTATTAAGTGGCCATATGAAAACGAAATGGTGTGTAGTTTCGAAATGGTGTGTAGTTTCAGTTATACCATAGCTACATAGTTTTGATTGTGGAAAGATGGTGATAAAGGTAACTACATTCGGTGCTAAGCCGTGTGTGTAGAACTTGCAGTTCTTTATTCCTAATGTAGAAATAATTTGGAATTTTAAATTGGGTTTCAATTTACATTTGAACGATGTCAGTTATGTAGATAGAAATAATTCATGTCCTACATTGCGGACGGCAAGAATGAATATTCATAGAGCGTTGTTCTTGTGCGTACGGTTTGGGTGTCCTCACTTGTTAGTTTAAATGTAAGGTGCCAGTTTAGTTCATACAAGTAAATGGCATGTGTATAGTATATTGTTCAGAAAAAGATAACGGTGTATTGAACCCCTAAGAAAATGATATCAATGTCAGATAATTCAATAGACAGGTGGTCAGAGATTTCACGACTTCTAATATTTTGCCATCTGTACATTCATAATTCAGAGGTTAACCGTCTACATTATGCGAAGTTGGTTTTTTTAGGGCTCACAACAGGATCAAACCTGGTACCGCGAGAGCCAGTTAACTCTTGTGCAAGGTTTTTCTTTCAAAAATGCCGATACAACGTAAACACTTTCGTCGGCTGTATTGCTCAGCGCCATTAGCATCGGAAACTCGGAATTCGTAATTCAAAAAATGCTATACTTCAAATGTGTATAATTCTACCAGCTTCATTTGTTTACTATCATATTTCATCTACAACTTGCATTCACACTTCGGAGATCTCAGTTCTTTAGTTAAATCATATTTCTTTGATTTCCTTTTATTTACATTTTTTTCACAACTGGCATATCATAAAACAACATTTACGAATAGATTGTATTTGGAAACAAAATAATGGTATATTTTATCTCTCAAAATTAATTTATGTATAATCTATTAAGGTAAAATCCACAAAACAAAAACAAATCATTTAATCGTTTATTTTATATTGCATCATCAAGAATTGCTCTGTTTTCATCAACGCTTCTCGAGCCAGTGGGTATGAGGATAATACATGGATTGCCGTTCCTGTCAGCGTCCGTGACTATAACAGAAAGGACATAATTTACGGGACCGAACTTTACTTTTCAGGAAAATACTCCCTAAGCACAACTGCCGTTCAGGTATAATATATTTTTTTTTAAATCCATGAATCCAATATTTATTTATTTCTATTGACTGAACAATAGTCTTCTGTACATGAATTGTTAAATGAGTGAACACGATGTTTTGAGACTGTGCTGCATTTTGTATCTGAACGAAGACGCATGTAAATTTGATATGATAAGTAAAGAATAAGAGTATACTATAAAGATTAATTCTACAGTAAACAAAATACAATTAGATATATATAGTTGCATTTCTTATTCATTCGATAACAATTTCTATTTGTTATGATTAACCATGTATATCTGACAGTTATTTTATCAATTGGTTCAGTTAGCTACTCGATGTAACTATACATTTTGACTTAAAGGGAGACACAGGCAAAACAATTGTCAGTTCTTCGTTTTGAATTTTATTAATTATAAATCTGTAAATGTCTTCACAATGAATATACTAAGTAGTCTCACGAACAAAACGTTTCTCCTTATAAAGAAAAAAATGGTGGTTTCCTAACTTGACCTACGTGGGTCAGGTTAGTGCGTTATGATTTCACAATAGTTGTTATAGGGAACTCTGAAAACGTTGAAATACTTGTCAAACGAATGATTAAGGTTTATTTCAATCATAAAATATCCACAATTTCTGTTATTGTACCTTCCAGGGTTTATTAAAGTCACATGACTAGTTTTAAAACTACTCGATGATTCTGTCGGCGTCTAAATTTCCTTCAACATACATAGACATATTTACACTTTAAAGTCACAAAATCTATAGAACTTATACAAAAATTCATGCTGACACTTTTACAAATGTCAATTTAGCGTGATTTGAGTATTACCTAATTTTGAGTATCCCTTTACACATTATTATATATACTTACCCAATGCGACACATATGTTTGTTTCAGTTTGTTGTTCAGATTCTAGATAATCTAACAACTCCAGTATTTGTAGAACCAAGTTATGAAGGAAACCATGTTTTCATCATGTATTCGGGCACGGAGTGGAAAACTCAAATATATGCTGAAGCTACTGCAAACACGTGAGTATCATTCGGAGTATAACAACTAATAGTTAATTATCTGGCTGGCAGAGACAAATCATTTTTTTTTCAGCTCTCCTGTTAAGAATGTAATAAGTAAATAAAATGATCTCAATATAAAATAAATGATCTTTATATCTGAAAAATCATTTGCATCAAAACTTTCTTTATTTGTTATTATAAGTTTTCTCGATCTTACTGCTAGTTTATTGCTTTTTTTGTAGTTCTTTTCTTAACATTCGAAATATTCTTTCAACAATTTAAACATATTCTATTGACTCCCGGCCAATGGTCGGGTTGTACTACCACAATATAGACACGTTTCTAAGAAATGGTTATAACAAGCTTAAATTGCACCGAATCTGGTCAGGAGGGCATTTCAAAAGCCGGCGATGTACATAAAGTTAGTTCCCTATATCTTATTCCTTTTTCGAATGAAAAATAAGGAATCGGTTCCTTATTCCTTTTTTGAATAAGGAATAGGGAACTAGATTTATTTAAAATAAAATATATACCTTATTTAAATAATTGCATAAAGAATCTGCATATATTATTTTGAAAAAAAAATTAAAGTCGAATAAGGAATAGGGAACCAGTTCCTTATTCCTTATTCAACTCCGAATAAGGAACAGAAGAAAATACGTAAAGAAAGACACCAGTTGCAATTATTTTTGATAAATCTCCATAAAAATGGCAAGGATCAATCATTAAAATCATGAAATAAAGCATCTACATATATTTTTTTTTTTGAAAAAAAAAAATGTTAAAGTCGAATAAGGAATAGGGAACCAGTTCCTTATTCCTTATTCAACTCCGAATTAAGAACAGATGGAAATACGTAAAGAAAGACACCAGTTGTAGTTATTTTTGATAAAGCTGCATTAGAATTAAAGGATCAATCATAACAATCATGAAATAAAGCATCTGCATGAAAATATTTTGGAAAAAACAATGTTCAGGTTCTTTCGACTCTGAATTAGGAAAAGAAGTAATTACGTTAAGAAAGACAGCAGTTGCAGTTATGTTTGATAAATCTGCATAAGAATTGCAAGGATCATTAAAATAATAAAATAAAGCATCTACATATTTTTTTTTGAAAAAAAATGCTAAAGTCGAATAAGGAAAAGGGTTTGATCCTTGCAATTCTAATGCAGATTTATCAACAATAACTGCAACTGGTGTCTTTCTTTACGTATTTTCTTCTGTTCCTTATTCGGAGTTGAATAAGGAATAAGGAACTGGTTCCCCATTCCTTATTCGACTTTAACAATTTTTTCAAAAAAAAAAAAATAAGTAAATGCTTTATTTCATGATTTTTTATGATTCATCTTTGCCATTCTTATGGAGATTTATCAAAATAATTTCAATTAGTGTTTTCTTTACGTATTTTCTTCTGTTCCTTATTCGGAGTTGAACAAGGAATAAGGAACTGGTTCCCTATTCCTTATTCGACTTTAACATTTTTTTTCAAAAAATATTATGTAGATGCTTTATTTCATGATTTTAATGATTGATCCTTGCAATTCTAATGCAGCTTTATCAAAAATAATTGCAACTACTGTCTTTCTTTACATAGTTACTCCTGTTCTTTATTCGGAGTCGAATGAACCTGGTTATTTTTTTTTCCAAAATATTTTTTTTTACTTATGCTTTATTTCAAGATTTTTATGATTGATACTTGCAATTCTTATGCAGATTTAACAAAAATAACTGAAACTGGTGTCTTTCTTTACGTATTTTCTTCTGTTCCTTATTCGGAGTTAAATAAGGAATAAGGAACTGGTTCTCTTTTCTTTGTTGGAATTTAACATTTTTTTTTAAATGTAAATGCTTTATTTCATGATTTTGATTATTGATCCTTGCAATTCTTATGCAGATTTATCAAAAATAACTGCAACTGGTGTCTTTCTTTACGTATTTCCTTCTGGTCCTTATTCGGAGTTGAATAAGGAATAAGGAACTGGTTCCCCATTCCTTATTCGACTTTAACATTTTTTTCAAAAAAAAAAATATGTAAATGCTTTATTTCATGATTTTGATGATTGATCCTTGCAATTCTTATGCAGATTTATCAAAAAGAAACTGCAACTGGTGTCTTTCTTTACGTATCTTCTTCTGTTCCTTATTCGGAGTTGAATAAGGAACTGGTTCCCTATTCCTTATTCGACTTAAACATTTTTTTTTTCAAAACAAATTGATGTAAATGTTTTATTGTATGATTTTAATGATAGATCCTTGCCATTCTTATGCAGATTTATCAAAAATATTTGCAACTGGTGTCTTTCTTTACGTATTTTCTACTGTTCCTTATTCGGAGTTGAATAAGAAATAAGGAACTGGTTCCCTATTCCTTATTCGACTTAAACATTTTTTTCAAAAATATTTTTATGCTAATGCTTTATTTCATGATTTTAATGATTGATCCTTGCAATTCTTATGCAGATTTATCAAAATAACTGCAATTGGTGTGTTTCTTTACGTATTTCCTTCTGTTCCTTATTCGGAGTTTAATAAGGAATAAGGAACTGGTTCCCTATTTCTTATTTGACTTAAATATTTTTTTTCGAAAAAAAAATATGGAATGCTTTATTTCATGATTTTTATGATTGATCCTTGCAATTCTAATGCAGATTTATCAACAATAACTGCAACTGGTGTCTTTCTTTACGTATTTTCTTCTGTTCCTTATTCGGAGTTGAATTAGGAACTGGTTCCCTATTCCTTATTCGACTTTAACATTTTTTTTCAAAACAAATTGATGTAAATGTTTTATTGTATGATTTTAATGATAGATCCTTGCCATTCTTATGCAGATTTATCAAAAATATTTGCAACTGATGTCTTTCTTTAAGTATTTTCTACTGTTTCTTATTTGGAGTTGAATAAGGAATAAGGAACTGGTTCCCTATTCCATATTCGATTTTAACATTTTTTTCAAAATAACATTTATTTCAAAAATATTTTTATGCTAATGCTTTATTTCATGATTTTAATGATTGATCCTTGCAATTCTAATGCAGATTTATCAAAATAAATGCAATTGGTGTCTTTCTTTACGTATTTTCTTCTGTTCCTTATTCGGAGTTGAATAAGGAATAAGGAACTGGTTCCCTATTCGTTATTTGACTTAAACATTTTTTTTTCAAAAAAAAAATATAGAATGCTTTATTTCATGATTTTAATGATTGATCCTTGCAATTCTAATGCAGATTTATCAAAATAATTGCAACTGGTGTCTTTCTTTACGTATTTTCTTCTGGTCCTGATTCGGAGTTGAATAAGGAATAAGGAACTGGTTCCCTCTTCCTTATTCGACTTTAACATTTTTTAAAAAATATACGTAAATGCTTTATTTCATGATTTTAATGATTGATCCTTGCAATTCATATGCAGTTTTATCAAAAATAAGTGCAACTGGTGTCTTTCTTTACGTATTTTCTTCTGTTCCTTATTCGGAGTTTAATAAGGAATCAGGAACTGGTTCCCTATTCCTTATTCGACTTTAACCTTTTTTTCAAAACAAATTGATGTAAATGCTTTATTGTATGATTTTAATGATAGATCCTTGCCATTCTTATGCAGATGTATCAAACATATTTGCAACTGGTGTCTTTCTTTACGTATTTTCTACTGTTCCTTAATCGGAGTTGAATAAGGAATAAGGAACTGGTTCCCTATTCCTTATTCGACTTAAACATTTTTTTCAAAAATATTTTTATGCTAATGCTTTATTTCATGATTTTAATGATTGATCCTTGCAATTCTAATGCAGATTTATCAAAATAACTGCAATTGGTGTGTTTCTTTACGTATTTCCTTCTGTTCCTTATTCGGAGTTTAATAAGGAATAATGAACTGGTTCCCTATTCCTTATTTGACTTAAATATTTTTTTTTCGAAAAAAATATGGAATGCTTTATTTCATGATTTTAATGATTGATCCTTGCAATTCTTATGCAGATTTATCAAAAATATTTGCAACTGGTGTCTTTCTTTACGTATTTTCTTCTGGTCCTGATTCGGAGTTGAATAAGGAATAAGGAACTGGTTCCCTCTTCCTTATTCGACTTTAACATTTTTTAAAAAAAAATATGTAAATGCTTTATTTTATGATTTTAATGATTGATCCATGCAATTCTTATGCAAATTTATCAAAAATAACTGCAACTGGTGTCTTTCTTTACGTATTTTCTTCTGTTCCTTATTCGGAGTTGAATAAGGAATAAGGAACTGGTTCCCTATCCCTTATTCGACTTTAACATTTTTTCAAACATATTTTTATGCTAATGCTTTATTTCATGATTTTAATGATTTTTCCTTGCAAATTTAATGCAGATTTTTCAAAATAAATGCAACTGGTTTCTTTCTTTACGTATTTTCTTCAGTTCCTTATTCGGAGTTGAATAAGTAATTAGGAACTGGTTCCCTATTCCTTATTCGACTTTAACATTTTTTTTCAAAATAATTTATGCAGATTCTTTTTGCAATGATTTGAATGAGGTATAAATTTTATTTTCAATAAATACTTATTCTTCTTTTCTTAATTTAGATATGAAACTAGTTCCCTATTCCTTATTCGAAAAAGGAATAAGGAACTGATTCCTTAATTCTTATTCGAAAAATGAATAAGGTATTAGGAATAGGGAACTAACTGTATGTACATGCAAATGTATAGTATACAATTACTCGATGACAACAGAAAATGTGAATTACTGCAAATGTAGTTGTGCGTTTTGAGCGCGCGTGTAAGCATGTGTGTTGGTGTTGGTGAACGAAACAGTTTGTACACACGATGGGATTTAAAATAAATTGCTACACATAACACTTGTAGACAATATGTTCCGTGCAATACACATTTACCATAGTCAAGGTAATGGCAAGGCATTGAACTTCGTGTATTTCACAAATAGTCCATAGTGCAGTAAGGAAACGTGTACGTTCATAAATTCAGCATGCATGAACGTTTGTTTGTTTGTGTTGTTTTTTTAAATGTTAGTGCATAATACCACAACAAGAGAAAATTTGTATTTCATAGGACCAAAGTCTCAGACCAAAAGGACAATCTCACATCGAAAAATTGCTCTCACTTTTTGTAATATAGTCCAAAGTGCTGTTAAATGTCATTATAGAATTTCAAGAAGCCATGTGAAAATATTTCATAAAGCTTACGATTGTCAGATGAAAAACGACTTTACAAACGTGCATGATTTGTATTCATGTATCTGTATAATGAAAAACTATCCTTATATATCCGTTGACAACTTCAACATATCTTCCATTAAAATACCCCTTCGCTTTGTTTTAACCAATACCTTCAACAGAAAAGGGCAGTTTGGTTTTGTTAGTATTGACGCTTAGCCTCAAGATACAAACTATCTATCCATTTTGATAAGCCTTCTTAAAATCAAACCAGAATCAACATATAAAAACTCAAAGAAATATGTTTGAATTGACGTATTTACACATCATTCAATGCACGACATCGATGTATTTCTGCTATTTGTTTGCAGGATAAAGTGGCAACTAATCTTATATAATTAAGGGAAAGTAGGGTGTTTAATTTTGTCACACCAAAAATTTCTAGTATATTTTCCCATTAAGTTGTTTTCGAAAAGCGATACATTTGTTTCTATTATATGGAATGATTTCAGGGAATGAACTCATGGCCTTAAATGAAAAGTTAATGCGTATTAAAGTATACTTTCTAATTATTGATAGTAATATAAATATAATAAAAAAACTGACAAGATTGTTGTTTTTCTTAGTACTATAGAAGAGTTTACAACTTTTGGACTCGAAGAAGAAAAGCTTATCTTATCAAATGCTCAACAGGACCCTAAAAGGTCGCAAGTAATGTTCACCATAATGTCATGGAAACCAACAGATACGGATGTAGGGAGACATATAGCATGCGTTATTGTTACTGATTCTACTGGGTAAGATACAACAGAATCTTGTTTCTTATTTCATACCATGTGTAAAATGTAAAAAAAAGCAAGCGTTTGAAAAATCTTTCTGTTTAAACATCAATCAATAGTTGGTCATTTTAGCCTCGTTTCATTTCCCCGAGTGTAAAACATCCATACCAAATCCACAGTGTTCTATATTTTAACCTCGTTTCCTGTTTCATGTTAATTGTTCATTTAAATGCATTATTTACCTAAGATGTTTTTTTTAAAAGAGTTTGAAAGTGTCAAACATTTGTTTTTTTATTATGTTTAAAACATGTTAAGTGTATAACTACTAAACAAATAAATTAGCACAGGGCGTGAGGTAATATGCCGCAATAGTAGCAATGTGTTAACAATGTAGTGTACATATTTTTTTATTTATATTTTCTTTATTTTTTTATTTTTTGCTTCCATACAAAATACACATTCATAACAATTATAAAAATTGTCAAAAGAAACAAAATATAGTTCACATTACGTATGTGGCAAATGTGCAATATTTATGAATCTGTAACAAGATATCAAAGATAAAAAGTGTTGCTATTTAGAAATAGTAATGATAACATTTGTGAAGCATAATGGACATTTAAAGGAATATTAGCTTTATTGAATATTATACAAATACATAATAGTCGGGTAAAAACAATGATATGTAATAAAAAAAATATTGCTGAAGGCGAAAGGTGAAACACATCATATTCACAAACTGAATTATCTATTTGTTTTATTTAATACATGTATTTTATAAATAATGTTTGTGTGGTTATTCAAATTTGCTTATGTACACGACTACTGTTCCGTTTGCTTTCATTTTCTATATTATTCTATAATTTAACTTCATACAGTTTTTTAACGAACGCATAGACTGTATCAATTCGTACAATTCCAAAATACCTATACAATCAACGACAATGCACTACATTCACTGTCATGCATGCGGTTAGCCCAAGACATATCCTTGTTTCCTTTGACGGAATTTCGAGAAAATTTATTTTTAGGGGATAAACGGTGAATTTACTTCGAAAATCTATTTTTAGGAAAAGGGGTGAAAATACTATGAATTTGACTTGTTTCTGCTTGTTTTTATTTTGTTTTTTCTTAAAAAGTAACGACTTTTCAATATACTTCTATATTACATTTTGTGTATATACATATATCGTGTATAATAATATAATTCATATTATCTAACACTACGTTTTTGTTTGTTTAATCTTTTGGATATATTAATTTTTGAAATGCTTCAGCGTTGACTCTGATGAACAAAGATGTTTTGTGTTAGATGTTCAGCGTGAGTAAATAATTTTGCTATAGTTTGCAATTGCTATTAAAGGGGATAATCAAAGTTTAACTTACAATTAGATAAGTGATAACTGATTGTTTTTTGTGTTTTTCTTTTTTAATTTTGCAAAGATTTTTCATTTTAATAAATTTTAGTGAATAGAAAAGCGGTTTTATTGAAACGGTGCATATATAATAACCATTACATGTATATACACATTATTCTTTAAAGGGATATAGATTTCTGATGTACTTTTCAGCTGATGTTTTCAACCACTCATCGTCATATTCTACGGTACGTCATATATCTAAAACCTTCTATTGCTTACGGATGTTTCAAATTTGTAACCCAAAAAATCACGGACCGAAATTAAACACTCAGTCTTGGATACAAACCCACGCCCTCACTTTATACACAAATGAACCAACGCTGTGAGTTATTTAGCAAAATAACTGAAATCACTAAAGCAACTGTCAGAGGTTTCATTTGACTTCTTAATTACGTCTGTTTTGATGACAGTTATATTTTTCATGTCAGAAATTCTATTCTCATTATACGAAGTCTAGATAATTGTTAAATTCTGAATGCATCAGGTAAAAATCCCGCTCTTTGATTTCGAATTAAGTCCTTTAATTACAAATTAACAATACAAAGCACTTAAACATCGAACCAAAGCGTACAGGTTTGACGTAGTTGTCAAGTGATAATACATATTTGCGCTTACATGAAACAATGAATTAATTAAATATGATTTTTTTTTCATATGACTGTAAATGATTGTAGCATATTTGAAATTATTGATTTAAATTCCTTTATTTCAATAACATATATTTGCCATTATTTCTCCTCATTTCAAATAGTTATTGTTCCTTTTCATTACAGGGACTGACCGTGCCAAAATGCTTATTGTATTCATTATCAAACTGAGCTGAATTGACTGTTTAAATGATTGACTGTTAAAATCGTGACTGACCAACAGTTGATATTGGAAAAGTTTTTAGGATAAAAAATAAATCTGCCCCAGAATTTTAATGAACCAGATTACGAACTTATTTTGACTTTCCCTTGTTCGCTTTCTTTTTCCCTTGTATTGGCATAATATTAGTTCATGTTTATTATTTCCAGAACAAGCCGTATTTCATTGACATCCCATCACCTGGCCAGCTTGTTGCATGCAAAATTCACGCAACTTGTGTTGTTGCTTTATATGTAAAATCTGGAGTGTACGTATGTTCAACTACTTGGTTAACATTGTTATCAAATACAAAAAACAGAATCCCTTAAGAACGTCCAAACGGCGACATTAAAAACGCTGCAGGCTTGGTTTGATTGAGCCTATTCATAGACGGTACTTGAATGTGCAAGCTACTATCGAACCCCCTAGAACAAGCCAAATCTGTTCAGTGTAAATTTTTATATGGGTAAAAGCATGCAAGTGATATTTTAGTTATTCATTTAACAAACTAAGCAATTGTTTAAATGCGTTTAACGAGAGATGATCAAGAATTACCAGAAATTTGTTTATAATTCTGACAATTTTATTCCTACGCAAAGTTCAATGTTTTTTAAACTATTTGAATGCAAAATATAATTGATAAAATGGCAACAAGTACTGCCTTATAACGCCTTATATAACCATTTGAAACACTACAGCGGCAAAGCTCAAAGATCGCGACGTTCGTTGACATCTATAATAAGCCAAAGTGCTTGTTACGAAAACGGATCTTGACTAAAATTTGCCGGCGCGTTAAACGTCAATTAAAAAATTTAACTAAAAAATATAAAGAAATGTTCCATATTTAATGCATTCAACTTTGAGATGCGTATGACTTTACCCCTTTCTCCGCCGCACACTTACAATTAAATCAAACAACAGTTCAGCAGTCATAGGTTTGAGCATAATTATTATGAATGACATCCGGGATTTTTCCGACAAAAGGAAATCATATGGTATATGAACATTATAATAAACGCATTGGGTTATAAAGCATTGATCTTTACACAGCGGCAAATACTTTGAAAATATTTTTGTATGTTTTCGACGTCAACGCTTATGACGTGACAGCGTTCAGATCAAGTAATATGCACACTGCTTTGCTTGCTTAAATATGCATGGGGTGAGCATAATGTGTTTAATAGTTTGAAGTTTTGTTTCCTTGTAAAAGCATATATTACTCATTAATATAGTGTTTGTTATATGAACATGTAATATTTATTTTTATATTTTTAGCTTAATTCCGAGTAATTCTGGGTCATCCCGCGTATATGCTAGCAATACAAAATAATTTCCATTCAGGCTAATAAAAATTAACTTTACATCCATGAGCATAAATAAATAGATAAATATGTAATATGTAATTTTCATAGTGATGTGTCTGAAATACATGTAACTGACAGTTACATTGACAAGTATGAAATCGGCCCAATACAATCTCTTACACACAAAGGCCAGGCAGTGTATAAAGCTGACTTGTCGTTTGAACATTCAATGCATGGAAAGGAACGTATATGCTTTAAAGCAAAGGACGTTAATGGGTGAGTGTCATACAAGATTTTTCTTCTTACGTTTGACAAGTAATTACTCTTTGTTTCTTTTCTTGTTACTTTGTTCAGCACACATACCTCAAAAGGCTTTAGAGATATTAATTTGAAACTTGATGACATAGACCACGGTACGAATGAATGCAGATGACAAGAATTCCAACTCTCTCTACATCGCAATTTTGCAATTAGTGCCCTTTGTTGGTTTTCATGCTTAATTTGATTTTATTTCTTTCTTCTTTTTTTTTTGCTATAACTCAACATATTTAAGAGATATCAGCATGAAAGCTCATGACTCTCATATACCAGCAATGCACTTATTTTGTTATTACTTTGTTGTTAGTCTATGCAATTAATTTAAGAATAAACTCTTTTTATATTTTTTCTACTGTCCGGTGGGGGATCTGGAAGTCTTTTACCGTTTTTTGTTTTTCAGGCAGTGTATAAAGCTTATTGTGTAATTACTTTTATCGTTTTACAACATATGCGTAATTACTTTAATCGTTTTGAGTGGAAGTGCCTCCGTGTAAATATATAGGTTGCATCGAAAAGAAAGAGTCGGAATTTTACATAAATTTGCACATTGTAATTAATTCAAATGTTCCTGTATATTCTTGTTCAAACTATATTCTTACGAATTAAAGGGTTACAATTTTTAGTGTATATTTCAATTGATTCCCAAATCCTCCCTATTTGTTTGTGTATTGCGATCAAGACAAATTGCAGTACACCAGATGTCTAGTTTGGCATAGGAACAAATATTCATACTGTTTCTTACAGCTAAGTTCAGTTCCGGGTATGTGATATCATAATTTAAATGTTTAACATATAAACTGCAAAGATATGAAGATGTAACTTATTGCATATTATGATTATATGAAACACTTGCCCCTCACCACTGTGGGTTCGAATTCCGACAGGGACTTTGGATTCTTTTATTTGAGGAAGCTATCCAGCTAGCTAACGGAACGTCGGTGGTTCTACTCAGGTGCCCGTTCGTGCCTGAAATAATGACTTTTATTGTGTCGATGAGACGAAAAACCCAAAACAAACAAAAAATATATATATATATAAACATTCTGCAGATGAAAATTGCATCAATCTACAAAGCGTTTTGAAAAGAGAAATTCCATATTTTGGTGCCTTAAGTGTATTCTTAGAGTATGATAAATATTTTAAATTCAGGCTAAGTCATATATTACGCCAAGCGCGCTCAAAAATAATTGGCAATTTGCGTATATGAAAATAATATTTCGTCAGATTTATCAGGTTTTTTGTTGTTTTTTTTTGTTTTTTAAAAATTTTACAAAGACAAATTAAGAGCAAAAGTAACTATAATAATATATAGGCATTTTTCGTAGAAAAAAAAACATTTTTTTTACTATTGCATCTTTGTGTCTAAAAATTGAAGTGATGTATCTTAAATGACAATATTATTCAAACTTAATTTATTTCAATCCGAATATTTATGCACAGTAAAATTGAATAAGGAAATTTTGATACATTGACTTTGTTTGCACGTCAATGCTCTTCCTGTAAATCCAGACTGACTTAAAAATTGAATGCTTTGATGTTGTTGTTTTTTCTGTTACAGCGGTGAAAGTGAAGAAGTATGTATCACAAGCAGTATTGAACCACCAGGTGTGTAATTACTTTTATCATTGAACCACCAGGTGTGTATTTACTTTTATCATTGGACCACCAAGTGTGCAATTACTTTTATCGTTTTTAGTGGATTTTTCTTCGTGTAAATATATAGGTTGTAAGGTAATATCGTACAGAAAGAATCGGAATTTTACATAAATGTTCACATTGTCATTAATTCAAATGTTCCTGTAGATTCTTGAAATATATAAACAACGATATTTCCTCCCTTGTAAAAGTGGAATTTAATTTGGAAGTCAATATTCGATATAACATAATTGACAAAATATGAAAAGAATCATAATAAACAGCTGACCTAAATATTTATAACTTGGTTAAAGCAATTCAAGCTCATCACCATATAACATATATAAATACAACATATCAAACATAAAAGACACATGCCATGCACATATTTAGCTGAAACATATTAGTTCATGAAATTTGAGAATAATTACAATGATTACAATGATCAATAATACTGGAAATTTCCTTAAAAACATTTGAATACGTAAGAATAATGCTCAATAATTTGTCTACATTTACTTTACATTTAAAACTTTACTAGCCAGTAATAAAAGAATATGGTAATAAAATATCAAAGTATGTACTCTTTTTCACCTATTATGCTACTTATTTTCTACAAATATCAACATCTATTCAAGGTAAGAAATCTAGAAAGCCATATGTAAATAAGTCAGAACAAAAACTTTCATCGACTTTACTTTTCGAAATGTCCGTTACATGTTTCGCGATAAATGGTATCATGATAAAGTAAAGGTAGACAAATTGAATGGCGAAGGGAGACTACGCGCTAGTGTTTTCCTTACATAAGTTCACATCTAGCTGTATTTGATGTGTGATTTTTTGTGAAGTCCATTATCCCTGACTGGTTAATTTTAAAATATCTTTTCAAAAACAGTTTCAGACTCAAAACGAAAACTACTTCTATAAATAGAAATTCGTAATTGTCACCTTTTTATAGCTTTTGAGGTCATGTTACCAGTCTTGTGCAGCTATTGAATGCATTCGTAACATACTGCGTAATACAAAAAATAGAAATTTATTGTGGAAGATACAAATGTAAGAAACACATTTTCGAATTAAGTTTATATTGTGTTTTGTTTTTCATACTGACTTCCATGCGATTGAGGCGTGAAATTTGTTTTTGTTCTCATTCATTTATATGACATGTTTCGAATCAACGAAGAAGAAACCAATATTTGACTTTATATGATAGAAAATGGAATAAAGATTTGGTTCTGAATTTATTTTTAGCATAATTGTTTAAAATCGTGTCAATGGACACAAAAATTATAAACAAAAATAGCTCGCGCCTCTTGGCGCGGAGCAATAAGGCACATGTTAAATTGGAAATAACACTTAAAATGGCGACCAAGGGAGGTAATAATTATCAACATCATTATCTGCGCTTATCATATTTCATACAGATCCGTGTATGTCAGCACCGTGTAAAAATTCAGCTCATTGTGAGAGAGATATAGACACTGGTGGATATAGATGTATATGTATGCCTAAAACATATGGGAAAACGTGCGAACATAGTAAGTACATATATTTTCGTGTTATTATCATTTGCGACGACATAAAGTATTTATTCTACAGTGAGTGTTACTGTAGATTTCATGGGTTCAAGCAAGTAATTGAGTCCGCACATTCACTTCCTTTTCAGAACGTTGAAAATTGATGATAACGCAGGCATTCATTAACATTTGTGTTGTTTTGCATCATGCACGTCTTTCATTTTATGCTATATACTTTAAAACACTATTTGTGTGCAATAAAAATCTCTTAATGAATGTTGTTTCTATTATAAACAAATTCTTTGCAATTATATGATTAACGATTATTTCAGAAATTGATTTCTGTGATCCAGATCCATGCGTTCAAAAAAACATCTATATTTGTTTTAATGGAATGTGCAACTGTAAACCGGGATTTAATGGGACATTCTGCGAAAATAGTGAGTCCAATTATATTTCAGCAGAAAAATGTCAGTTTATGACATATCTTACTGAGAAGTGAAAAATTGCAATATTTTGAAATTTTCCTTTTTTGATGTGGGACCAGTTACGTAAGTTTAAAGCCGTTCAACTACGCAGGAAATTAAATAAAGTTTCCTTTTAAAAGGAAAGGCTTGCTCAGTGTGTCATCATCCCTTCCCTTTAAAATTGTGGGTTTTTTTTATTATGACATTTTGTTTTGAATTACGGTATTTGTATATCATAAAGGGTTTATATAGTTTTTTTCTCGAAAAAAAAAAGTTTCACTTTTAAAGGGATAGGTAGGGTAAGCTCAAGACTGGACGAGCACCTGTGCCCATTTTTTGAGCACCAGTGGTTATGTGTAAATAGGGACCAGAAGTCCACTGTTTATAACTGAACGGGAACATGCTGACGATAACAGTTGCAACTTTTTTGTAAAAATGAATATTTTTTTGTCAAAAACGATTTGAAATCTATTCTCTATTAAAATAATCAATCGTAAAAAATACTAACATTGGCTCTCGCGTGGAGATCAATCTATCGTACTGAAGGACATTTCATTTCCACTTTTTTCGCAGAGAGAGTCATTCGTTTTGGCAGTTGCTAATTTCATTTCTATAGCAGCTTTAGAGACAAGTGAATGCACTAAAAGACTTCGTTACGTGGTACCAATTAATAAGCATGTATCAACAATGTTACACGGACGTGGTAAGGTTAATGATATGCATGGGCTATTTTTAGATTACCTCAGCAAGACGTTTAAACTATGTCAGTAGATCTAAATATAACTTGACCATGCACTAATATTCTGCGTGATTCGGTCACGATATTTTGGTAAGCAGGACCGCCCTTTGGAGACGGAATAATACTACAGTAACCATTCTCTATTTTATAACACTAATAAAGACAAAAATCAATTATAAAAGAAACTAACTTTTGCGTCTTGAAAAAGAATTTAAACGGAATCAAGTGAAAATAGAAAAACAAACTGGGATTTCCAAAGTAACTAAAATAACTTAGATTTCCGTAATATTACTTCGTCTGATTCCGCAGTATGACGGAATCGCCCGAATTGTCACGATTGCAATCGGAACAACCTTGGCTATTATAATTAATCCGAAGAGTGACGGAAAGGGCCGAAAAGATGCGATTGGCACGATTGCAACTGGTTTCCCGTTCAATCATGCACTAACAAATGTAAACAGGAAACCACCTAACCGGAACAACTTTTCCAAAACAAATAGGCTTGCAGCCGTGGCTGCAAGCCAAAAAAAAAACAGAGATCCACTACTGTTTTATTGACTGCAGGAAACAAACGCACCGAAAAAGTTCAACGCGACGGTTGCTAGAACAAAACAATTCAAGTTAACAGTTTAAAGTAAAGTTTAAGCAAAGCTTTAGAGTGAGTGAAATGCAGATGGCGATTTTATTCATTTTTTAATTTATTTCATTTTATTTATTTCCTTGATAAAACCAAGTATTTCATTATTAAACAAATAAGTGGATTTGTTGTTTACTTTTTCAAAAGTATTCTTTATCATTAATCAAAATTTTGCAACAGTTTAATGATGTTGGTTAAAATGTGTTTCATATTTTAAAGCATTTTTTTAAACATTCTCAAAGCAACCTCTAAAAGATACAACCAAAGTTATTTTTGCTCTTGTTTCAGCAAGTGAAATATTTCTGGACTACGAGTGTTTAGCTTTACTTACTAAAATACATACGTATATTGTAGATATTAACGATTGTCAACAAAATGCATGCAATCAACATGGAATATGTATCGATGGTGTCCAAAATTATACATGTGAATGCTTTGATCGTTATAAAGGGGAACATTGTGAAACGGGTGAGACATTTGGTCCATTTTTAGCTCACCTGAGCACGAAGTGCTCAAAGGTGAGCTTTTGTCATCACTCTGCGTCCGTCGTGCGTCGTGCGTCGTGCGTCGTGCGTCGTGCGTCCTTCAAAAAATGGCGTCAAACTTTTCAAACAACATCTCCTCCTAAACTACATGGCCAATTGCAACCAAACTTTACAGAAATGATCCTTAGGTGGACCCCTTTCAAAGTTGTTCAAAAATTTAAATTCCATTAAAAACTCTGGTTGCCATGGCAACCAATAAGAAAAACTTAAAAAATCTTCTTCTAAAAAACCGTAAGAGCTAGAGCTTAGATATTTGGCATGAAACATCTTCTAATGAGTGCCTACCAAGTTTGTTCAAATCAAAGCCCTAGGGTCAAAATTGGCCCCGCCCCAGGGGGTCATTGATTTTCCCTATATGCATATAGTAAAAACTTAAAAAATCTTCTTTTAAAGAACTCAAAGAGCTAGAGCTAAGATATTTAGCATGAAACATGTTCTAATGGGTGTCTACCAAGTTTGTTCAAATAAAAGCCCTGGGGTCAAAATTGGCTCCGCCCCGGGGGTCATTGATTTTCCTTATATGTGTATAGCAAAAACTTAAAAAATCTTCTTTAAAAAAACCCAAATAGCTGGAGTTTAGCTATTAAGCATGAAACATCTTCTAGTGAGTGTCTACAAAGTTTGTTCAAATCAAAGCCCTAGGGTCAAAAATTGGCCCCGCCCCGGGGTCATTGATTTTCCTTATATGACTGTGTATAGCAAAAACTTAAAAATCTTCTTTGAAAAAACCCAGATAGCTAGTGTTTAGATATAAAGCATGAAACATCTTCTAGTGAGTGTCTACCAAGTTTGTTCAAATAAAAGCCCTAGGGTCAAAATTGGCCCCGCCCCCGGGGGTCATTGATTTTCCCTATGTGCATATAGTAAAAACCTTAAAAAATCTTCTTTTAAAGAACTCAAAGAGCTAGAGCTAAGATATTTAGCATGAAACATGTTTTTATGGGTGTCTACCAAGTTTGTTCAAATAAAAGCCCTGGGGTCAAAATTGGCCCCGCCCCGGGGGTCATTGATTTTCCCTATGTGCATATAGTAAAAACTTAAAAAATCTTCTTTAAAAGAACTCAAAGAGCTAGAGCTAAGATATTTAGCATGAAACATGTTCTCATGGGTGTCTACCAAGTTTGTTCAAATAAAAGCCCTGGGGTCAAAATTGGCCCCGCCCCGGGGGTCATTCATTAGCTTGACTTTTTTTTTTTTAGATATATACATATAATATATATACATATATATTTAATATATATATATATATATATATATATATATATATATATATATATATATATATATATATATATATAAATATATATATATATAAATGTATATATATATATAGATATATATATATATATATATATATATATATATATATATATATATATATATATATATATATATGTTTATATATATATATATATATATATGATATACCCCAGGGCTTTTATTTGAACAAACTTGGTTGTATATGTATATATATATATATATATATATATATATATATATATATATATATATATATATGTATATGTATATATATATGTATGTATATGTATAATATATATATACATATACATATATATATATATATATATATATATATATATATATATATATATAATATATATATATATATATATATATATATATATATATATATATATATATATATATATATATATATATATATATATACATATACAACCAAGTTTTTAAATATATATATATATATATATATATATATATATATATATAAAATATATATAGCTATATATACCCGGGGCGGGGCCAGTTTATATATATATATATATATATATAATACTATGGTTGTATATGTATATATATATATATATATATATATATATATATGTATATATATAATATACATATATATACATATATATATATATATATATATATATATATATATATATATATATATATATATATATATATATATATATATATATATATATATATATATATATATGCATACATATACAACCAAGTTTGTTCAAATAAAAGCCCTGGGGTTTAAACTGGCCCCGCTCCAGGGGCCTATATACAGGTGAGCGACTTTGGGCCATCATGGCCCTCTTGTTTATAATTTTGTTATGAAAAATTGCACAGTATCTCTTTCACCTGCATTACTGATTTACATATGAATCCGTTATATAGCAATAAAGAAAGTAACTGTTTTAAAATAATGGATTTAATCACGTTTACGTAGAAATACTTGTTCATCAAAATGTAATTATGCAGGCAATGTTTATTTATTTATTATTTTATATATTTTTCTTACAGACGCATGTCCGTCACAGAGAAATGGAGCCATGACTTGCCCAGCAAGTAGGTTTTATTAATTTTCTGATTTTTGATTTTGTTGAACATTTAACAAAATAATATGTTAATATATGTTATATCTAACAAACTGCTTATAAAATTTCAGGTGGTTGTGAAACAGATCCTTGTAATGGGCGGGGTGTTTGTTCTGTTGGCGGTCACTGCACGTGTTCATATGGCTACTCCGGAACAGATTGCCTGACACGTAAGTTTTTGTACCTAGCCTGAATCTATGTATAGCTACGACTAGCGATTAAGAAATTATATATAGTGCTAAATTTTATATATTTTTTGCTAAATTTTGTAGAGAAATATAGGCAAATAAAGGTAAAATGCTATCTAAATTGAGGATATAGCTTAACATAAGCCAAAATCATTAGTAGTATTGACGTCTATTATCAGAAGTTCGTTTCACAAAATAATGATTATGTATATTTTCCTATTTTCCAGCAAAATGTAATATATCGGGAACTGTTGTAAGTAAATATTGCGTCTTATATTGTGTTTTTTATCTTTAAAGATAGAAATTAACTACAGACATTTATAAATCATGACGCAAGGCTTTGTTCATCCTAGGAAACTCACTTTTAAACTACTTTTTTTAATTCATTACTTCATCTCTGCGTTTGTAAATGATGTTGGTATGCATTTTAAAACTATTTAGAACATGGCCATTTGTTAACTTTCAGCATTATATTTGTTCTACGAATCTTAATTCTATTAAATCTATGAAGTAAATGTATGAAGGGAGCAATTTCGATTCTTCCGAAAATAATGAAACATTATTATAATATTAACTTTAAAAAGAACAGTGATAATTCGTTTGTCTGTCACTTACAGGGCAGCGGGATAATTTCTCCTTCTCCAAAAGATGGAAGCACTTTGATATGTAATAAACATGAGGACATGAGGTTATCGTGCAGTCTGCGTTTGTATGTTGCTGCTAAATCAGGGTAATGAAATTGAGTAACTTCGGTGAATTTTAGTGTAAAATAATCTACATGATATTAATACCTTTATCAACGTGTCTTTTTCAAAGTAAATATTTCTTAAATTCCAAAGCCAATTTGTTAACACTTGTCGATTATCGTATTCTTTACCGCTATGTGGACCAAGTTATATATGTTTTAATAACAAAGTTCATGTGAATGTGTTTCTTCATGTTCTTTATAAACTTTGCATTATTTTGTGTTGATAATATTCTTATTAAAATATCAAAATTAATAAATGTTCAAAATAATCAATGTAAACTATTCAATATCAAATGCAATAACTTTTTTACTTTGACCTGACATAAAATATAAGCGCCATTTTAACTATAACCTATTTATAATGCAGATAAGCTTAATTAAATGATGTAAATTCTCATAGTTCTGCAATTTACCATATTTTTAAAATAGCTTTACTCCTCTTTTGAAAAAAAGACAAATAAATACATAATAAAATGCAGTTGTATATTTAAGTGCTTGTTATCTGATTATCAATTTTGTATAGCAAAAATGTATTTCTTATCTTATTATTATTCCAACTTTTAATTCAATTTTTAATTCCGTAGCTTACCTCCTGTTATGAGCACCGAAACAACAGATGAACTAAGAAGTATCATAACAACACACCCTGTCAAAAAGTCAACAGATCTTCCTGGTGTTTCCCCTATCTTCTCGGTAGACATAACTATAAATGGACAAATGAACAGTTCTAAACCACAGTATTTATGTGTAACGGCAACATATACGTAAGTTTCACACAATACAAATATTTAATGAACTAATTTTCCCTATAAGATATCATCACCGAAATAATAGTGAAAAAATTTTAATTAATAAATATCATTAGATGATATTTCTGAAATGAAACAAGCTTGTGGGACAAAGTAAATAGTTAATTTAAATAGCATACACAGAAACTATAAACATGTTTAAGCAATAATATAGTTATCCCAAACTGATTTTATCGCTCAATAAAGTTTAGAGTTCGAATGCGAGAAATAATATGACGAGGGCGTAGCCCGAGCAATATACTGATTCTAACAATGAGTGCTGAGGTGAGTTTCCCACTGGGATTTTTCATTCTCCCACTGGGGTTTTGCTGTCCCATGGGGTTATTCATGGGGTTTTTACCCTATAAAATATAGGGAGATTTAGAAAAATGTAAAGAATTAACTTTTTTGCAAGAAAGTTGTTATTGTAATCTTAAAATACTTTATTGTTTAAATAAAAAACATAAAAATTAATGTTTAAAAATCCTCCAATTTTCGTTCCGGAGAAAATCCACCTGTGGATGAAATCTCCAATTCTGATTATGGGGGTAAAGTCCCAAATTGAGAGAATATCCCATTTCTGATATTGGGAGATTATTCCCATTCCTTACAAATGGGGGAATATTCTATCTATGAGATTTGACTCTAAAAACAAATATTGGAATAAATAATTACTTTAAGTTATCAAAGTTCAAGAGTTGTACAAAATTGCGTTTGTTCACAAAAATATTACTTTTACCGATTTTTGAGTGGGTATATGAAGTGCCAAATGTAAACGGAATAAATATAGGATTTTGAAAATTAAATTTCATTTTTTTTGTTAAAATTGTCATATAAGAAATAGATGGGATTATATCATTTTTCAGTTTAATTGAAAACATGAATATAGATTTTAATCAAATAACAACTTACATTGTATTAATTATTGATCAATTGGTGTTTGGTGCCTTTTTTATATTGTTATGGGCTACTATTCTATAATATCCTAATATGCATATACATATAGGACGAGTATGCAAAATATTTGATTATGTGTCTATCGCCTGTGGATCCTTAGGTATATGTTTTGGATCAATGTTTAAAGGTTAGAATCTTATATTATTTCAATTTGCTGTATTCATTATGAAAAAAATAATCTCAAGTCGAAAAAAAGGCTACAATTTACAAATTCTTAGTTTCTAGGGGCGGAGATATTTGTTTTCAAGAATTATTTCTTTGAACAAAATTGTCCCTTTTTATTAATTATTGCTACATTTTTGGAGACTGTTTATTTCTAAGAACGATCAATTATTACTACAAGTTATTGGAAATCTGTATTTGAAAGGTGCCTGCCTTGTGGAAAATCTGTAACCCGTTAAAAATATTTGTGTGCTATCTTTCAGCATAATAGTGTTACTTTGAATACTTTTATATGATGTAAAAAGTCAGTTTCTGATAGTCGTCAAAATATTTTTTTTCACTTACATATACATATTCATGCATTTTCATTAAAATATTTAAAGAAAAAGTTAGCTTCAGATTTCCTGATGTAAGAAATTCAATATATAGACAAGTGTACATGGAAAAGAATGACACTATTTGCACATTAAAAGTGTGAATTACAAAATGACTAAAGGTAATTTATCTAAATTGGAAAAAAAAGAATGAAAAACGTACAAATCTATTTTGTAATTATTATAGTTTACTATTATATGTATGCATACAAGCATAATTTATTTTCTGCTTAAATGTAATGCGTGTGTTCCTGTTTCTTATATAAAATGCTTAGCTTGAGGAATGGTTATGAATGACCAATCACGGCTTAATATGAGTTCATTTAAAATTCAATATATATATACTGAAAGAAAAAAGTTTAGCAAGTTTTTCACACCTATTATTTTTTCTTTTTGAGCTTTCGAATGAAGACGTTTTTATATGTAAATGATGTACTTATCAATGCTCTTTACACATCTATTGTGTTTGTTCGAAAACTGTGTATTTTATCAGCGAAGCGTTAGAAACTCGAAAATCACGTGCAACGTAAGCACGGCAATTTCGGTAGCGTGTAGAGTCGAGTAATGTACCTCATTGTTTTGAGCTGTTACCACAAATAAAATAACCAGTTTAAAACTCGAAGAAATTCCAATGGGGAGTCGCCAAGGAATGACGTTAGAAGAACGTCAAAGAGCTGTAGGTATGCTCCACGCTGGTAGGACGGCAAGAGCTGTCGCTCGGCATTTCAATCGCCATGAGTGTACAATTAGTCGCCTTAGAAACGGTCTGAGGCAAACAGGACGAGTCAACGACAGACCCAGATCAGGCAGACCACGGAAAACAACGCCACGCGAAGACCGTCACATCACGACGCTTTCTCGACGTAAGCGGTTTATGTCCAGTGGGAAGATAGCCCCAGATATCATTAATACTACTGGGACAAGGGTGTGCCTCAGAACTGTGAGAAATAGGCTTTGCGCGGCAAGGCTAAAGGCGATACTGAACTCCTTGTGAATTTTGACGCCTTACCCCTAACGTCTTTCAGGCTGTACAGTGAGCTAAGGCAACAGGTTTTTGACAATTTATTGTTACAAACTAATTGAAAACTAAATGCTTTATTGAATTATGTACTTGGTTTAAGTCACATTGGTATAGTTTCAATAAACCAGTGAAATATTTCCGAACTTGCTAAACTTTTTTCTCTCAGTATATATCGTTTAAATTGTATGTATCACCCAAACTTGAAAAAGCATCACTCTTTTCTGAATGAACGTCTTTATACACATTTTTTTCTAAATTGCGTCTTCTGTACATTAAAGAATAAGCATTAGAAAAAGTGGTTGATATGTCTAATCAATAAAAGGGGTTTAAGTTTATAAATGGTCTCAGTGTCATGGGTCGTGATGTCTCTTGGTTCGAGGTGTCTTTGGGTCAACATGTCATAGAGTCCCCTTAATATCATACTTGTATGTCTTTTGTGAGAGAAAAAAAAAATGTTTCCTTTAATGTATCTTTTCAGAACGTCAAAGTCAACATCATGCTACGGAATAACTAGTCGTAAGTTAAAAATCTGCATACTTTGCATACGAAAAACAGAATATTTACAGAATATTTACTAGTTTATGTGCAATGCTCTTGTAGTAATCACATTTTTTGTTGTATTTTATAACTCTCTTATGGTCTTATCTTAACAGTCACATAGAACTGTGACATATTCCATACATATTACACAACATCACCCGATGCCTAAATAATAACTCGACAGAGTCTGCATTACAATCCAGAACAAAAAGGGTAAATATAGAGGAAAGTTAGGATAGTAGAGTTGCATTTTATGGTTTTATCAAAAGAGGTTAAACTTTGAATTTTACATAAATGTTTTCAAAGTTAAAAACTTACCCTTTGACATATATTTCTACCGGTGCTCAATGCTGAGAACCACATTAAGTTTAAATTATATTTTGATAATTTTCTCTGTAAAATTATAAAACATAATATTTTTCACAAATTAATCATTTATCCACCCAAAAAGAAAATAAAATAAAAACATGAACTATTTTTAAGCGATTTTTTGTATAAACAATAATTATTTAATAAGGATTAAGTTGCAAGCAAAATGTTTTGGTTAAATTCAGTCAGTTATTTATATAAAAGCTTTTCAAAAATTTTTTTTTCGTTTTTATGAAAAGGTAAGTTCAACTTTTTGAGCCATTTCTCTTCTTTATCAATTTAAACTTGTGAACAGATTCAATTTAAAAACGAGTTTCTACATTTTGCAACATTTTCAATTTTGTAGTTATGGGTCTTTCTGAGGGTGTACATTTTTTCAATTTTTTTTATATTCAGTGGGTCATATTATGTATTTAGATGTAAATGCATGTATGTTTCTTATGTAAGGTGGTGTGGTTTAAATATGTATTATATTTAAGCTTTTTAATATCTCTGTAATATTATTTGTATATTATAAGTTTGTCAGTCTGGATTTAAATGTGATGACATATCTTATTATAAATATTTATAATAGAAGTAAATTTCACTTATCAATTATTTTAGATGAGGCCGACACTACCCAAATTAATGTAAGTGATATTTGTATAGTTTACCCGAATATAGATAGATATTGGAGCATATAGAATTCTTAATTTTGAGTAACATTTGTGTGTGCTTTCACAACATGACAATGTTTCGTTCTTTATATTCTCTATGTTCTTTATTTTCTTAATACAATGACGACTAAATGTGATGATTGACTCAATAAAACATTGATTATTTCTTTTTGCGGAAAGACATTTTCGTAATACAATACATGTAATGAGATTTTGATTGAGCATGATAAAATAACATTTAATTTTTGCGCAGTCATTAATTCTGTCTGTCATATAATATATGATGTTTTGTAGGCAACAGTTAAATTCGAACAGCCAACATTGAAAGATCGCAGTAGAATTGTATGCAGCGTCGGAGCGAGGTGCCAATTTCTATTGTACACAACTATCGTTTCGAACCGGTATGTGAGATATTTTCCATGATACTTATATTCTGTGCATAATGTAACCCACTTTGATTTATTTTAAATATTTTGTTAAAACCTGAATGAAACATTATGCCAAATTCAACATTTGTAAGAGACGAACGCTTGTGTTTTATATGAAGCTTTGTCATATTTATAGTACTAAGAAGTTATTGTTGGCAATATGCCTAAAAATACTCACATGCTCGCCACGTTTTTGTACAAGTACGTCCAAAGAAGACTCTTTGACTTTCGCCTACTTGCCTTGCTAAACAGTCATCAGCCATATTTTACTTTATTACTTTATGACCAGCATTGTATGCATTAATCATCAAAGTTGAAAAAGTCTTTGAGTTCATATTTTTAATGCATCCCAACAAGCAGAAGTATATTTGGCCAATATCGATTAGTCGATATCAAGTACATATATCAGTTCTTATAAAGGTGATATTGGGGCATCCAAAGATAAGAATAACCGCAAAATATTTTATTGAATTTTAAATTCTCTTTATTCAATACAAACCCAGAATACACCGCAATTTCACTCACCATGAAGCGATTTATCATGATTTCAGACCAATTTTCGGTGTTGTATTTAGTAAATACATATCGACTTATTTTTAATAGCTGGTTATAAAGTCAAAGCATTATATACACCCAGTGACTGCTTCAGATTTAACTGTAATGACGGTGGTTTCTCAGAAAAACTGATAACAGTTCATAGTTAATTTATACTATTCGTCCATAATTAATAAATGATATTGGTCCGTTATTGAATTTTGATTTGTCAAATATTTCACTACCATATCCGTCCTTTTTCTTTTATATCGGTTTCATATTTAAAACTTCACAAAACACACAGTAAGTGGATTATAAATCTGATAATAGAATCAATATCGGACCAATGTCGGCTTGATATATGATGAGTGTTGTATAATAGTAAATTCATTTAATTTGAGTCATTTTGGCTGTTTACATACGTCGGTCGTTAACACTCCAGCTACCATTCAGCAGTCATATACTATCTACGTTTGTGAAATAAATTTTACGTTATACCTGTGATAGCTTGGTAAGATAAAAATATGTCCTGTCTCGCATAAAGGTGTGCTCAAAAATTGAGTCATGTTACTTTTTATAATTACATTTTGGTTTATGGCAGATAATATCCAAGAAAAGCGCACTTCAAATTTTATTATCTTGATACAATAATAATAGAAATCAGAACGGCTTGTCGCAAACTGTACCTTTAGTCTTTTGAGTACACTACGAAGTGTTATAGAAGTAATTTTTCGCACAAACAAAATTCAGGGTATGTAGAAATAGATAAAAAAACAATGCATGTAATATGTGAAAGAAATGAATTCAATTGTATAAGGATAATCCGAAAAATATGATTTAATATATCAATATCTCAACAAATTAAGACCCAATATTTTGATTATTCTCGATCAAATGTTGCAAAGAGAGACTAATTGCTAATGTCTTGTTGAAAAGACTTATTTATCATTTCATTCGATTTCGACAAGTGTAAGTTTGTCTAGATTAAATCGTATTCAAACAACTTAAAAATAGTTTCTATAAAATACATCAGTTTGGGTATGGAAGGTTTTTTCAAGCAGAGGTCTACCATGAACGATAAAATATTAAGATTTTGTTGGATGAAATATGATATAACCCGAAACCGAGCAACTGGTATGACTTTAAAAATCAGTAGGTCATTTAAACATATACGTTGATTCATGAAAGGTGAATTTAATAAACCAATGAATGATTGAGAGATAGCACTAACAGTTAAGGATAAAATCAAAATGAATCCTTGAAAACTAACAATTTGTGCAATGACACCGAATGACACATATTTTCTTTGTTATGACATACCCTTGAAAAGGTTGGCTCATTTAAATGCTTGAAAACATTTTCCTAAAATATAGTCAAATGCATCATACACAAATAAAACCTCCAAAACCATCCTGATCTTATCGAATCGGAGATATCTAATGGGAATACAATGAGTATACATGGAAACATTATCATGATGAAATATATGTTAAACATTTTAGCATATAAAACAACTAATTGATATAAAGAATGAAGAAGTAGAGAAAATGATACTTTAGTTTTAGCTGAACTATGCGAAGTATATAGAATGCTGACCAACTCACCCCGGCGTCTGCGTCCTGATTTCTAAAAACGTTTGATGGAGTAAATATTTTTCGCTGTATCTTCTTTGTGTCGTCAGTTATCTTCATCAAAGTCAAATATATATTCCTAATTATCAACATTGTCATATAAGACAACACCAACGTTTCCAGAATTATCTCACCATGAACTTAATTTTCGGAAGCGCACCTGAGGTCTTCCTCCACCAATAAAGCTGGAACGTCGCGATATGACCTATACTTTGTCGATGTGACGTAAAACCCAAAACAAACAAACAAACTGAGCAATCAGTGCTTTGTCTAATTGTGATTCGAAAGCCATCAGTCACTTTGCCTTAAAATGTTTTTATTGCATGCAAAGTTTATGAAAATAATAATGAAAATGCTGTCCTGTCAATACATCTGAATATACATTACTATATTGTAAGGCATTCTTATATATTGAGCGGGATCATTTGTGTCTTTCAGAAACATTTCTAATTTCTTATAAAAAATACTATTATTTTAACTTCTTTATTTTAAAGGTTTACTTCAATTTCAAATCTGCGTTTCATGTCGTCTCAAGGATCATAATAATATGACTTGGTATATAACTCCAGCATCAACATTTTCACAAATTTATGCACATAAAGTTAGCATGCTCCTTAATATACCCATGTACAACGAAAGTATAAACTTGTACTTATGCTCAATGTTAATGTTTAAGAAACGGAGACACTTAGCATTTTATTTCACTTTCAGCTTGCAAGAAGTGTGACATTTAGCAAAAGAAATTTCTAAAACGGTTATGCAAAATGTCTGAATATATTATACTTTTTCAAGGTCTTCTTGTAAGATAACAACTTCGTCAAGTGTTGGTGGATCTGCCAGTGGGACTGTACCTAGTGACCGTTGTGATATGGATGATAAAGATAATGATGCAGACGATACAGATCAAAATGGAAAAGCAACTTCCCCATGCTGGTAATCTTAAGCTCCTTTAAACTGTTTATACTCATACATTAGTAGGAAAAGTACATTAGTGAAATACATGGTTAATATGAAAATTACAATTAAACCTCGTCCATATTTTCCAATTTCTTAAAATTTCTTATTGTCATGAAAACAAATAAAAGGAAAGACAATGTCATTTTGTTTTGCTTTTTTTTATTGAGCATCACACTTTATTTTTTAATTTTTGTCTAATTGATAGTTTTCAGAAGATTAAAGTTTAGTGACATTTGACACAAAAAGCTAACGCTTCTAATTCACTTTGTACGGAAAACCAAAAACATTATCTAAATGTGCACCGATGCATTTGCTTTACAAAATGTTTCTTAGAGTTATAAAGGGAAGAGTAGCAGTCATAGATCATGACAAAATGCAAATGAGATAGTGGAGACAGTACAACGTTATAATTAAATTTGGAATAATTTTAAAGCATAATAAGTTTGAAAGGCTACGTGGATCAACGTCATATTCAAGCTTCTTCATCGCCTTGATAATAATTTTCGTACGTAACAGTCTTCGTGTAAGAAAATTATAACTCTCATAATAATAATTTTAATTTAAGTTTTTTACAATATGTAAACATGCCACAATCACGAGGACAAAGGGTATATTTGTTCGTTTTGTGTAAGATGAAATTTTATTTCATCGAGTAAGCTTTAAAAACAGTATTATTACGAATGGCGTAGTCATGATTTTAAAATCCATGAAATAAAATGATATCTTACACAACAAACTAGCAAATTTTCTTTTTATTTTATGCTTAAAGTTTAAATAGAATGTTTCCAGTATTAGCTTTAATAATAAAATATGTTTCCCCACTGGATGCCTCAATTTTAGTCCAATTTAAATCAAATTTCTCTTAAATACAAGAAATATTGAGCTGAAAAATAAGTTCGACAAGCAACGTTAAATGGTGATGAAATTATTTATTTTATCCAAAAGCCAGGAAAGGTCGTTTTTTGTAATGAAGACAAAGAATTGTAGTAAATGGAAAAGTCACATCATCCAACCTATTATCGTTACTTATGTCACATTTATATTAGACCAGGCTTTGTGTTATATTAGCGGCCGCCATTTTTAAAAGTTGTGTATTTCACAGGAAGAAAATAATTGTGTTTGATTCAGAGGAATATGATTTGGATATGTTAAGCATTCATCTTTTTATAAGAAAGAAAACTTATTTGAGGATTGTTACAGACAATCAATAATTGTTGGCAGCTGGGTAAACATTCAAAACGCGGCTAAGATTTGGAAAATATGGAATTGTTGAAAAGCTTACTAACGAACGCTGTTTAGTTTACTTATTCTTTGAGCTGATGACAGTTATTTCTCGTTGGATACATAAATATGTTCATAATTTTGTCATCCAGAGCAGTTTTGCGTGTGGAAGGAAGTGCATTTTTTAGACTGTAAAAATGAAACAAAAAATGTAGAGACAATATTAAGTGATCGGTAACTTGAATGAATTCAAGTAACTTTGTTTTCTTTTTATTACTTTTGAGATTTTAGTCATTTATCAAGATCAGCTTAAATTTTCTCTAAACAGCCCTGACAATGTCAGAATTGTCAATAAAACTAAAATTGAGGTACTACATGGGGAAAATCGTTTAAAGTGGTCTAGTCATTGAAATTAAAAATTATATTTTGATAATTTTCACTGTGAAATTATCAAATATAATTTTCACGGATAAATCAGTAATCCACTCAAAAGCATAAAAAAAAGGTATAATCGGAATAATAGTAACTATCCGTTATGTTGCTACAGTATCATTGACCTATGCTCCCTGGTGGCATCTTTTTTACCAGTTTCAGATTTGTCTCTCGAGAATTAACGTTTTTGAATCACTCGATACTCATTTGAGAAAATTTAGTGAAAACTTTAATAAGCAATGAAATAATGAGACGCGTGTAAAAAGAAATTTAATCGGAGATAAAACCATATTTATTGATCATAGCGAAGATGTCATTTCATCAACTGACGAAGTAACAGTATATAACGCACATCCACGTGGACAGTCATGTGTTACAGAGGCTTCTGTTGTCTATTATAGTCCAGGGGAGAAACAGATTTGTTTTCAATCCAGGTATGTATCATTAGATTTTTTTTGTAACTGCGAATAATAAAACTAAAAAGCGAACAGGCACTAAGCATAAACATATATTTTAGTGCACATTGTCCACTTGAACACAAACTTGATATTAAGTTTAAAATATATGCTTTATTGATTTAAATTATTGTCAGATATGTATAAATGCAAATGCTTCCTTTTGAATCGATTATAATTCATGATGATCATGTGTTTCAATTATATTTTTCTTCCAATTCACAATCAGCATGATGTTACAATATTATTTCCAGTTATTCTATGTTCCAACAACTATGTTACACAGTTGATGTATACGCTGACACAAAAGGTAAATTATGCTGGTTAACAAATTAATAAATTGTTTTAAATTGAAAAATTGAAGAGTAAAATTGTATTCATAATATTTTCTTCTGTTGGATAAAAAATAAATCTTTTCTACCGTATTTACATATACTTCATCGACAATGTACGTACTTTGATGTAGCAAAATTGTGTTTAAGTTGTGCCAGAAAGAAAGTGACGACAAGATTAATAGTTCAAATTTGAAATTAACGGTATTCTTCAATTTTATATTTCATATTGTTGTTATATTTTCTGCATTCAAAGACCCTTGCTTCGGTTCACCTTGTCAGAACAACGGGAAATGTTTGCACGCAGGTCACGACAATTTTACTTGTGTATGTCCAAAGAACTATATAGGTGATAAATGCGAGCAAGGCAAGTATGGCTAAATACATTTTTGATACATATGTTTGTATGCTCCCCAAAGAGTGAGCATAAAGTCGCCGCTTTGGCCCTCCGGCTTTATGTCCGTCCGTCCATTTCCACATTAAATTTTAAATTTGTAGGTAGATTTGCAGTGCACAAGAACCCTATCTCTGCCTACCTTAATTTTCGAGTTATTGCCTTTTTTCATTTTTACACTTGAGTTTGTACAAGTCATAATTCTGACACTGTATTAGATATGACATGAAATTTGAAGGTAGATATATCTCATTGGGTAGATGAGCAGTGAAAAACAAACGTTAATCTGCCTTATCGATTTTTTTTAGTTATTGCCCTTAGATCATTTTATGCCCAGCATATAGCGTTGCACTTGTCCGTCCGTCCGTCTGTCCGTCCGTCCGCACTCACAGGAGAGTAATTATGTGGCTAGAGGGACAATAGGTAACTGTTCTTTCTCTTTGATGTCATTCATTCCGTAATGCTTTTATGTGGCTATTTTCTTTTGTGTGGCTAAAAAGAACAATAGAGAACAATAGAGTAGCCACATAATTAATGTCCTGTGAGAACTTCCGTCCGTCTGTCCGTCCGTACGTCCCGAAATCTTGTGAACGCAACTCCTCTTTAACCGGACGGCATATTTTGCTTAAACTTACAGGGATTAACAACCTTAATGTGTAGATGGTAGTAACGGAAGGAATTTTCGCTGCAACCAAATTTAACAGAATTATGGCCCTTTAATGATTTTTTCACTATAAACTATCATGTAGAAATTTTGTGAACGCAACTCCTCTTAAACCGAATGGCAGATTTTGCTTAAACTTCCAGGGATGAACAACCTTAATGTGTAGATGGTAGTAAAGGAAGGAATTTTTGCTGCAACCAATTTAACAGAATAATGGCCCTTTGTTGATTTTTTCACTATATAGTATGTAGAAATTTTGTGAACGCAACTCCTCTTAAACCGGATGGCAGATTTTGCTTAAACTTCCAAGGATGAACAACCTTAATGTGTAGATGGTAGTAAAGGAATGAATTTTTGATGCAACCAAATTTAACAGAAGTATGGCCCTTTAATGTTTTTTTCCCTATATACTATGTAGGAATTTTGTGAACGCAACTCCTCTTAAACCGGATGGAAGATTTTGCTTAAACTTCCAGGGATGAACAACCTTAATGTGTAGATGGTAGTAAAGGACGAAATTTTTGCTGCGACCAAATTTAACAGAATTATGGCCCTTTGTTGTTTTTTTTCACTATATAGTATGTAGAACTTTTGTGAACGCAACACCTCTTAAACTGGATGGCAGATTTTGCTTAAACTTCCAGGGATGAACAACCTTAATGTGCAGATGGAAGTAAAGAAAGGATTTTTTGCTGCGACCAAAATTAACAGAATTATAGCCCTTTGTTGATTTTTTCACTATATACCATATATATATGTCCTTTGGACACAGTTCTAGTTTCACGTTGAACTTTGTCCGGGACTTAACTCTGAAACTATACCAATATGAAACCTTTTTTGTATATATGTATCATTGTGTAGATATGCAGTTCAAAGAAACATAACTCTGCCTTGCTTATTTTTGGAGTTATTGCCTTTTTTCAATTTTACACTATGAACTTTGTGACATTTCTCTGAAATTATAAAAGACATCAACTTGATCTTTCTAGGTAAATAGATCTCATTTTGTAGATATGCAGTGCAAAGAAAAATGACTCTGCCCTACTTAGTTATTGAATTGTTGCACTTTGAACTTTGTCCGGGTCATAACTCTAAAACTACAAGAGGTATACTATTCTGTGTCCAAAACCTTATCGGGAAGCATCACCTGGTTCACCCGGCCCTTGTTTTGTTTATGTTTAATAGATTTAGTTGATATCTTAATTCTTAAACACTCGTATATTTTATATGCCTACTTTTTTAGCTTCATGTAATAATAATTGTATCTATAAGTTTATTAAATTTTATCAAAGTTTATTGAAGTTCAAATGTTCGATTGTAATGTCGTTTGGATAATAATGTGAGTAACAATTGAATGTTTGCCACCACATATGTATATGGATATTTAAACATACACATCCTGAATATTATCATTCCTTGTACAATATACTTACCTGACCTTTTCTGTTCATCTATTCATGCCAGGACCCTGCCAAACAGGTGACAATACTTGCCTGAATGATGCTTATTGTCAAACAGATAATGGAGTCACAACATGTATATGTAAGACTGGTTTCTCCGGTCCAACCTGTAGCAATGGTAAGTTACTTTACAAAAAAAATCTTTATATTTTAGGATAATACAAAATAGTGTTAATTCGTTTATAGTCTTGTTTCTGACTGAAGACTATTACTTCAATAATCATGATTTTCGTAATATTAAAATGGATGTCTAACATGATTTCATGTTTGTTGACCCTTAACATTTAATATTTTTAGATAAAAAACTGTTAAATTTTTCCATCGGCACTTATGTTACGTTTTAATATTGCAGTTTCGGCAGGACTTTCCTCCACACATGCTGTAAGTTAAAATACTAGTACTTTCCTTTTTGAACTTAGTAACTGTGTTTTAAATTTTGATTCAAATGGCAAATTCTTGATTTTATAGATACTGTTGGCAAAGATAGTTAAATGTATTTTATCATGCTAATTTTTTCAAATTTCGTTGTGCAACTTATTAAATTATTACAGGCGTTCACAGACGTAGCCAAGCCAAAGATTATTTCCTGTGTTTTGAACCAAAAGTGCAGTTTTGCTTTGATTGTCAGCGAAAATTCAAATCATGCGTACGTTTCAAATTCAACATTATTTTCCTCCTATTTATTTTATACTCTCTGGTTGATTTTTCTAAAATTTTCATTTATTTAATGTTAAAATAGTCAGTGTTGTTATTTATTTTTTTACTTTGAGATCATTGAATCAGGCACATTACGTAAGTGTTGAAAATTAAATAACACTTAAGCTGTTGCTGTCTTTAATGCTTCCTTGGGATCACGCTTTTTCCATTTTTGTCATTAACTTAGAAAATACTGTTATTCTAGATTTTATGTTTGACAAATGGTGCTCCAACCTTCGTATTTATGACGAAATGTTCAGGTTATTTCAACACTTCTTGTTTTGTAGACCCATTGTATCTGCAGGGTATGTTGATCCATCGCTGCTGCTGGAAGAAATTGAGATTGTTGATAGATTACCAATTCACAATAGTTATCAAGCTAATATTAGAATGAAATCTACACAATTGGGTTTGAAGGTTTTGTGCATTCAGACAAAGGACATAAATGGGTAAGATATATGATTGTGTATTTGTATTTGGAAGACGTATAAAAGAGTCATATAGTGGTTCATCGTTTGACATTATTTCGGTTGAATGAAAAGGTGTCCCTTGCAATTTCTTGTCTGACAAAGCACAACTGTAACACTACCTTGTTCCCCCTTTTCAGTCTTCTGATCTGGAACATAATTTTTCAAAGGATAATTTTGAAACTATTTTGTCAAAGAACACATTCTATTCCTTGTTTTATTATAATAACCAAACTTTTTGCAATGTTCTTGTCCTTCACACTTCAATAAAACTTGATGAAAATGTCCATAACAAATTAGTTATACAATACATTATTCTTTAGTTTACTGAAACGAACTTACTTTTGCGAGTGGTATAAAAAGGTGAACTTGTCTGTCGTTAGTAGCCAACTCAATGGTTTTGAGATGATAACTTGAATATGTTCCCATGGAGTTAATAATTGTTGTAACACAGATAAGTTCAGATATAGTTACAAACAAATTCTTTTACAGGGTTTTGCCTTTTATCTTCAATATTACACACACAAAGTCTGGTTTCAGTTTACTATTTCTAACAAGTTTTGACCATTTTGTGTTTTTGTTTACAATAATTAAACATTGTCTCCAGAAAACAATTATTCAAACGCAAAACATTTAAGAATGCATGATTTTTTAATTAATATTATATGAAACAGATTTTGTTAAAGGTCCTGTATGTTTTGTGATTGATATTGTAACTGTGTGTATACCACACTTGCAAAAAATATAAATGTATATAATGATGCAAATAAAACAATTTTCAAACATCGAAGAATATGTAAAATGTGTACTGCAAATATTTGTGCACATTATATTTAATCCAAGAATCATATGTCTTCATTTCTTAGTGGAGAAATTGACTAGAATTTATAAAAATAAATTTCTAATTACCTCCTTTTATTTACATGAAATGTTAAATTCGGTAATATCTTTATAAATAAGGCTTATTGGAACTTACAATATTGACAAATCTTAATTTGAGCATTATATTTATGAAACCATGAACAAATTGTGTATTAGGATCTTTAAATGTTTTACAGGCCAATATTTTCATGTCTTCTTTTAAAAGTAGTAATCATTTTCAATCTTTATGTTTGCAAAAATGTTTCCGATGATAACACCGTAGAGGGACTATAAATACATTTATGGTACACATTTTGGTTGAATTTATATCTAAATATACCAACTTCCAACTTTTTTTACAAACGGGTACAATTTTTGAATTAGAAATAAAAACTAGACAGTAAAATGATAAAAGATAAAAGTATATATTGTCGGAAATACATTTGGCACTTCTTCAAGGTGGTCTTTATCTTGCTGTTTCCATATCTTTGTGATAAGACGATAATTTAATAATATTAATCTAGTTTAATGAAAAGGCTTATCAAAGAAATGGATATTATAGGTGGGCATTCAAAATACAATACAATTTAGTATTAAAGTGTAAGATGGGGGTATTAATGACTTTATTTAATACCTCTAGTTTTAGCAAACCAAACAATACTTCATAGATTTACAACAAAAGTGTATATATATGTTATATAAACTTCTTGATAAACAAATGAACATAGACAATCCAAAAGATAAGCACCAGTTTTAATTAATTTATCTATTAATTACAATTAATAAACGAATGCCATTAACATATACAAATGCATACACATAAACTGCATCCTATTGCTTATAACTCAGTGTATATCATGTCATAATTATCTACAAATGCATAAATATAAACTGCATTCTATTGCTTATAACTATGTGTTTATCATGTCATAATTATCTACAAATGCATAAATATAAACTGCATTCTATTGCTCATAACTAAGTGTTTATCATGTTGACAGAATTAACAAAGACGAGCTGTGTACTGATGTCGACGTTGTTTCTGGTGAGTAATCTATAAAATAATGGTATGGTAATTGAATTGGCTTCCTTGTAAACATTCAGAAACAAAATGTTTAAAGCATACTTTGAAATACCAGTGCACCTTTTAGAATTAAGTGCATGTTTATCTTTTTGAAGATCATAATGGAATACTTAAATATTTGTTTCTAGTTCAATGCAATATTGAATGATATAACTTACTTTATAGATTCATTTTTATTTAATATAATTATTTATCATTTCTTTTAGATACCGTCACTATATACACGTTTAAGGTATGTCTTTGATTTTTTTTACTAATTCAGATATTTTGAAAGACATTAAACATTACATGAGTTTTAACATTAATCATTTGCAAATAGTAGTTGATTTAATTGTAACTTTGGCCAGAAATATGTATCTTTCACTTATTCGTCACGTGCTTGTTTTTAAATCTGTTTTGGCAAGTACACGATATTGATAATCACAGTTACTTTTCTTGGTAATTATTTGTTGTGGTTTAAATGATAACTGACATTTATTATTCAAGTTAATATCTTAATATTTTATCTTTACTAGGATCGACCTCATTTTGTCGAGCCAAGTTTGCCCACGGATGCCGAGGTAGAATGTCTCGCGGGCGGACCATGTCACGTGCTCTATCGTGTGACTCCTGGCACTGGAAATGAAAACGAATGGTTAAAATATATAATAATTTTAGTTTGTTGCTGAACATAATTTAGGGTTTTAATTAATTAACGTTTTTGAAACGCATATTCTTGTACATGAAATATTCGTTGATAAAACGCAAACATAATGATGTAAAAGCACATACAATCAGAGAAAATCTTTTATTGAATTAGCAAATCCAGTATAAGGTTGATATGATCATTATATATGAGATATGTCATCATGTGCTAAATGTAATGTTGTATCATTATAACAGTTCAATAACAGTTAATATGAATTTTTAGTGTGACGTTAAAAGTAAACCCACCTGCTGGGTTTGTGAACTATTTTCTCTTCTCATCATGTGATACGTGTCCTACCAATGGTAACTGTACAGTCGATGTATCTATAGTTAACACTATTGCGGACAAAAACACTGCTCGAAAGTTCTGTTTGTCTGTCGGCCTAAAAGGGTAATATCCTTAATAATTATATTCATTGTTTTTCAAACCGTATATATTATCGAAAAATACAAATTCTTTCTAATTAATTGAATGTGATAAATATGACTCAGTAATCTATATTCAGATTTATCCTTCTTTATTATCAATATAAAATACAGTTAATAACTTTCCAAACGGCATTTTTGTATACGATGCAAGAGCATAATTTGAAGTATTCCTATCTTTTAATGTCTTCTTTTAATCATATGTGTATATTTATATCTAGAAAATCAGACGACGGTGAACAACGTTGTTTTAACATAAACGTAAAAGATCAAACGACTATTGGTAGGCGTTATACTGAAATTGCTTATTATAATTAAAAATCAAGGTTTTTGAGAGATATGTTGTTAATAATTTACGTTTATGGTAGGGTACGATCATTTTATAAGTACCAACAAGAGGTTTAAATTCTCATGTAAAATTAATAAATCAAATCTATAGCTCTTTTCAGTTGTTTTTTATTCTAAACTATGAACATGGTTTAAGCGTTATGTTTTGCACAACTTCATTTCAAAATGAAGATTGTTTAAAAAGTTAATTCAAACGAATTCTCATGGCATAATGATATTATCAATATACAATGTTTAAACATATACTATGTCTGTTTTATAGTTAAGAAAGGATGTCAGACGCTCGAATGCAAGAATGGAGGCTTTTGTGATGGACATGACATGAATAATCCCGTTTGCTACTGTTCAAAGGGATTTTCTGGGTCACAATGCAAAGAAGGTTACACTTTCATTCTATTCTTATTATCAAAGATAACTGCGAGTTGATCCGAGATTAAAAATACAGATACAGATAAAATTATGCTCTTACTCATAAAACATATCAACATTATTTTATACTGAAGTTTGTCTTATTTACAATTTGTCATGGAGAATTTTCCACCATTGTTACTGCATACGATTTATGATATTTTTATATCTTTTGTAGCGAAAGTAGATAGCCAAATGACGGGACCACAAACACTGGTAATGTAAAAATAGCTTTGAATTGAAACATAATAATCATGTTCCTCAAGTATCCAACACTGAATGTTTGTGAAATGGTCTAATATAGACGACATTTTTGAAATAGTTCTAAGCAAATGGTTTTCAAATCCAATAGATATTTGTACCACATTGTACCAACATGCAAGTAACAGAACAGTTCACAGTAAATTGCAATGAATAAATAAAAGATCAGTTTCTACTAAATGAAAAAAATAACGATGTGAGCCAAAGTGTGAATCTGTCATATTTGATTTTTGATAAAATTATTTTTTAGGCAGTTTACAATAAAACATCATTAAATCTTTGTAGAGTTTCATCGGAGATTTTACAGTTCCGTCTGAGGTTAAATGCGTTATCAACGAGGCATGTGATATACCGTTCCAAGTAATTTCAAAGAACGGACATTCGTAAGCTTTCCTATGTTTTAGCTTTCTCTGATTGTATCTTTTTATTAACGTTTTTCATGAAGAAAGTTACGTACCTACACAATGTTTATGATTTCTGATAGTTGCCGAACATACATTGAATAAAACTATGTTATTTATTTATCACTTTTTTGAATTTATTGTATAAAAGATTTTAATATTATTTAATATTACTTATGTGTTTTTATGTCAAGCCCAAGTGTATCTCTGGGATATCACGATCCACTGCTGAATGTGATGGAACCTTCCTTTATGCCCCTCGCAAGTTCTTCTACCGTATTTCAAGGAAAGATAGTGTCTATTCCTATTAAGGAAGGAGACTTCAGATTCTGTCTGCAGGCAACTCTCAACAGGTAACAAAAGACACACATCTAGTTAATCATCTTATAACAAAGTACCTATACAAATTGACTGTTCGTGATGTTTGGGAGTCGAAAACCTTTAAATAAGTGTCAATAATTCATTTTTTCTGTATTTTTTTAAATGAAAGTATGTTACATTTCAGAATGTTTAAACACACACACGGTGTCATTTTATGACAAGAATGCTTGGTTTCCTCATGTATTCCATACTCACTAAGATAAGGTGGTTGTAAAATCTTTCCCGTACAAGATAATGATTTGTTTGAAAGTTATGCCAAAAATAAAACCTTGGCCGACTTACATACTGGTTTTATCGCAATAATACTATCATGGCTACTACTTAATTTCATTACTTTTATGGGTTTTTTTTATTTGTTTGCTGGTCATTTTAAAAACGATCATAAATTTAAATTTGTCATAACTACATTATTAAAGCTTCTATTCGTATTTTTTTTGTTTTTAATTTTTAGCAAAACTGAAGATGAAATATGTGTCATGGTTGAAGTGATAAGTAAGTAGTTAGTTGATTACGTTTAATCTTCAAACCTACATAATACCGCAAATGTCTGTAAGATTGTAGAAACACAAATAATTCGAAAAGTAACAACAGCTTTAGTACAATAACTATTGAACATTGTTTATAGACAGGACTGTTTGTGAGAATTTGTATGTTAATAGGGTATGGTAAATCCGTTAAAGGTAGATTCCAAACTGAAAGGCTTCATCTTGATCATTGGCCATTTAAAATGACCACTAAAATTGCTTCCAATTTATTTATCATAAATGAATAACATATCAAATAAAACTTTTAAAATTGGAAAAAAAAAACCTGAAAATTTTCATCAAAAACATTTTCATAAAGTAGTTTGCTGCAATTCTGATTATGGCTATTTTAACCCATAAGCCGTGTTACGTTTGATAGATCTGTTTCTACAGGTAATGATCTTCTTACCCACCGGGTACATTTATAATTATAACTTAGCCACCGCCTTTCTTGGAGCTATCCTTATCCCTAACATGACTAAATGATCAGAGGCAGAGCCCTTTCCTTGAACTTCTCTTTCCCATCATTAATTACTGGGACATTGTTTTTCCTTTAACTACCATTAACGCCACTATCACTAACTGGTTCGAAGCAACACTTAAAATTGTCTCCAAGGCACTCGGCTCAAAAGGCAACCTATTACAATTTTAGATGTACCCAAGAAAGACAATTTTAAGTTTCCTTATAGCCCAAGACACATAATAAATGAGCAAAGCAGTAGAAGAATCATTGGAGGACTGGACCATGGGTGATTGCTTAACAGTTCTCACAGCTGATACTCTCTTATGCCTTTAGTGCTATTACACCACATAATATAGTATTACAGTTCAGTTGATATTAACTGACAGTTGATTTCGATTCTTGGACATTGTGGGGATCACTTAATATGATAATTTGAAGCCCCTCTTGACAAATCAAACTGACTTGTTTTAAACAAGGCACGCGATTTGATGCTTATGGCTTTTGGCGCAGGCATATAACCTGTTTGCCTTAAACTTACAAGATGCAATTGCATTTTAGCTGGCTCTTTGTGGATTTTGCTCCTTTGCTCCTGAACCAACAATCAATTATTCAAGCACATAAAAAACATATGAATGTAACTGATAATAATTATGCAAAATAAAGATTATATAGAGCTTTGCCCTATAGTGTTCAGCAAGGCGCCCACATTGTATTACATTGTTTGACACATTTGACCACTGACATCTCTCAACATTAAAATGAAAGCATTCCATCTGCTTTTTTCAACGAAGTTCAAAGTCTCAAAGTACTAGAGATACCTATGACCAACATAAGTTCATAATCAAATGAGATCATGACATGATTTTACGGACATAGCCTTATTATTCCGCAGGAAGTCCTAAGGTTTATCGATAAAAGGCCTAAAACCGATAAGAATGTCTCGAGAGGAATCTCTAATTCAAGTCAACCCTAATTTATTCACAAATCACTGATTTAAATCCCCTTAGATAGCTGTTTGGTTTTGCCGTTCCTTAACATATGCATTCAACAATATTCCACCATTTCTATCCGAACACTGCCAGCCCTAAGCCATTCAAAATGCATTATTTAATATCACATGACAACAAAATAGAGGACAAAAGACCTCAAAAATGGGAGTCTACGGAACGCTATCCGCCATGTTTTTTTTAAAAAGTTAAAATACTTTCTTCAAGTTCGAAGCTCGAAACCACATGTAGCTATGGACTCCTACGGGGTAAATAGTATATTGAATTTTTTTATAAAAAGAATAAACATTACCGCGTTTGTTAAGGAATGAGTCTCATTTTTGAAAAACTAATACTTGCATTCATTTCGATCTGCTCAATGATTGTTTTTCATTATTAACACCAGCAAAGCCTTCAGCACTATCTTGAGCAGTAACAAATCAGAAAGAAAACATCAAAAGACTACCAAGCTAATACTTCAGAACATGACAAATTTATGCTATGTGTACACATAAATATATGGGTACTGAATGCACAAGTGTAATGCAAAATGTATATATGAGACCATATTGAGGGCTGTATTTCATAACACAGTAAGATTCTTTCAAAACTCCGGTATCAAATTTATTCAGTAGGCACTTTCACATGAACGAAATGAAATTTTACCTAATAATTATCATGCTCTGTCAAATAAATAGAGGATATTTGTTTGTTTGTGTGTAAGATGAAATTTTATTTCATCGAGTGGGCTTTAAAAACAGTATTCTCACGAGTGGCGAAGCCACGAGTGAGAATACTGTTTTTAAAGTTCACGAGATGAAATAAAATTACATCTTACACAACAAACAGACAAATTTTCTTTTTATTTTATGCTTAAAAACAAGTTAAAACGAAATTTCCATAATTTTAACGTTAATATTAAAACTGTTTCCCCCATTGAGAGCCCCATTTATTCGGAATTTCTCATTAAAAAAAAGAAGTCTTGAGCTGAAAAATAAGTCCGCCAGCAACATTAAATGACGGTGACATTTATTAATTTTATTAAAAAAATATGAATGATCGCTTGTTTTGATAATAAAAACAAACAATTCTTGTAGGAGAAAAAGTCCAACCATCCATCCATATTTCTGTTACTTAGTGCGAATTTATATTAGACCTGGCTTTGTAAATTGTAAGCGGCAGCCATTTTTTAAAGTTCTGTATTTCATGGGAGGAAAATAATTGTGTAAGATTCAGAGGGATATAATTTGGATTTGTTAGTCATACACATTCTTAAAAGAAAGAAAACTTATTTGAGGATTGTAACAGACAAAAAATAAGTGTTGACAGATGTGAAAACATTCAGAAAAGGAGCTAAGAAAATGGAAAACTTGGAAACCTGCTCAAGAACGCTGGGTTGATTTAACTTATTCTTCGAGTTATGGCTGTCAATGCTTTCAATTTTTCATAAAGCATACGGCAGTTATTGCTCGTAGGATACTTTAATATGCCCAAATGTCATCAAGAGCAGTTTTGCATGGGGAAGGAATGTATTTTTGAGACTGTCAAAATGAAACAAAAAAACGAAATTTGGTGATTGGAATTTCATGAATTTGAATGAATAGAAGTAAGTTTTCTTCTTTTTATTACTTTTGACATTTAAGTTATTTATCAATTTCAGTTTTGCTTTTTCTTTAAACAGCCTGACATTGTCAGAATTGTCAGCAAAAATAAAATTGAGGTACCACATGGGGAAAATCTTAAAAAAGTAGTTTCGTCATTGAAAAGAGTGAAATTATATTTTGATAATTTTCACTGTGAAATTACCAAATATAATTTTCACGGATAAATCAGTAATCCACTGAAAAGCATAAAATAAAACAAAATATTATACATGATACCGTATATATCCTTTTTTACCTTGTTTTGTGGCGATCTGTACGTATTATCTAAAATAGCTAGGACATGGTTATATCATCAACTGATTAAGTGTTTAACTTAATGAATATTGAAGAATCATTTGTCATTATTGTTCGTTTTATTTTTACAAACCAACTTACAGAGATGATCAGTCCAAGACATAAACATTATTGTTTCATTCTTTATTTGCAAGTCAGATATCACGGTACGATGTGTTCAATAAATTTGAGTGAAAATAGTTTAAATAGGTTTAAAATATATATACAGCAGACTTTTATAAACAGGATTTTTATAAACAGACGTACGTTTTCAAAAGCTTTGCGTTTATTTTGCGATTTGGTGTATTTGAAATGATGATAAGTTCCTTTCACTTCAAAATCGATATAATAAAAAAAGATATTTCAGTATATAACTACATGGCATTTCATGGTGAAAAACAAGAAAAACAATTTCACATAGTTATTACCATGAGTGATACAACAACCAATAAAAATCATTAAAAATTACTATATCATGATTATAAAATAAAACCTAAAGACTAGTTATAAGAAGACAAACTATACAAAACAGTAATCATTTTGTAATTTTTTATATAAAAGATATAAAAAAAAAAATTTAAAAAAAGATTAAAAAAATAATGTTATTTTGAAAATGTCATTTTTTTTTTCTGAAAAGGTCGAAGCTTAAGAAAAGCGTTTGTTTTTATTGAACTGATTTTATAAAAGATATAATTAAAATACCTCCATGTTATCTATAAATGAAAAATTGACATGTATTCATATACCCAGGATGACACAAAAAAGTGCGTGTGAATTCACTTGTTTCCATTGTTGTCCAGAATATTTATTATAATGCATGTATATCAATATCAGATATCAGATTTCAGAAGAATAACCAATATTTAATTTTTAAAATCAACTGCAGTTCTTCATAAAGAAAAATTAATTAACCTAGTATCCTAAAAACAGTGTATAGAATTTATTTCTATTTCAGGTACAGCCGTGGAAAAAACGGACAAGGTAAACATTAGTTTAATTTAAATATGTATAATTTGCGTATGAAACATTGTTTTATCTTCTAATTCAAATATTTTTAGAAAATTAAGTAATTTAAACACGATTTTAATAAGTTAATGATTTTTCAAACATTAGTTATTGAGTATAGTTTCTGACAAAATATTTAAGTATGTTGAAATATCGTTAGAGAAAAGTAGAAAACTGATAATTGTTTGTTGTTATTTTTTTTCATTTTTACAGACCAAGCCTTACTTTCTTCCCCCTACACTATCAACTGACGCTACTGTGCTGTGTAAAATCAAAAAGGCTTGTCATTTCGACATGCATTTTACATCTGGAGATAAGTTTGCTGGATTTGCAGGAGTGTGGTAATATACAAGTTTATATTTTAAAATAGGAAATTAACTTAGTATATTTTCTTGACTTATACACGTCATTCTAAATATTTCGTTTAATGCATTGCATGGATTTGTAATATTGTGCTGTTTTATAACCTTTTAGTCCATCTCTGACTGAGAGGAGTCCAAGTCCTGTACAAGGTGTACACATATTTAATGTAAAGAGAGAGAACAGTTCGGTGTGTACTGGGGATGTCACGTACGTTCCACCACAAGCAGACGGTCCGCACCAACTTTGTCTACAAGTATCGTTACCAGGGTAACAAACATTTCATTTCTGTCTTTCAAATATTTTAAAGTTATTACTTTGTGAAATGATACATCTGTCGTATATAAAGTGATGATAATTTAAGTATAATTACTGACAATTTAACGATCCGTTATCGTTCTAATGAACTAGTTTGTTTGTAGACGTTAAGAAAGTTAATACTACAGTTGCAGTTCATATAGTGTAGAAACAAAAAAATGGTAAGATTAGTTGTATCGCATTTGATTCACGCTCCTGATAAAAGCCATAAGCAGTGTATTTGAAAATAACTGAAAATGAATTTCTTTATATACATTCAGGAAAAAAGGTGAACGTAGATGTTACACTATTAAAGTAGTCAAAGATATGGACAAGGAAGGTAAATATATCTAATTATTAAAGTTTTGATTATTTTGTTTGTAATGTTCATTATCATCACATATCAAATGACTATAAATATGTACGATCAACGTTTTTAATTATGCAATTGGTGTTTGAAAACTTTTATTTTGCAGTTTCATCATCATGTCGTGGAATCATTTGTCAACACAACGGAAAATGTTTGGCAGATTTCAAGAAGGTGCCAGTAACATTCTCGTGTATATGTACATCTGCTGGATTCGTTGGCAAAAATTGTGGACATGGTGAATATAATTTATTGCTCTTTAATACGAATTATTTTTAAGAACGTGATGAAAATCAATGATTAACAATTTTTTTTTCAATTTAAAATGGTCACAAATATGCGTTTGTATTATAAATATTCAGACAAATATACAATCGTATCAATAACTAGATGGAATAAACTGCAAAATGTGTCACGAGAAAAAAACGGCAAAAAGGAAAAGATTCTCGCTCCGACAGTCATTATACCTTTTTGTCAGATCGCAGACTTCATCAAAAAACTTTATAATATGAAACTCGCTCAATTTACGTCACTAAAGAAGGAATGTATATTTTATTACGATTTATGAATTATGTATCAGGAATAGACAAGAACAAGACTTTACCAGGAGTCAAGAATTTGAATGGTACGATTAGTGGAATTCATCATTTTGAAATAGACAGCGCTATTCCAACTGACGTCAAATGTGAAGAACAAAGTGAATGCTGTATCAATATACCGTATATTGGGATGAAAAATAATCCGTAAGGGACGTTTGCACATATTTACTTTCCAATATGCATGTACATAATAAATATATATAAATATAAAGTTATATTAATCATGTTACTTATTTCATTCCATTTTGTTCATTTTGGGAAATATGGTAACGAGAAAAGTACCTACCAACTATAAAACCGAGTATACGGTCAAATGTTGGCGTCTAATTGACAATTGGCATCTAATTCTATATGGGGATGCCAAAAATATACGTAAGGGACTTTTTGTACATATAATCTTTTCAATTTGCGTGTGCATTGCAAATATATAATATTAAAATGATATTAAATATGTTTATCATTTAGTCCATGTAGTCCATTTGGGGAACATGATAACGAGAAATGTAGCTACCCTCAAAATACCGAGTAAACGGTCGAATGTTGGCGTCGATCGGTAGTGTTCAATATATGTTTAATGCTGTTTCTATTTGAAATTAAATTGCTGATATTTTTGATAAAAAAATGTCAAGACCATCATAAACATGACTGTAAAAATATTATACCAGTTGGCTTATATTTTTATTATTTCACGCCGTTTACAACGGATAAGGGGCGTCCGTGGCCGAGTGGTTAAGGTCGTTGATTTCAAATCACTTGCCCCTCACCCCTTTGGGTTCGAATCCCGACAGGGACTTTGAATTCTTTCATGTGAGGAAGTTATCTGGCTAGCGCACGTAACGTCCGTGGTTCTACTCAGGTTCCCGTTTTGTCCCTGAAATAATGCACGGAAAGGCAGCTGAGGTCTTCTTCCACCAGTAAAGCTGGCACGTCGCGATATGACCTATACTGTGTCGATGTGACGTAAAACAAAAACAAACGAAAAAAAACAACGGATAAAAAACATACCCTTTCACAATGATCAACATGAAAAAATTATATTGTGTCGATTGCTTCTGATTTGATGAAAAAGATAGTGCGACGTTAATCCCAAGTTGCTTGTTCCATTATAATATGTGAAGGTCCATGATGAGTAACTCTGTTTTGGTAGGAAGACATATAGCTAAATACAGCTGCAACTTTTATGTTATTTTCTTCTTAATACTTTCTTTTTCTTTTCAATTGGTTTTAATCATCAATGTTTTCTAATGAATGTGTTTCTTGATAACAAAGATATGATATAAAATACTATTAATTTTGTGTTCAGGTCTCCTATTTTAGATGCGTTTTGCACTGAAAACAACATGTACAATATGCTGCTTGACGTCACATATTTCATCTTATTGTTCTGAAGAAGTCCGTTGACGATTGAATGCTGTAACAACCAATGCAAGAACTTGTGAGAGATGCACGTTTAGTTTGTTTTTTCGACTCGAGTGTATTGGTTCCCATTATTTTTTATTTCTTTCGAGAGCATTTCATTTTTTATGTTTTATCTTTCAGTCCATTGATTGGTTTGATGAGTTCCGGTTTGAGTATATCAAACCAAAGTGTGCTAGGAACTGGAAATACTGATCATTCAAGACATATTTCACAGATATGTGTTAAAGCATCGCTAGGTGGTCCTTATAAATTCTGCCAGCAGACTACTACAAATGGCACAAATAAAGGGTAACTAATTTGCAAATACAAATGGTACAATTTCAGGGTAACTTATTTGCAACTACTAACATCCCAAATGTATGCTGTAACTTATTTTCCATTAACATAGTTCTATTTGCATCATATGCAATAATTCAAAGCTTACTTTGTTACTTTATTGTTGCATTACCCTCTATTCCGATTTTATTTCAATTTGTTAAGATTTTCCTATTTCCTTTAATATAATATATGCTTTTTGTAAAGTTGTGATGATCTTTTTTATTTCAAGGATTAATATTGACGAGATTTGCACGAATATCACAGTACAACATAAAAGTAAGTCTTACATTTCAGATAAATATCATTTATTGTCACGTCATATTACTTTGCATTTTCAATTTCAGTTAACACGATTTGTAATGATTCACTTTACATGAATAAGTGTCGTGAAAGAAAAACAATAACGAGTGGTTGTTTGTCATTTAATGCCGCTTACATTTTAGACGGGTGTTCTTTCTATACTATGCATATACCTCCAAATGCGTAAATTGATCAAAGCATATTATTGACATTAATGAATATTTACAGCTAATTTTATTGTGGTTTGCCTAAATGAACGTTTTATTTTAAATAGAAGAGGCAAATATGAAATCAAAAACCTACACATAAAAAGAAGCAATAGTGCTTTTTAATGCCCCCAAATGTGGCAGATAGTAATCTCACTGTCCGTTCGATAATCTTGTCCGCGCTTCCTCGCCAAAACCGATGGGGGATTCAATGAAACTTCACAGGAGGGATCAGTACCATCCCTAGTTATGCATATCGCCCACATGTTCTGCTTGGCTGCACAAAATGGTGGCCAGAGCTATAATAAAAAAACTTGGATAGCTTTAACAGGTCAAAATGTCGATCGGATTTCAAAAAAAATTCACAGAAGTGATCAGCTCCTTTCCTTGTTGTGCATATCGCCGGCACGTTCTGCTCTGTTGAGTAAAATGGACACCAGAGCTATAAATAGGTCAAATTGCTGATGTAACCAATGATATATCTATTTAACACCTATTTGTCGTTATTTAACACCTATTTGTCGTTTTCATTTAAACATGCCTATAGCCTTTGTGGCTAGATCTTACGTATCAAATTCCAAATCGGTTTAGGTAGCCAATTTTTAGATTGTAATAATATTAGATGTTTAAACCTCCTATGATATAAAATCAGTTTAAAGGACCTGTTTTTATAATTTTACATCTTGTTTGTCATTCCTCCACTGTTGTTTTAAATTCGCTTAACCTCGTCCAAATAGTTTTGCTATTAATTAACCTTTACTGGTTTAGAAGTAAATTATTTTTTATCTTTTATTTCAGATTCAAATCATAACACGGTACGACAATACTTTACTTAACTGTACTTACTAGCAAACCGTTGACTTTTAAAAGTGTAGATATGAAGTGAAAATATATGTACAAACTAAAATACTCATTCAATTACATGTTTTAATTATATGGTGTTATTACATAAATTGCTGTAATGTTTTATCAATATAAAATAATATCCAAACTTTAAATTTATCACAAAAATAATAAAATCGATAATGAATCCGTACGTCATGTTTTTTTTAATGTTCTTTCACTCTATTTTAGCCTCCGCCACATTTTAGCAAGAGTATTCCTGATGGCTCGACAGTTGTATGTAAACCTAACACAATCTGTCACAATCAGATTATTACAGAGCAACAGCCTGGAGGTCAATGGTATTGTAATATTTTTCTAAATAGTTTAAACCTTGCGGTTCAGTGAAACTGATATTTATTTGATTATATTTTAAGATTACATTTTCATCAGAAAATTATTTGATATCCATTGACAAAAGCGTTCAATAATTTGTATTTACGTGCTATAGTTGAATAGTGGCGCAGCTTTGTTTATATGTTTTGTTACTACCTTAAATCAAAGCGCTGTTGTAATTGACTATCCACTCATATATTTTCAATACAACCTTTCCGTTTATACAACGTTCTATGATGTAATCGCTTATAGACTTGAAAAAAAATCGAAGACCATGTACCCACTTCCATTTTTACACCAATCATAGTTTAATACGCATTTCTCTATCGCGTCTCTGTTCACCCAGTTGATAAATTCTAATTGTGGTGGTTTGCTTTTTTTCTGTCAATAAAGTTAAGGATGTAACTGTTTCAGAAATACAGAATGTTTCAGGTGTTATGAGAGTGTGTGCTTTCTTGCGTCCATGTTTGTGCCTTAAATATAAATATCATTTAAAAGGTATTGCGATATTCTGTTTATTATAAAATTTACATGTCTTCCAAAGAACATCTTTGAACTGCGTTGTAATCGGAAGTGAATGCTGTTAGTTCGATAGCCTCGGGAGGAACAATTTCTGAGTATTTCATAAAATTGTATTCGCGAATACTTCGTGAATTCAAAACTCGATCGGCTCTATTATATAATTCCTTCCTGGCCACCGATTGTGTAGTACTTTCTAGAAAGAATGTGTTCGCCCGCACAATAGGGATCAGTTTAGTTATCAAGGGACCGCTTGTTCGAAGCGTAATTTCTTCGTAAAATCTGGAACATTGAGTCTAATAGCCACCAAGTCTTGTCTCTTACCAATGATTCAGAAATCAAGTGAGGTTAGAATTTGGTCACTTGCTGTGAAATTTGTAAAAGCTTGTCAGTTATTCACAAAAGCTGAGATATGACCCAAAAATGTGATTAAATCGGCGTAGAAGTCCAGCAAAACAAAGAAAACACACAGCAAATATTCAAAACATTTCACTTTGATACTTTAAAAAATGATAAAAGCTATCTGCTTAGCTTTATTTGAATTTCATAAGATTTTCTGTAATTTAAATATATACAATCAGTTCTCAGGTCAGAGAGTGTGGAGAAGGAGTGCCGGGTGTACATTTCTTTAAAACTACTCCAGTTGATAATTTGTGCATGACGGATTTAGCTATCAAGACAGAAAATCCAGACAAGCTTGACTTGTGTACTTCCGCAGGGTAATTATATATTATGGCTTTTTTTCTCTAGGTTCATTTATTCACACATTGTTAAACAAAAATCAAGACTACTTAGAGGGAAGAAATATAAACAAATAAACCCGCCTGTCCTTCCCGTTGTTATCTGTTACACTGTCCTGCTTTGAGGCTGTCCTGTAGATTGAGACAAAAGTGAACTGTGAGGCATCCGTGTCAGTTGGATACATAATCAGTTCGTGATCATTTACCTTAATATTCCTCTTTAAAACATTGAATGCCATTATTTGACCCTGTGGCTGCAATGTCAAGAGTGATTGTACATTTTTTAACGATGCCTTTTATAAATGAATAACTTAAATCTCAATTCCTTTCATTTCAGATCCGGTGGACAACAAAATCACATGAAAGTAGAAGTAAAAAATGTATCAAGTAAGCTTAACATATTTAAAATAAGTAGAGTTTAATGTGATTTTGTCAATTAGATATTCTCACAAAATGTATTTTATAAGAAATGAATGTTAAACCTTCCTTTTACATTTACAGTGATTATAAAGCTCATAAAATTAATCACATAAACAGTGATTATAATACTCCTAAAATAAATTCAATGTTTTCATATACATTAGGTTTTGGGCCATGTCAGAAACTACATTGTTTAAATGGTGGTAGTTGTTTAGCAGTTCATGAATCAGATGCTATTTGTAAATGCCTACCTGGATACACTGGCCAAGTTTGTGAGACAGGTACACAAAACATAACTTTTTACACATGTTAAATAAAATCTAACAAAATGCACTGAGAATTCATTCCCTCATATTTATGGTTTGATACTCACTGCTGCATTATTAAGTGTTATGGTTAGAAATATGACTTATATTGCAATTGAAAAAGACTTATATTTTTGAAAGATATTCTAAATGGAACGAAAACATAAAAACGTGTTGTTGAGTTATTTCTCTTTACACATTTTTAAAGAGAATGTATATATAATATAATTCTTATTAAAAGGGATAAACTTGTTCAATGTCTCTTTAATCGTGCATATGTAATAGTTTTTTAAATGATTAACTTACACATTTGTACATGATAGTGTTATTATAACTTTCATAAGGCACTTATGTACATAAATGTCAGCATGAACTGCCTTTCTGTGTGGTTGGATTCGATATTGCTAGGTTACCTTCTTTGTTTCATCTTAACTGATTTTAAGATTCTTGAAATAATACATTCATGTTTTATGCAAATTAAGCTATTTTTCTACTTTTGTAAAGAGAAAATAAAAACATAATTTAATTTTCTTTGCAAAGATATAGATGAATGTTTATCTACACCTTGCCAAAATGGAGGAACTTGTTTAGATAAGCTGAACGAGTATCAATGTAATTGTATGCCTGGTTACACTGGAGCTGACTGTGAAACAGGTAATTAATGATATATCTGAGTTCTGTCGATAATGCTGATCGCCTTATTATAGAGAGTTAAGCTAGTGTACACTTTAATTGTGTTTAAATTGATTTTTGGGATGCTTAATTGTGGTATTTAAGTTAGATAGTTTGTTGAAAAAAACCATTGGACTGCGGCAAACAGTTTGACAAATTTCCAAAGAAAACTTTAACCATTTTTGTTGGCATGTTTCGAAAACATACGTTATTTTTGTTATCTTATGGTTTTATGTCATAAGATTTGGCATTACATAATAAGTTTTGATCTTGAAACCGACTATCTTTCTGTCCTACCTTATCATATACTATTAACAAATATGTACGAAGAGTTTTTGTGTTGGTATCCTTAATGTTACCTTATTCTTAATAAAATTATAATCAACTTGTTGTTCAGATACCCATAATGCATATCTCTTTTAATGGATGCCTAAGTCAGTTCAGTTGTAAAAAAATATTTTTTCAAGCTAAATAATTTCAGTCTGCTGATGCTTTAATCAATGAAATAATAGTTCTTTGAAGTTGAAATTATAATTTTGTTAGTCATTAAAAGACACATATATATGTATAAAATGTACGCATCAGTTTGATTATATATTCTTTCAGACATAAACGAGTGTGCATCTAATCCTTGCATCAATGGAGCAACCTGTTTAGATAAAGTAAACGGGTACTTTTGCAACTGTACTCCTGGTTTCTCAGGGACAAATTGTGAAACAGGTAATTTAATATCTATATAAAACGCTGCTTAATAAAACATTTGCATTCCATTGTAAATTTAAATGCATAAATTTTTGACCCGCAAAAACAAATACTGTTTATTGCTGATATTAGGCAGTGGGCCTTTTTGGTGTAATTTTTGCAAAAAATGGACAAATAATTAAGATATTTTTTTTACATTTGTTCAGAGATAATAAAATCATAATTTAATTTTCTTTGCAAAGATATAGATGAATGTTTATCTACACCTTGCCAAAATGGAGGAACTTGTTTAAATAAGCTGAACGAATATCAATGTAACTGTATGCCTGGTTATACTGGAGAAAACTGTGAAACAGGTATTTATTGATATATCTGAGTTCTGTCGGTAATGCTGATCTCCCTATTATAGAGAGTTAAGCTAGTGTACACTTTAATTGTGTTTAAAATCTCTTTTGGGATGCTTTATTGTGGTATTTAAGTAAGATAGTTTGTTGGAAAAAAAACATTGGACTGCGGCAAACAGTTTGACAATTTTCCAAAGAAAACATAAACCATTATTATTGGAATGCTTCAAAAACATTCGTTATTTTTGTTATCTTGTGGTTTTAGGTCACAAGATTTAGCATTACATAATGAAGTTCTGATCTTGAAACCGACTATCTTTCTGACCTACCTAATCATATACTATTAACAAATATGTGCTAAGAGTTACTGTTTTGGTATCCTTAATGTTACCCTATTCCTAACAAAATAATAATCAATTTATTGTTTAGATAACCATAGTGCATATCTGTTTTAATGCAAGCCAAAGTCAGTTCAGTTGTAAAAAAAATCAAGCTAAATAATTCACTCTGCTAATGCTTAGATCATTGAGTTATAGTTCTTTGAAGATGAAATTATAATTTTAATATTCGTAACAAGACTAATATGTGTATAAAATGTACGCATAAATTTGATTACATATTCTTTCAGACATAGACGAGTGTGCATCTAATCCTTGCGTCAATGGAGCAACATGTTTAGATAAAGTAAACGCGTATTTTTGCAACTGTATCCCTGGTTTCTCGGGGACAAATTGTGAAACAGGTAATTTCATTTCTGTATAAAACGTTGCTTAATTAAACATTAATGTTGCATTTCGATCCTAAATGTTACTGCATATCTTTGTGTCACGCCAAAACAAATACTGTTTACTGCTGTTATTAAGCATTAGGCCCTTTTATGGTGTAATTTTTTGCAAAAATGGACAAATTATATTTTTTAATAAATTTAAAGTGTTTTCTATTTTCATCCTTTAGTCTTTTTTATAATTTACATATACTTACAGATGTAAACGAGTGCACATCTAACCCTTGTAAAAATGGAGCAACTTGTGTAGATAGAGTGAATAGTTATCAATGTCAGTGTAGCCCTGGTTACAATGGGACAAACTGTAATGGTAAGTTATCTTATCTGTTGAAGTGTAATCATATACGATCTACCTTAACCTCCAGTTCTAACACTTTGCGCCTGCAAGGACTGTATAAAAAGTATGCACTGTATGACCTCAACAACAAAACCAACCACGCAAAAACAAACGACATTGAGAACATAAACAAAAACAAACAGCACAAATCAACTGCAAACGACTTTGACCTCATCAACAAAACCAACAACACAAAAGCACACGACATTGACCTTATCAACAATACCAACTTCACAAAAGCAAATGAAATTGATATCAACAACGAAACAAAATACACAAAAGTACACGGCATTAACGACAAACGGTAAGTCAACAGTTCACACCAAACAGATGACATTGACTTGTATGACAACATCGGCATAATTGTCGAAGGCGACAAACTTATCTAAAGCAGCAAAACCCTCGGAAACCAGCAGCAAAGTTAATGCAAAGTATCCGATTTTTAAGTAATGTTTTGTTTTAGATATAAAGCTTCAACATAGCCCTTGTTTCTTGCTGTAAAGAAGCTGTAGGCAATAAACCTGCTATCCTTTAGTTTTTAGAATACAAAACTTCTGCTCGATCATTCAGTCTAATAACTGATCACCGTTTTGAATTAAATATACTGTTTGTCCTTTACAGCTTGCATGTGTAAACATGGTAAATGTGCTCCAAATGGATGTATTTGTTATGAAGGATGGTCCGGAAATGATTGTGACAAAGGTAACTAACTTGGTAGACCTTTGTATGTCTTTTGTTTCTGATAGACTAGTTAAATATGAGGTAAACTATGATTAAGTAGGTTTGAATATATTACTCCAAATAGTATGTATAATATTTACAAACAGGTATTTAATCAAACAGCTTTTAAATTGATTGACAAGGATGAAAACAAAATTCTTATTCTTTTCTAAAATATTATCTGTGCTGTGCGACTGGTGAGCTTTAATTTAAAACATTTAGGTATAGTAGCTATAATAGTAGGGAAAAATATAGGAAAATAAAATAATGGTATATGACTTTTCCTGTTGAATTTTTCAGTTGGTGGTTCAAGAACTCATAGTGGAATAAAGACCGATACTGATAGGGTGTGTATTTTATCCAGCAGTTAGCTGCAGTCATTTTGTTAGGTTTAAATATATCACTATTAACATTGTATACAGATTAAAACAAACATTAGATTAGTAAAAAGGCATACTATTTATATCAAAAATCTTAATGTATAAAGATCTGTTTTCTTTTACTAGTCTCCACCGGCGTTTACAGAGTATGTTATTCCACAAATAATACCCTGCACGATAAACAAATCTTGCAAGATAATGCTTCCTGTAGACGGAAAACCGCGGTAAAGATTTTGTTGATCATTACTGCCAATTTTTGTCTTAAATAAAATATTTTTTATCATAATGATCATTATTAAATTTGAACATAATTATTAACTTTATAAGTGCTTTTTATTTGATCTGAACTATTATAGACGTAAGTTTTCATCTGTATTCTAGTAAAGGTCTTTGTACGACACGGCAAAACGGCGATATTCCGATGACAAGTTGCATGGGATCATGTCGCTTCTTATTGTTGCACTACCGGTTGTTAAATATTTAAAATGGAAGTTTTTAGAGTAATTTATTATATATTAATCCATGATTTTGAATATTATTTTACAGCCATAAACCAGTTGTAGAACATGGAGATACAGATCCTGGTCTTAACACTCTCCCAATTACAGTAAATCCTAATCATGCTGTTCCATGTGATTCAACCATGGCAAAATGTGCATATGAGGCAATTATAACAGTGATACCTACTGAGATAAAGTTATATAAATATTGCGTTCAAACAAAGGACTACAAAAGGTTTGGATCAGCAAAATTGTTAACAAAAAAGCACAATTTGCTTCAACACGCGTTTGTTCATTAAGTTCTTTTAGTTTCAAATTGAAAATTTGAAAATTATCAAAAATAAGTGTTTTAGATATTGATATGAAAACTTTCAAAATGTTTTGACTTTCAATTGCTATGTGGTTTTATCTTTGGTTAAGAATGGGGTTATGTAATTGATAATTAGACATATACAAATACAAATATGACATAACTAGTTCAGATGTGTCGATTAAGTCTTTTTTTAAATAGAAAACATGTACTTGTGCTGAACATATATAACAAATGTTCCATTAAAACTTTTAAAATGCTTTCAAAGATTTAAACTTGATATGGGAACATGATGTGTAGGGCACTTTTTTTGAATAACAGTGATACACATACACTATTTTTAATGTATTTGTTCCCAAGTAATGATGATTTTATAATATTTTGTTGTTTCGTAAATATAAAAATGAGTAAAAATGTCTACATTTATAAATACTTATACAATTAAAAAATTGACATCATTTTTTATGACTTTTTATTTGTTTATTTATTTGTTTATTTATTTATTTATTTATTTATTTATTTTCAGCGTTCTTGCGGATGAGTTGTGTTATAAGATTCAAGGAGGTTTGTAAACAAATTTTTGCTTTTATTGTTTACTTTAACAAGTTTTTTAAAAGGTGTTATTTTTTTAATTCTGTTCAAAACGACATTATTGTGAGTTCAAGATTGAGAGGGAGATATTTATTAATTATTAATTCTTTGCAAGTATATGTAGCCGATGCTAATTTAATAAACTAGCTAGCATTTAAAATAAATGAAAAATATTGATATCAAGGCGAAAGTATTTGTAAGGAACAGGGATTACACAAGTCCGGGAAAACAAAAATTCTTGATAATGAAATATTTATTTTACTTTTCAGTTAAAGACGAGACAAGTCCAGTAAGTGCCGTTGTCTAATCTGTCAAAAGCAATTGAAATTTAGTATGTCAGTACTCGTTTTCTTTCAAAAGCACTGTACTTAATATTTTAAGTTAACTAGCACATGTACTATATTGATATTGAATAATATTGTCTGAAGCAATGAAATTTTTTTCTAAAAATATATGTCAGCATATGACTTACATGCGTATGTATTTTGACCCAATTTTTTCCTAGATCGGGAGAGTAATGTCCTCTGATTAAGCTAACATAGACTTTGTATACTGTATAACTGCAAATGTTTAACTGCGATAGGCATGAAATTTTAAAAGAATACTTTGCATTATGTGAACTAACGCACTAGGTCTGTTGATGCAAATCTAATTGATGCTGGGAGAAATAGTTCCCCTGTTTTAGAAAATTACACAATATTTGGATGTAAAAAGTATAAAATGGGGGCTCCCGTGCCCTATAAACCAACTCTACTTTCTAATTGTGTCGCCTTGAAAACATCGACAAATAGAATTCCTTTTGTCGTCGTCGGAAGAGTCGGCGACAGCGCCCCTAGGCTTTTCTGGAGCATTTCTCAGTGAGTATATGTCGGATTGACTCCAAACTTGGTATACATGCTTCTTTTAATGACCAAAAGTAAAGTGCACAAGAATCGTAACTCTGAACTTCTGATTTTTAAGTTACTTCCCTTTGTAAATTTGTATACTTTTTTTGTCCGAGCCACTTCTCCTAAACTATAAAAGCCATGGACTTGAAACTTCATAGGATGATATATCTCTTTGAGAAAAGTGCAGTGCACAAAAACAAACTGGTACTCTGTATTTCATGATTATTTACTTATTGCCCTTTGTTAATTTTGATACTTAATAGGCTAGTCAAGAGCATAGCTTGGTCACTATAAGTTTGGTTGACTCAAATTTTGTATGCATTCATTGACCTGAAGTGCAGTACACAAGAATCCAGAGTCCTCCATTTGATATGTCAGTGTACACCTTTTCTATGGTATTTTTATTTTTGGTAATAGAACAGTTTATTAACCCTGACGTAACATTGCTACAATCAAATCAAATGTCACTAAAGTTAAAGGTGCATATACATTTGCAAGAGCAGTGTTTATAAATAACCTATATTTAAGAAGAAAATGCCTAACTGGCAGCTATACTGTGACAAGGCGACACATCAGACTCGCAGAGTTCTAGTTTTGATTCATTCCAAACTAACTAATTTTTGTTCCTATTCTATCATTTCTAGGCTGGAATATTTAGCTATCCTCCAACGTTGCCAGAAAATTCGACGATGAGTTGTCCGTATGACCAAGCTTGTCACTATCAACTTGCAATCAAAACACCGGGTAAACCTTGGTAAGTCATGAACAGCCTTGAATTGAATTATCAGTTATATTTTATTTTGTCTGTACGAGGTGTGTTCAAAAAGTCCAAAGACAATCCCGTCCTTTAACATTTAACTGTAGTAAGTACAACAATGTTTTTAATTACATGTTTTAAGTAATGAGTAGATGTTATCTTTAAATTCAATCAAAGAATGCAATTGTATGAAAATTTCTGACTTTATGAATGATAGGTTCGGGCGCAACCCGGAAATGAAGTTTATTATATAGTATTTATATTACACCAGACCTGGCACTGTCAGGAAAACATTAATATGTATAGAAATATTATATACATTACGAACGGTAATCATTGATTTAATAGACCAATTTGTTTTCAATATACATATTTTGTATTACATCATTATGTCTCAGGATGATGTCAGAAACTTTATACTCTTTTTAATTTTTTATTACATATCATTACGTAATAAATCAAGTATGATACTATTGTAACAGAAAATGATCCATCTGACAATACAAATAACACGTACGATACGTGCAATTCAATAAAGAGAAAGATATTGTTATATTCACTTTAATTTCAGCGATAAAGATTTGAATGTCCAACCATCAAGTTCTTCTGTGCATGTGTTCTCATCAAATAAAACGAATGGCAGCATATGTCATTATGATGTTGTTTATGTGCCATCTAAAGATAAATCAGGGAAACAAAACTTATGTGTTTCGTAAGTATTTTATTTAAACCTGTATAATCATACTTTCATACAACTATAAGATGTATGAAATCTTTAAAACTTTAATAAAATAGAGAAAATATGAGTCCCATAAGAAAGTCCAACACGGCAAAATTGAAAATGTTGCAGGCTCGGTTTGATTGAGTCTGTTCATGGACGGTAATGTCAAGTGCAAACTACCGTCTACGCCCCTTAGCACCTACTTAAGCAGAATTTTAACATGAACTGGTACAATTTTGAATTTAGAAACATCCGCAGATGTATTCATATGGCGGTTATCATGGTTACATTAAAAAAAGATAATGAGATTACGTATGTAATAGTGGTAGTAATTTATACAAAACTGACATACAAACCTTTTTTTTCGTTATGCTTAAATTTCTACATGAATGTAATACCGGTATTCTAAAAATATCACATCAGTTTGCAATGCAAGACAAAGCATACTTTAAGAAAATAACGCAGGAATAATATACAAAGTAACGCCGACTTGTGTACATTTATGGCTATAACGTTTGTAACACTTTCAGTAAACGGACTAGTATTTTTTATCATAAATCAATAAATTATTGCTGCTATAGTCTCATTTCATATATTTCCGGGAGAGAGATCATTCGTGAGAATGACACCCTTGCTGCCTTTAGAAGGCGATATTTGTGTTTCCATCAATTAGTACCATAACCTAAACGATGTATAATATGTTACTGTTTTAGATTTTCGGTGTAACTGAGACAGTTGTCGAAGTACGAGCCTCATATTATAATAAAAGGAAGCAGATGTTATTGTGAATTGTTATTACATTTACGAAATGGCAAGAATTATATCGTTGCTTCTTCCACCAAATTGGCCTTCAATATAAATTGTCTTTATCAGATTTTTGTCACTCCTTTTAGTATTAGATGACCCTCATAGTTCGTAAGACGCCCATAAGTCGCCTATAATACGCTTGCGAGGTTGTCATTCGCTCGAATGATCTCGAAAAGCAAAGCATTTAGGGTAAGCTGTTGGGAGGGTTTATGTCTTATGTACAGCCTCAGTCAAACCGAGTCTGCAATTTTTATGTTATATTCTTGTTTTGGGGTTCTTATTTTAGCTTCCGAGGATCACATTTTTGTAATGTTCATGCTTGACAACAGCAGGTGTCAATTGCCGTGTGGAAATTGTAGAAAATTTAGACCGTAATTTACTTTAGTATTGTAATATTTTTCTGGTCTTTCGTTAGTATTGAAGATTGAATTTCGCACAAGCCGTTGCTATGTTCACGAGAGATGTTGCACGTTTACAGTATATCCCATGGGCAGACACGATCAAACCGAGTCTGCACTTTACATATAATATTGTTGTTGTCATTGCTTCCGAGGGATCACTCTATTCAAAGATTTTTTAAATATAATGTCTCAGTATCCACTTATTCTTTTCTTTTAAACAGAATGAATTAAGTCGGTCCGTCTATATACTGTATTGTACATTCCCTTCATATGTCTGCATGATTTAGTGTTACATTTGTTATACATGTATAAATGTACTCGTATATACAAAATAATAATTATATAAATTTGTCTTCAAATTGATATAAATATACATATATATATATACAATTCTATTCATATAAAAATTGACTTCGGATTAATTGCTACATTTTTTAAAGAAAAATCCATTTTTTGTAGTCGAATAAGTTCACCTTCACAGAAACATTGTATGGTTGTAGATGTTAAAGGTAAGGTTTGTCATTATTTTCATTTCTTTATTAAATTATTTTACATCAAATAAATTATGACTTTTTTTAATAATTGGATGGTTGCTAAGTTAAAGGGAGAATATCACTTGTTATGTTACAATGAGGTTAAAGAAGTTTTATTTTAAGATAAAATGCACATTTAAACTGTAGAATACAAATACATTGTAAAAGCAAAATGAGAATGGCGATGGATAATAGACTAGTTCCTATAATGATGTATCAATCCTGATAAATTTGGATGATAGTTGAAATAATTTTGACTATAACGAAAAATCAGCAGCAATATATATTAATAGTGTTCGTTATATTTTTTAGAAAAATGCAACACGAAGAAAGGTATGTATTACAGATATTTAAAATAAAAAATAAGCTTTATTTAATTCTAGTATGCACACTTGTGTTTCTTATTTCAATTTTATATTTTTATAGTTTATTTTCTGTTCAATTATGTCCCCTTTTTAAATCTCTCTTAGTACATTTCTCAAAATCTTTCAAAGATATTCACTTTATTCTTAGAGCACATGTTAACTTTTTAATTTGAAACGAATTTCTAAGGGTCAGATAGTCATGGATTTAAAGTATTGAATTTAATATACTTGTTGACTATCATGGGCAGATATGTCATTTTTGTAGTCTAAGAACTGTATCCCGTTTTTTATATTCTTTTTATTTAACTATCCAGCATTAAGAAAAATGAAACGTACTGTCCGTGAAAAGGTCTTGTTTTAAGTAGATATGAGTTTTTGATGACGTCATGTCAAATGTTATTTTTTGTATCATAATTATTATGCACATATTTATAAATCCTGTATAAACTGACAATAGCAATTATATTTTAACTAAACTATGATTATGTAGTTACTATACATATTTGCATTATCATTGATGAGTTTTGATATTTATTACAGCCAGCGAGGAAGCGGTGAGTATTTTTAATCTTGCTTTATTTGAAATAAAACAGTCAGCGATAAATGTCAGCTGTCGATATGTAATGTCTTTCATCATGAATTTGAATATCACCGAAGTTATGAAATGAGTGATGTGTTTTATAGTGTTTCGGGTGGATTGAACTGAGTTTACAATGTGTGCTCATCCCTCTGTTCTTCTTCTTTGCCTATACTTATCTATATTTCTCATGATTTACTTTAAAACATATGTATATCGAAATAACGTGCTGTAAAGTAGTTGTGTTTAGCATTTGATACGCCGAGCAATGTTGTGTGCCTTGTCGTTCGTCCGTTAGCCATTGCTTGTCCGCGTTATATCTTTTATTTCGATGATGTTTCTTATTTCATCTAAAACGCGTCGGGATCACTACCGCATAGTTTAAAACTCCGTCTTGGGCGAGCCGTTGTGTACTTGAGCAAAAGACTTTACACTCTTTGCTCGGTACTGGTTGGTTCCAGGAACGGGTCCGAGGGTGTGTCTTCAATCTATATATATCTGTATCTATATATGTCTTCATTCACAATCGAACTAATAAACCAACATAACTGATACTCGCAACTTGTGTTATAAGCAATTATATCAAATTTTATGCTTATGTTTTACAGCGTGAAATGGTAACTAAGGGATACGCAAGCTGTTTCTGCATTGTCAACAACAAGAAGGTACAGGTTATTAAGAAACGACCAGTTGCACAGAAGGGTAAAATGTTTAAAGCGGCTGGGTTTGGAGCAGGTGGAGTTGCGGGTACAATGGCTGTAGGTGTAGCAGTGTATATGATTGTAAATAAAGTTCGCCAGCCAAAGAAACCTCCCACCACACGCCCACCATCGTCGTTGTCAACAGGAAATGTACGTCAAAGAACACGCGTTCATCCTCAATGACGGACACGCGCAATCAGTTAAATTCGAAGAACAACACCCTAATGACAACTGATAGTTCAGACATTTTTGATTTTGTATGCCATTTAAAATAGATAATGTTCTGTAAGGACATTTTTTCTACGGTATATTATACTAAATTACAGACTTTCAGGCACTTTCAAAAATATGTGTTATCTTTTTTTATAAAAAAATATATACGATTTATTGATAAATAATGATATTAAAATACTTTAAGTGAAGAATGTATGTAAAACTCCAAATCTCGATATTTTTATATTTGTGTTATAAAGCTTTTGGCAGGTTTCGATTTCATGATATCTATTGTCATATTAAGTAATAATGTCTTCACAGCTCTGTAACAATTTGTATGTTATATATTAGTAAAATGTAGTAAGCATTCAATGTCTGTAATCTTTGTCTCCTTCTTCTAAATCTTCAAAAGGGTTTCAACTTCTAAAACCATACAAGGAGATAAAATGACGTCAACGAACGTTTTGTTCTTCGTTGTTTGACGTTTTGGTGTCCTTAATTAAAATAGAGACCTTTGTGTGTATTATCAACAAAACATTATCGTTGATATTGGGCAAGGAGACGTTTTATGTTCACCCTTCTCCGTTTAAACCTTATCTGTATATTAAATGTAACAAACATGCTTTTAGGAGGTTACGTTCAGCAATTTTCGCAACATTACATAATTTCTTGATCAATCTCATGTGATAGTAAGATGCATGAAAAACATTATGCATTTAAACAAAATGTATCATTTAATAATGATACTCTTGAAGAAAATGTTCTTTATTCTTTACTTTTATTTCTAAAGAGTTCATAGCTCATATATTTTTATGCTTGTAATAAAGGAGTAATATAAATATATGAATTTATATAACTGATAACCATGAAATTATCTTTTAAAGCAGACATGTACTTTTAAAAAGGATTTGCTTTCAAACGAGAAGTAAGAAAACTTTTGAAGTTTTATATGCTTTGCTGATTATTCTAGTATGTCAATGATAATGGTCACTCCGTTGGGTTGCCGAATATGAAGTCGTCTGGCTTAGTAGTGTTTTTACACTTGGGTCCAAGCTTTAAGAAATCAAGCAGGGCTTTAAGCAGGGCACACATTTTTTTGCGCAGTCAATCATTTCTGGTTCCTTAACATAATTATAATGTATATCATTCGCCTCCAATCTGAATTTAGTTTAGATCTACTTATATCTTTCTTGTAGATCTGATATCCTTCACCTTCAATCAAATTTGGATTTCCGGAGTTTGCTAATTTTAGCCATTAAATTAAATCGTCCGTTACAAATAGGCATTAAAAAGTCAATTCTGTTGATGAAAATATCATAGCACACTTTGCATGAACTTTCACAAGGTTTCAGTTACTTTATATTTACTTGTTACAATGGCAAATTATTAAAAGATCCTATTACACAAATTCTTTAGGGTTTATATCACATATATGATGTTCAAATGAAGATTTATCAATATTGTATGGTTCAAAAAGCATTATTTGTTTTAAACAAACATATGTATTTTTATACACAGTGCGCTTATGTGTACGCAAAGTGTTCAAATTATATTCCACACAGATCTACTTCCCTGTTTAACTGTTTTATAATTTGTATTCTACAGTCACAGCTTTCGTTTGCAGATATTCGTTCAATGCTTCTTCCCCTGCAATAAAAGAAAACATTGTGTTGTTTCTTCTCTCATAGGAACATGTATCCATGGAAACTGTCAGTGAAATTGAAGACAATTAAACTGAAATGAGATTGTTACATTACAAAATTACCAAAAAGTGGTCTCAAATCTCATTAATATCTTGAATTCAACATAAACAATATTATTATTTCCCTTCAGGATTATTTTTTTGAATCCAGAAAATTAATTTTTTCTCCTTAACGAAACCATTATATATTAGATTCCACTTTTTTCCAACACTGAAGGCAAATTGTGTGTAACATGATTTTATTCCTAGAAGAAATTTTAATTTAAAAGCATAATATTGTTAAATGTTAAAGTCATAAAAATAATGTTATATGGTTTATTCAAATGCATACAAATGTGGTAAATAAAAAGACATGGAAGTGTGGAAAATACAAAATGTATTAAATGTGGTTCATTTTTAGAGCATGAAATAGTGAAAAATGTAAAGGGCATAAATAAAGGTTAAATAAAAAACAATTCAAAAGGCAATTATTGTTAAATTGAGTATTGGAAAGGCATAAACACATGGTAAAATTAAGGCATGAATATGCGGTAAAATTAATGCATGATCATGTGGTATAATAAAATAGGATAAAATTGTGGTAAAATTGAATTCACTAGTGCATTAAATTCATTTTCAAATTTACCATTGTTTGAAAGATTTGATACAAATTGATATTCTACTTCAGCAACAATTGTTTCACAGAACACACATTTTGCGCAAAATTATTTCAATTAATTTGTTCTAAATTTTAACATTTCAAGACGTTTATCACCACCCACTTTATTTTAGATTAAAATAGCAAAAATGATTTTTTTCTACGTGAATGAACTGAACAAGGTCCGAGAAGGTTACTCAAAATATGAACAATGTGCTTGCTAAATATGCAAATGGATGCTGTACCAAGAACTTGAACACATCTTCTTCACATCCGTTGATAAAAATACTTGGATGCTCAGTATGTACTTTCACATGATCAGTATGTACTTTCACATGGTGTAAAATGACTATTATTTGACTTAAACAGATATAGAATACAAAATTGTCAGGGAATTGTCATAATACCAAGTTTAAAAATACAAAGGGTCATAATTCTGCCAAAAGCATCACAGAATCATTCAGGGCACTTCAATGACAATCACGGTGAAAATCCTTTAGAAAAATGTAGGAGTTGCACATTGAACGAATATGTTTCATCCAGATACTGACATGGCCTTATTCCAGCTTTCATGGTACCTAGGCTCAGACTATATGAGTTCGTTATAGACCAAAAGAACACATCGTCATTAAGGTAAACGTTTTTTACATTTCTATATTAAAAGTAGGTTATTAGTACCAACCACGTTCAGATAAGTAAATTTGCAGACCTTTTTTGAAAGATTGAGGGCTTAAAAATATACATTGCCTTATTCAAATTGTTTGCTCAGAGTTTTAAGTAACTAAGTATTAGAGGTAAAGCTAAAGAAACAGTATGCAGACTTGGTGTTTATCAAGTTTATTCTTACTTCAGAAATTTTCTATCTTATGTGACACTGTTTGAAGCAGTATTATTTCTTAAATATAAAACCTTCGTGCTGCAAATAAGATTCGTTCAATATAATTTTACGCAAAAACTTATAATGCTCGTACAAAGTTACTTACATTATATATTTTGTTACTGCCTATGGATTTCTTCCAATTAAAGTTTTATGAAAGAAATGTTTTGTTATGTAAATCGATATATAAAATAGCAATATGATAATGTTTTATGCGATACAAAGTCTGATATAGTTGGAATGTACTGTTTATCTTTATATACAAGAATTAGATTGTAGTTTGTGACAAAGTTTTTCACTGATTGTCACTGACACATTCTGATCGGCTTTATACAAAACCTTAACACTTTGAAATTTAGTTGAGCTGGTTTTGAAAAGAAATCATAGGTCTATTTCATAAAAGCTTGTGAAGATTGGTATAAGTTCTGAAATACAAGGCTTACTAGGTTGAAACTCTTTAAAAGTGAAGTGTGTTTTATAGGATTGTAGAAATTTCACAGAGTTACAAAGACTTGGAAAAATTTCAAGATTCATATAGATATAAGCAATTCTATATTTGTGAATAATTTATAAGGGTCTTTTTTAGTTTTAATTTTGAAGATATTTTTTTCTTAGTTCTTTGTCATCTGATCAAAACTATTGCATTTTATTCTTCCCTTCAACCATGCAATTATTATCAATAAAACTCTATATGAAAGATCTTGGGGTTGTCCTTTTAAACATTGTTAAAACTTTAAATTTCAGTATATTGACAGTAATGAAATGCTGAGTGGAGTTTCCAAGAGAATTAACAAGAAATATCTTTTAATTGTCTTCAATGAATATTACAAATTTCAAAAACATGAACATTCAATTGTGTCAATCCTTTTAAGGTTTAACTTTAAACTGTGCAAAAAAATAAGATTGAATATAAAGTTATCCTCAAACCATATATTAGTTAAAATCAAACAATGTTATGAAAACAAATAGGTTCATAACAGAGAAAAATAAAATTATATAAAACATTCGTAAAATAAAAATTATACTAAAAATACTTGTGCAATTGCAGATCGAACTAAAAATATTAGTCTAAATGTGAACGGTTTACTGCGCTACTAGGGTTTACGTGTAAACGTTCAATTTGTTTTCTTAATCAAAAAAATGTAACAGTCGATAATAAGATTACTTGCACAACCCATTATACCGAAATAGTATAACCGAAGAATGTAAACGTTAACGTGTTCTACCTCTACATACCTGCACACCTTAAACTACATTTTCATTTAGGTCATATATATCGTTTTCACTCTCGAGTACCGTTGGGGTAAAATAATATGCAAATCAATACAGCACATGACACGAAACCAGATATTTATCCGACAAAGTTTGAAGAATGAAGTAAAGGCTGTTTTAAAACTGGCGTGATTCGAATGTATACCAATAATTTGTGTTATTACAACTGTTTATTATACTTATAGTTGATTCAAGTAATTAATTGGGGAACAATGTAACTTTGCTAACTGAAAAGAGAATACTATCTTCAGTGAATGTAAACTGTGATTATGTTACAGTAGAAAATGAACTAACAATAAAAGTTTAATATTTAAAAAAAACAAAGATGGCCGAACAAGAAAGAGGAAGTAAACTATCAAAAGACAACTTTGGAGAATATTTACCGTCTGAGAAAGGAATAAATATCGCAGATGCATCGGTATGTGTAAGCTCTGGAATCAAGAGCTCAGGAGTTGCTTCAGTTTACAAGAGTTCAGAGGAATTCTATGAATATACCTGCGATCCTTGTAAACATTTTGGAGATTGTTTTGAGGCTGAAGGATTTTGTACACATTGCAAGGAATATCTTTGTATCACATGCTTTCGGAGTCATTCCAGGAACAAGGCATCGAAGCACCACACGTTACTTGAGAAAGATAACATGCCGAGAAAAAAACCAAAACTCTGCAATCCGTGTAAATTAGCTGGAGACGAAAAAATAGCAGTTGGATATTGTGAAAACTGTTGTGATTTCCTGTGCAACGATTGTTACAAGAGCCATCCTAGAAATAAAATGTCAAGGGATCACGTGCTAGTAAAGGATGAGGGACTTGAGGAAACCGAACAAGTTGTTACTTCTTCCTTTGCTCAAATGAATATCACTAAAGGAAAGACCAGTGGCGGAAATATAGGTGCGAAATTTTCTTACGTTCGAGATATCAATGTTAAGTCAGATACTGACAAAAAGGACTGTTTAATTGCGAGAATAACGTTAGTTTCTGAAAATGACATTGTCCTTTGTGATGAAGACAATGTATGCTTAAAACTGTTTGATATCAATAGGAACATAATCAAAGCTGTTCTAGCATTACCATCTAGTTTCTATGGTGTAACAGCGATATCTAATGATGAGATTGCTGTTGTTGGAGAAATTGAAAATGAGATACACATTATTTCAATACATGACAGTATGACAATAGACCGTACAATCAAAACAACTGGTACATGTCTAGATTTGAAGATGTTGAACAATCTTTTATATGTGTCATTGTGGAAACCTACAAAGTTTCAGATACTCCGACCAACTGGGGAAATAACCAAAACGATCAAGCTTGATGATGATGTATTCAAAGATGTTACTCCTCATTATATAGCTGTGAGTCCTGATGAGACTGTGATCTACATTTCTGACTGGGAAACTAACAAAGTAATATCCCTTGATATGAATGGTAGAATGTTAGCATTGTATAATGGTGAGTTAGATTATCCACTCGATATGTTCGTTTCTCCATCTGGATCAGTCTACGTTTGTAGCCAGAGCCAGCACATCGTATACAAGATGAATTCAGATCTGAGTGAAGCTTTGGTAATACTAGGACCAGGAGATGGATTAAGGTACCCAACAGCCATGTGTTTGAATGCTAATAATCAGTATATTTACATCAGCAGTGGAAGAGATGAGGCTGCATATTGTAATAACATAAAAGTCTTTAAGTGTTGAAGAATATTCATTCTCGAACATTTGCAGATTTACTTTTTATCTCATATGTAAATAAACAGATGACTATTGACACTTGGTCAAAAGAGAAACAATTACAATTTAGGGATCAAGTATTTAGTGTTATGAAAGAATTAAGGGATTGCAAATGATTTTGGAGGTCAATTTTCATGCAGTGTTGCAGTATAAACATAGATAATACAAAACATTAAAAGCTTAGAGAGTTAATTATTTTATACCTTATCCTTTTAAAAGATCAAAAAATGTAAAAATTAATAATAAAGCTTGGATGTTTGTTTAAAATGTGTCAGACCGAGTGGTATGAAATTCCGTATCAATTTAACTGAATAACATTTTAATTTTTCATTTCAAATACAAAATTTACGTTAACAACTTCATGAGCACATGATTCCATCTTCATGAATTCACAATCAGGAATCTCGTGATAACATGAATTTTATGAATACTCTCCCTGGACATGGCAAAAACAAACAAACAAAACGACAGTTATTTGTTTGTATTTTATTATTATCAACCAAATCTCAAATTCACTGATAAGGTAATAAAACTTTTCATCTCCTGAATACCTTAGCAATAATATACTTCAATTTAATGCTGTTTGTTTCTGCTGTAAATTATTACTAGTTATAAATTCATTAAACATATTATAGCGACATTTCAAATCATGTAAACTAATAAAAAGTCATGTTACATTTCAAATGTTTCTATTTTCTGATATTGGAAAAAAGTTACCAAATTGTTCTTATGTAATGTTATAGCATTTTTCTGTTACATTATTATCATCAATCACATTACAAACGGTTCATTTTCAACTGTTCTAAAGGGATACCAGCTTCGTTAAAGGAATTCCACTGAGGTCCAAAAGCCTAAAAACATGAAATTTGAATTCCTTACATAGATCAGCTGGGGCACTTAAAACAATAAGAAACGCAAAAGATAATTAAGAAATATACTTAGAAATAAATTTAAATTCGTATATTCGTACTATTTTTTCTGTCAAATCTGAATGTAAAGCGTTGGAGATTTTTATTCTGGAAAACGGAGCGAGCCAACGATCTGAAATTTTGCACACAAGTTATCGGTCTAGAGCTACAGAAATTAGAACATCCATCTTTAGTCAACTTAAACAAAAACCTCAGTGGAGTCCCACTTACATGCCTTATTTATCAAGTATAACATACATTCTTCCATAAATACACGAAACTCCTCAAATTCTTTATAAAAGAAGACATAAAACCTAACAAATAACCAAAACAAAGGTTTGTTCAACACACCAAAACCAGATAACAAACAATGATACATATTTGACACACATTTTTATAGTCACTTCATACACTATTTTGTGATAAAAACGGAGTGGGTAGGAAAAATTATTTTAATAAAAACATGAATTCAAATGTATAAATAATATTCATATAAAATAATACATGCATAAATGAAAGAAATCTCTTTTTAAAAATGCAAACTTAAAATTTCCAAAACCTGATTAGATAAAAAAATGTAATCTAATTCTTCAAAGCCTTAAGTTTTTAACATTCTTTTTTTCCTAATGATTTTTTTCAAGTCTTAATTGAAAAGCATATAGACAAATAAGAAAGATACAAAAAGAAATTTATTTTAACAGGATATGAGTATTGTTTAACATTTAACACAATATTTTCAAACCAGTAAATTAAAACAAAATAAGTAGAAATTAGTTTTATCTTTAGTTGTGTAATCTTTTACATTTACCATCACTTCATCAACCATTTACAGACTCAAACAAACCGAGTCTGCAACATTTCAATTTTGCAATATTTGGCTACCGGAGAAGAACAACTAAATTCCTTAATCTAGCTTGATAGCTGCTTCACCTTGTTAATAACTGAATTAATATTTCAATCACATTTTCATCTCTTTGTATTTGTATGTATATGAATGAAATGGCAAATGTGACAATGATACAGCACTTATATTATGTAAGACTAGTAAGGCATTATTCATAAAATACTTTGAGACACCTTCTTTATAAATATTATTCGCTATCTTTTTGATTCATTTCATTAACTAACAACAATAAAATCTAACAAAAAGCAATGCTTCTATAAATTGTCTTATTAAGCATCAAATCAAGAACTGCCTCATTCGTAAATCAGCCCATCCCATAAGCCAGCAAATGAAAGTTGTACCTCTGAGGTACAATTAATAATCATAAATGGAGGTATACCTGTGCTATGCAATAAGTAATTTTAAGCCAAACATACTGAATGGAGGTTGTACCTCTGCCATGAAATAAGTAATTATAAACCAAACATAATTAAAGAAGAATGTGCATCTACTGTACAATAGGTAATTATAAGCCAACATAGTAAGTGGATGATGTACCTCTCCCATAGTAATTATAAGCTAAATAATGTGAAGGAAGGCCAGGCATGTACAGTTGCGAGCTATTTAGTTAATAACTATTTATAAGTCAAACAAAAGTAATAAAGGATAGATATGTTCAGCTGTATGTTGTACAATAGTTAATTATTAGCCAAATACAGTGAGTGAAAGCTGTACCTCCTCTGTGCAGTAAATATAAACCAAACATAGTAAATAATGGATGTACCTTTCCTGTACAGTAATTAATAAACAAGCAAATTCGATGAATTTATATCCCCCGCCGAGTACTGGTTATTATTAACACAACAACTGAAGACATAAGGCTTTATTTATATATTAATCATGGCATAAACAGTAATATTCTTTGAACTTGATAAATATTCAGGGCAATAACATAGCCATAACTTTGTGTTAAATAGTAAAATCTGAAAATGCCAATGAGATGTATGCATACTACATAACTAATCAAGGGCCATAAATCTGAGTTATAAGTATCTGACTGGAACAATGCGACTATATGCACATATCCTCTTAGTGTCACATAAAGTTTCATTGAATTCCAGCCAGTAGTAGCAGAGAACTAGCGAGGAAACAAATATTTTTTCTATATGTATACTGCATAACTAATCAAGGGCCATAACTCTGAGTTAAAGTGTCTGACCGAAACAAGCCGACGATATGCGCATCTCCTCTTGGTATTGAAGGTTCCCATAAAGTTTCGTTGAATTCCAGCCAGTAGTTGCAGAGAAGTAGCGAGGAAACGATTTTTACTCCATATGCATACTGCATAACTAATCAAGGGCCATAACTCTGAGTTAAAGTGTCTGACCGGAACAAGCCGACGATATGCGCATCTCCTCTTGGTATTGAAGGTTCCCATAAAGTTTCGTTGAATTCCAGCCAGTAGTTGCAGAGAAGTAGTGCGGAAACGAGTTTTACTCTATATGCATACTACATAACTAATCAAGGGCCATAACTCTGAGTTAAAGTGTCTGACCGGAACAAGCCGACGATATGCGCATCTCCTCTTGATATTGATGATTCCCATAAAGTTTCGTTGGATTCCAGCCAGTAGTTGCAGAGAACTACTCCGGAAACGATTTTTACTCTATATGCATACTACATAACTAATCAAGGGCCATAACTCTAAGTTAAAGGGTCGGACCGGAACAAGCCGACGATATGCGCATCTCCTCTTGATATTGATGATTCCCATAAAGTTTCGTTGAATTCCAGCCAGTAGTTGCAAAGAACTACTCCGGAAACAAAATTCGGACGACGGACGGATGGATGGACGGACGGACAACGCCAAAACTATATCCCCCTCCCGATTCCATCGGCGGGGGATAATAAATACTGTTCAGTAAGTATTTATCAGCCAAACATAGTGAATGAAAATTGTACCTCTGCTGTGCAGTAATTATATACCCAACATTGTAAATGAAGGCTGTACCTTTCCTGTACAGTTAGTAATTATTTTATGCAAAACACAGTGAATTATGGCTGAACATGCACAGCTTACAGCTGTGCAGTGCGCAATTATAAACAATGAATTAAGGTTGGACACGTACAGTTTACAGCAGCAAGAAATAATAACCCAAACACAGCGGAAGAAGATGTGGCATGTACAGTTGTACGCTGTGCAGTAAGTATTTATAAGTCAAACAAAAACAATAGAAACCTTACTTATTTGTACAGCTGTATGCTGTAGAGAAAGTAATTATAAGCAAAATATAATGTACAGCAAGCAATGACAAAGAAAAGCAACAAAATCTAACATAAAAACTCAAATATAAAATATCAATGCAACAACTTGTTGAAATATTAGCTACTCTATATCATTTTTGTTATCAATATTACTATGAATCTAATAGTTTTAATTTAGACAGCACCAAGAATGAAAATTATTATATTCATTAAATAAACAATATTAATACTGACCAGTTATTTATTCCAATTTAACATCAAACAAAATTGAGGTACTGAAATAATTTACCCCACTATCTATAATAGAGGTAACTTTGATTGAAAATATGGAACAAAATAACAACAATGTTTATGAAACTCACTTTAATTATTAACAAGTGTCCAAACAAATCTTTTGAAAAGATTTTAAGCATAAACTGTGATATAATTATATACCACATCGTTAGGTATGTAATATAATATAGCTATATACCAACAAAAAGAGGTATATATTATGATATTTATATACCATACAAATAGGTATTTATCAAGATCATACAGTTATATACCAATACCAATATATATCATGATAGAGTTATATACCATAAGGTATATTTTATGAAATAGCTATATACCAATACCAAGAATATATTTCATGTTAATATACAATTGAACATGTCAATTTCCAAAGAAATAAGCCATGACAATATTGTTATATACATTCATTTACAACAATAAGTATTTGTAACTATACAAATACTGCATCTTAATATACAGTGTATTTAGAGGTTGCATTTAAAACATCTAATGTTGTAAATAAAAAATACAACAATAATGGCTAGTTTTGTAAGAATAAAGTAATTATATATAGTTTTTTGGGTTATTAAATTCCATATTTACATGTAACATTTTCCACTTAAAAAAAAACAGTATTTTTCCCTCTAGCTTAAAATTATTTACAATAAAAGATAACTTATATGTTGGCTGTTTTCACTTCTTTCAACTAGAGACCATAAATTATTGTTTAATTTCTATAAAAAAAACCCAGCTCTTTTTACATCTTGTAATTGTATTTCATATAATGGGTGATTAAGTTACAATAAAAATAAGACTATAATTATATATATTTTTTCCATTTTATTTTTTCTATTTTTTAATCTATCAATTTATTTCCAATATTCTTGTGTTTGTTTTTCTTCTTTTGGTGTGTGTATAGGGTAGGGTTGGGTAAGGGCCAAGACAGAGAGAGGTTGACTAATGACTATAAAAAAATTGGAGCAATGCCTTTATTGCCAATCCTCAACAAATGCCATTAAAATAAGTTATATGAGTATTTTTCCTTAATTTGGTGGCCAGTGCTTTTACTGCGTGTTTGCAGGTAAGACACAACATTTATTTCCATTATTTTAATATTGAGAACATAGCAACACTTTATCAATATTGAATACAACATTTCCATTATTTCAATATTAAAAACATAGCAACACTTTATCAATATTGAATACAACATTTCCATTATTTCAATATTAAAAACATAGCAACACTTTATCAATATTGAATACAATATTTCCATTATTTCAATATTAAAAACATAGCAACACTTTATCAATATTGAATACAACTTTTCCATTATTTCAATATTAAAAAGATAGCAACACTTTATCAATATTGAATACAACATTTCCATTATTTTAATATTAAAAACATAGCAACACTTTATCAATATTGAATTATTTCAATATTTAAAACATAGAAACACTTAATCAATATCAAACATAGTGAAAATCAAATAGCCATGTACAAACGATTTCAAATTGTACAGGTATGTTTCAATAAAGTTGCAGAATTAACTGATAAAATCTTATTTCTATATCTGACTACCTAATCTCCTGCAAATTTATAACTATTCGTGGAGAACTAATTTTTGTGCTTTTCGTTGATAGGTATACTCACAAATTTTAGATGCAATGAAATTTTATTTTATTCCGGAGTAATTTTTTGTATTTTTTTTCTTTCTTTTACTTTTTCTGCTTAAATAGTACATGAATTAAAAAAAAACATGAAAAAAGTTCTTTTGCACAAAAACCACGAAATTCCATGTGTGACCACAAAATTAAGTAAGTATTGGTATTCACTTCCATAATAATGATAGAAAGGTGCTACTGATGCACTGTGACAATGTAGTAGTTTCACTTGGTAATAATTTCATTTATTGCCATTTTATCTGAATATATCTATACCTAACAAATTACCAGTTCATTATGGTATGACACAAACAAAGACATTCTAAAAACATAATATAACATGATTTTTATATAAAAAAATCAACAATCAAATCACCCAAACAAAAAACATGATTGTAGAAAATAAAACTTCCATTTTTTGATACACTTTGTATTAATACATATAAAGTTATCTTCGTCAATAAACAATAGCTGCATTTTTTATCATCGTAATATATGATATTACACTGATGAAATACTTAATATTATGTACTGAAACAATAACTGACATTACCCGATTTATTTTTTATTTTTGATAAACTGCCAAATTATTTCTATATATTAATTGTCCGAACAAATTAACAGTATCATTTAACACATTGTTACAATGTTAATTGACATTATTTGTGTACACATCATTGTGAACACAACAAAGAGTGATGACATCATCAATTTTAGTTTAGATTTGGTTCAACAATTCAGTATTAAAAAATAGTGAAATTTATCTAAAATACAAAAAAAAGAAATTTCAGTGTATGTCACTTTTTTTAGTGTAGTTTTCTTTTTCTGGCACCTTTTTTTATATTTATATCTTTTTATACAAAACTATGTACATTTAAGTACGCACAGTGTGTTTATGTGTAACACAAAGTATCAATTCTCTATTGTTCAATATACTCCCCACACAGATCTACTTCCCTGTAAAACTGTTTTATAAATTATATTCTACAGTCACCGCTTTTGTCTGCAGATATTCGTTCAATGCTTCTTCCCCTGCAATAAAAGAAAACATTGTTTTATTTTCTCTCACAGGAATGAACATGTATCCATGGTAACTGTCAGTGAAATTGAAGACAGTTAAACTGAAATGAGGTTGTTAAATTACGCAATTAACAACAAGTGGTCGGAAATCTCATTAATATCTTTACACTATGTGCATTCAACAAAAACAACATTATTGTTTCCTTTCAGGACTTTGTTTTTTTAATCCAGAGAATTAATTTTTCTCCTTATTGAAACCAATTGAGCACTTTTTGGATAAGAACTTTTTTCAAACGCAACAGGAAAACTTTCAGTAACATGAGTACATTCCTAAAAGAAATGTTAAAAGAATAATATTGTAAAATGTTCAAGACATAAAAATACTGGTATGGTTTATTTTAAAGGCATACAAATGTGGTAAATAAAATGGGTAAATACAAAATGCATTAAATGTGGTTCAATTTTAGGGCATGAAATTGTGGAAAATTTAAAAGGTAAGAATAGAGGTGAAATAAAAACAATTCAAAAGGCATGTATTTATGGTAAAGTAAAGTACATTGTATTTGAAAGGCATCATTTATATTTCTCAGGAACTTTAAATTTTGGTATGTTGTAAAAGTTTCCAAAAATTACGCCTTTGCCAAGCAGATGAATTTTTGCTTCTTCAGCTCTCCTGGCAATTGGCATAATTATAGGGAAGTATTTTGTATGGAAGTCATGGACCACTTTGTTTACAGTTTGCAACCTTTATGACACATTACTGCATGTTTAACCATAGGGCTGTCATTGATGGAAACTTTTGTATCGATATATCTAGAGACAAATATCGACGATACATCGAAATATCGACTTTGACAATAGATTCAATGAAAAACATTATATATATGTTATAATTTGGGATCATGGTGTTATGCATGCTTGTATTACACATTACAAATGCTACATACTAACAGAAAGTTTGTTTTTTCTGTTATTCTTGTCACTGATTTTTGAAAATAGAGTTAAAGGTTCAAGTTAGCCAAGAAAACTAGAAACAAGTGACTTCTCTTATAAGCCAAAATAGAGAGGTACATGTAGATTTACTACCAGAATTTTTTTTTAGCTTGTATCGATATGTGAAAGTGTGTATTGATATTGTATCGAATGACGAATATCGATGATATATCGATATCGCAATATTCAATGACTGCCCTAGTTTAACAGTACTTTCTTCAGTTGTTTTACATTATACATGCAATAAATCCTTTTTTAAATCCTTCTTATACACATATTTGACATTTCTAACGAACTAAAAAATGAATGGATTTCTAAGGTATGTGCTTTTTACTCAGACCTGATACTCTTTACAGGTGTGTAGAAATAGACAGGATAGAAATTGACGGTATTACTAATCAGGTGCAAAATTTTAATGTGCATCAGTCCGATATGCATTTACTTCATATCTGGTGCTTTTGAACCCGCAACCCAAACTTTATCTATGACCTCTATTCGCTTTTATAAAAACATGTCTGCTATGTTTCGGTTTCAGACATGCCCAGTCAGCTTGTAGCGTAAAAGTGCAACCAATCGCTAAAGTCACGCAATATGAACATCTTTAAATCAATCACATTCACCAAATGACAGTTCCAAGGTCAAATCAGTATTCAAAAGCTATTTCATAAAAATTAAGTTCCCAATATCATAATAATAAACAAAACTACAATTACCACAACTTTTGTTTCATTAAATCTAATGGAAATTGACTGCAGTGTTTCAATGTCAAGATCTGTTAACCTTTTTTCTAGTTTTTATCATGTAATTTCCTTTCTATTTGAAGCAAGCTGAGCATATTCAGTTTTCAATATGCATTTTACTTCATCTTGAGGCACGATTTATTAGATTTTAAATGATTCTTTTGATATTAAATGTATTATGAAATTGAATTCACCAATGCATTAAATTCATTTATGAATTTACCCTTATTTGGAGGAATTGATACAAAAACAGTTGATATTCTACTTCATTCCATTTGAGCAACAACTGTTTTCACATAATTTGCGCAAATTTCTAACAATAAATTTGTTCTAAATTTGGCATGCTAACATTTCAACACATTCATCACCACCCACTTTATTTTAGATTAGAATAGCAGAGAAATGATGTCTTTAGCACTTATCCGAAAACCTTAATATGTTGAGATTATTTTTTTTATATAAAAATGCACCGTAATTTAAACCAGCCATGATATTTTCATTCCCCTCCCCCTCCACAAAGTTACTAGCAGTATTTGTACAATAAATAAATCTGTATCAGGGCTTAAAGGGACTTCACTAAGGTTTTTTAACATGACAGGAATGGAAATATGTTTCCGAGATTTGTCACCCATTTGACAAAGGTCTGAACTGAATAACTTGTCTGCAAATTTTAAGCTCATTCCCTCTTTGCGCTTTTCCCGTACATTCATTCTTATTGTGCAATATGACTCAGAAATGAAAACTTTTACAATGTGTTTCACTCAAATCTAGCTAAGAATCCCACAAAAATAGGTATTCAATCTAATAATTATTCTATTTCTTTATTGTCCTTTTCAGAGTTTTCAATTTCTAGTGCTTCATTAATCTTCATTAATCTATGTAAAAAAAATTAAAGTGTATGTTTTTATGCTTTTTGACTAAATTGTTTGTATAGAATTAGCTGAATGAGTTCCAAAAAAATATAAAAAATCAGCATATAATATGAACAATGCAATGAAAACAATTTGGATGTCATGCCGAGGACTTGAACTTGGACTCAAAAATTCTGCACATCCATTGATATACATTGAATACAGGAATGCATTTGTAATTTCACATGGTGTAACTATTCTGAGAACTTGATAGTAAAAACAAGAGCGATCAGTAATCACATGTGTCGCCTCATGATGGCCAATTTCATGTTGGGACAAATTTTGTGACAGACGGACAGTGCACAACTAGACTAACCACTTTGTACTGATCATTCCTGTAAAGTTTGGATAAAATTGCACAAGTAGTTTATGAGGAGTAGTCCGGACAAGCTTTTGCGTATCTGGCAACACACAGAAAAAAACACCTTTTTATCAAAGGGCCATAACTCGGCCAAAAATCATTCAACCGGAAAACCCGTGCAATATGCGCAAGGTCTTGAGCTACAGATCAATCCTGTAAAGTTTCATTGAAATTGCATAAGTGGTATAAGAGAAGTAGTCTGGACAAACTTTAAAAATAAAAATTATAAAAGGGCCATAACTCAAACAAAAATCATTGAACCGGAAAATGCTGACAATATGCACAACTAGACTTGGTACTGATCATTCCTGTAAAGTTTGGATGAAATTGCACCAGTAGTTTATGAGGAGTAGTCCGGACAAGCTTTTGTGTATCTGGCAACACACAGAAAAAGAAACCTTTTTATCAAAGGGCCATAACTCGGCCAAAAATCATTCAACCGGAAAACCCGTGCAATATGCGCAAGGACTTGAGCTACAGATCAATCCTGTAAAGTTTCATTGAAATTGCATTAGTGGTATAAGAGAAGTAGTCCGGACAAACTTTAAAATTAAAAATTATTAAAGGGCCATAACTCTGACAAAAATCATTGAACCGGAAAATCCTGACAATATGCACAACTAGACTTGGTACTGATCATTCCTGTAAAATTTGGATGAAATTGCACCAGTAGTTTATGAGGAGTAGTCCGGACAAGTTTTGTGACGGACGGACGGACAGACGGACAGACAGACAGACAGACAGACGGACAGACGGACAGACAGAAGACGGAGAAGTGATCCCTATATGTCGCCACTACTCCGTAGAGGCGACACAACAAAAACATGGATATTAAACGTAGAAATTTTTAGTTCAAAAAGACCTTTAGTTCTGTCAAAATCCATGGTAGAGTTATAGGCCTTGGATAGTGACCTCCTATTACACTCTCAAATATTTAAGTTTCTGAATTTTCAACACATTCCCTTAACTAGTTTAAGAGACAATAAATTGCACACAAAATCGTAACCAAAGTGTGACACAGATCACAAACTGAGTACAATAGCTAGCTCTCTCTCTCTATCCTTCAACTATTTGAGCTAAAATGAATGCTTGACACAAGCAAATACTGCACAGATAAGTGTCATAATAATTGTCACAATACCATGTTTGAAAAAGTAAAGGGACTTAATTCTGCCCAAAAAGACCAAATCACCAAATCAAAGCATCATAACAAAATGACACAGACCACTTGATGACAATCATTCTTTGAAATTTTGGTCTCGAGAAAAAATGGAGCAGTTGCACATTGGAAAAAATTGCTTTCATCCAGCTCCTGACATTCAACCTACTTTTTCATGGTTCAGTTTTATGTCATACCAACACTCATATGGTCATATGGCGAATTTCAAGCTTTACTGATGGAAAAAGGGCTCAGCTACCCCTTTTTGCAATATTTCATGCCCTAACGAGCACCGGAGTAGAACCACAGACATTTCCATTGGCTAGCATTCACCAATTCAACAACCAGAGTTTCTTGCTAGAAAACCTGGTTATAAACTGCATGTTAAATAAGCCATGGACATACCAAGATCTTTTCCAAATCCTGATTGTTTAAATCCTCCAAATGGTGAGGCAACGTCTGTCTTATTGTAAGTGTTCACAAACACTGTCCCTGCTTTAATACTGTCAGCCACTGTCATGGCCTTGTTTATGTCCTTGGTAAACACGCCCGAGGCCAGGCCGTATTCTGTATTGTTTGCCCGAGCTATAACTCCCTCGATGTCCCTAAAACGACAAATAAACATAAATGTTTATCTTGACATACACGTTATGTTATAATTAAAATAGAAATTACCTTGCTGAATTTCTTAAATGGACTTGTCTAGCTTCCAGCTTTAGATTCTAGGGGCATAATTTGAACAATCTTAGTAGAGGGCCACTAGATCATGTTACATACCATATATCAAGGCACTAGGCCTTGTCGATTTTGACAAGAAGGTTTTTTTAAGATTTTCCTATATAACTTTATGCATGTATAAAACTTATGAGCCCCCTGGCAGGGTCCTCTTGACCCTAGGGTTATAATTTGAACAATCTTTTTAAAGGACCATTGGATCATGTTGCATACTAAGTTTTAAGGATCTACACCTTCTGGATTTTGATAAGACATTTTTTAAGATTTTGTTTAAAAAAAAACTCTTTTGGTTGCGATGGCAACCAGAGTTCTTCATGAAATTTCATTCTTTTAACAACATTGGTAGAGCTTTATGCAAGGAACATGCCTGCCAAGTTTAACTGAATTTGTGACAGGTGACCTAATTAAATTTGTGTCTATTTCAAACATGAAATTAAATTGACTTAGATATTTTCAACATATGAAATATTTCCAATTAATCATTTGTTTATTTTAAAAATGTTTAAATCATTCAGTGACTTAGTGCCAAGATGGACAGAAGTTGTAAATGTATTTATGTACAAAACACAATGTCACTATCAAAAATTTTACTTATCTTTATTCATATATTTTCATATTCATTTTAAACTTATAACCTGTTACAACTGCTATGATTCAACAATTGGTCGAAAAAACTCTAAATGGGCAGAATTTTTGAAAACTTGACAGTAATTACTGAATTACATATGGATTTAATCACTACAGTTTTGGTGCAGTACCTACAAACCCTTTCAGAAATAGTGATAGTAAAGTATCTTTTTTTTCACTGCTACTTACAATTTTCATTCATTATTGTATATAAATCATGTGAACAGATGAATTGAATGTCTTTGATTGCATTTGGACGGGTGAAATTTAACATTTAATCATTCCAACACCTTGTCCAATGTATATACCGGAATACGACATTCAGTGTGGCTCCCACACTTATTCTAGTCTCACTCATTACTTATGGTATTGGCATGGTAACTTCTGAATGGAATGGTATGGTACATCATTTATGGTAGTAAATAAATCCCTTACCCATCCATGAATTTTGAAATAATCATAACAGGTCCGAAAGATTCCTCTATTGACATCATTGTTCCATCTTCAACATCGGTGAAAATTGTAGGCTCCATAAACAATCCTAGACAAAATAACAATAAAAAAATATCTTTAAATTCATACTTGCATTGCAATCATTTATCTAATAAACAATAATTTTCCATTGGAAAACCTGGATTTAAGGGTTGAAAATCTAAAATCCAATAAACATTCACACAGAAATAAACTTACCCGGTCTGTCTACTTGTTTTCCACCATATACAAGGGTAGCACCTTCCTTCACACCAATATCACAGTATTCTACGAGTTTCTCTAAATGAGCACGGTGATTCTGTGGACCATGGTCGGTACTTCTGTCTAATGGGTCGCCAATCTTCATCTTCTTTACTTCCTTAACCTGATATAAGTAAATAGTAAGTAAGTAAGTAAGTAAGTAACGACTTTATTTTATGAGGCTAACACATTCAGTTTCCCGATCTTCCATGCGGGCCTCAGTATATACAAAACAACATAAAATACAATCACAATCAACATTTAGACAACATAAATATGTACATTATACATCATATCAATACAATAAATAAGTAAACAATTTTTTCTTCTTACATAGAGAAGTGACATTTTCATAACTTCAGCATGGAAAGTATATGTTTTTGAAACAATATGTACAAACAGTTAGTTAGAAAATTGCCACTGGATATATGAGGATTGAAATTTCCTCAGGGTATCAGAATTTCGAATATGGATTGGTATGCTGTTCCATACCACAGGACCAGAGTAATTAAATGATTTTCTAAAAAATTCTGTTTTTGGTTTGGGTACAGTTAGTTTTTCATTTTGTATAGATCTTAAGTTAAAGTCATGTTTGTCATTTATTGTTTGGAATTTATTTTTCATATAAATAGGAAAGGATGGTTCATTTATAGATTTATACACGAGGATTGCCTTTTTGTACATAATTCTTTGATCAAAGGACATCCAATTTAATTCTTTAAATAGAATATTTGATGGGGTATCAAAACTTTTGTCTAAAATAATTCTTGCAGCTCTTTTTTGAAAGTTGACAATTTGCGAAAGTAATTCACTACTGCAGTTTCCCCAAATAGTGCAACAGTAGTCAATATGTAGCAAAATATAAGCATTAAAAAAGAGTTTTCTGGAGTGGAGATCAAGGTACTGTTTGATTCTAAGAAGCAAATAGAGCTGTGAATTGCATTTTTTAATAATATTTTGAATTTGTGTTTTCCATTTAAGATTTTTGTCAACCTGGACTCCTAGCAGTTTTTCAGTGTCTGTAAATTCTATCTCTTTGTTTTGAAGGTGCAGAGTAGATGAAGCAGTATTTTTTGATTTAGTATTTTTTAAAGAGAAATTTATGGCCTTAGTTTTTTGTGCATTTAATATCATTGCATTTTGCCTACACCATGTGCTTGCTAACACTATCAAGATCTGTTTGAAGATTATAATTCATTTCCGTTAAAGTACTTCCAGTAGAAGTAAGGGAAGTGTCATCTGCAAACATATCAGTAGTTGACTGTTTAACATGAAGATGGATGTCATTTATGTATATCAAAAAAAGTAGGGGCCCAAGGACTGAGCCCTGAGGCACTCCTGAGACAACTTCAGCTGGTTCAGATAAAACACCAGACACATTGACTTTTTGTGACCTGTCTGATAGATAAGATCTTATCCAATCTATAGTATGTGAAGAGAAATTATAGAAAGGTAGTTTTTCTAGAAGAATTTGGTGGTTTACTAAATCAAAGGCTTTTGATAAGTCTAAAAAAACAGTTCCAACAAGTTTGCCATCATTCAGAGCACTGATCCAATTATCAATTATATTTGTAAGAGCTGTCTCACATGAATGATGTGCCCTGAAACCTGATTGAGCAGTGTAAAGTAAATGGTTTGTTTCTAAATAGAGCTTTAAGTGGTCTGATACATGTTTTTCAATTATTTTAGAGATAAGGGGAAGTACTGAAATTGGTCTGTAATTATTTTTGTCTCCCTTTGGTCCTTTTTTGTAAATTGGTGTTACCTTTGACTGTTTTAGCTGAGTTGGAAATTTTCCACTTTTTATGCTTAGATTTATAATACTACATAGAGGTTTACTTATGACATCAGCTGCTGTTTTTAGGAATTTTGCACCAATACCATCTAGGCCTGTTGCTTTTGTGGCGTCTAGACTATTGAGTTTCTGATTTACATAGCTTAAGTCAACAAAGGGTATTTCATATTTATTTGACTGATTTGAAATTTTGGATTTAACCGATTCTTGTAGAGCTGTTTTCAATTCATATGATAATCCTTCTGATACATTTTCAGCTTTTTCAAATACACTTGCAAAGAAAGTATTAAAGGTTTCTGCTGTTAATTTTGGATCAGTTATCGGTAAACCATTCTCATCATTTATGTAAGAATTTTGTTGAACATTTGTTTTGCCTGATAGGTTTTTCAAGTTTTTCCAAAGTTTTTTAGGATTTTTCTTATTTGAGTTTATTTCATAATGAAAGAAATCTTTTTTTGCTGTATGAATAAGTTTTTTCACTTTTAATTTCCAATATTTGAAGTTATCAACATGATTTTTCTTTTTTGCATAGTCCCTGTTATGTATTGCATTAGCTATATCCTCATTGAACCAATCAGCTTGGTTTTTATGCTTAACTCGTTTTTGTTTGTATGGAGCATGTATATTGAGAGTTTCCAAAAATAATTTATTAAAAGTGTCTAAAGCGTCATCTGGATCATTAAACATATCAATAAGGGACCATGGTTGTTTTGACAGATCATCTAGAAATTTATCAGCGTTGAAGTTCTTTAAGTACCTGTATTTGATTGTAAAATGAATTGGACCTTTTATAACATTTTTGATAGTTCGTTTTGTGAAAATTATTGGAAAGTGGTCACTAATAGAAAGTATAGGAACAGTAATGTATGATATATTTTGTGATTGATTACTATAGACATGATCAATAATAGTTGATGATGTTGATGTAACTCTTGTAGGCTGTGTTATAAGTTGTGACAGATTAAATGTATTAATAATATTATTCCATGCTGAGTTATTTGAACCTGTAGTTCCAAAATTATAGTTAAAATCTCCAAAAAGAATTATTTCTTTGTTTTCAACAAATATTTTTTCAAGAATTTCTTCAATGTTATCATTCCATGAAGTTAATGACGAAGGTGGCCTATAAATGTAACCTATCAAAAATGGTTTTTGCTTTTCAAGTTTCATTTCGAGCCATATTGATTCAGTATCTTCAGATTGTAAATCAGATCTTAGTTCACATGGCAATGAATTTTTAACAAACAAAACAAGTCCACCACCATTTGATTTTCTGTCACGTCTAAAGAGTTGATAATTGTTTAAAGATATCTCTGAGTCAGCAAAAACATCACTTAGGAAAGTTTCTTGTAGACCTAGTATGTCAATGTCTGGATATTTGTCAACTAAATTTTTGATTTCATCTATTTTAGGATACAGGTAGTGAATGTTTAAATGAAAAAAGTTAATTCCTTTTTTGTCGAATGTTACTTCACTCAAAGTTTGAAGAGGCAAATCTGTTCTTTCATCATAATCCAAAGAATTTAGATTTTCAGAAATAGGTTTAATATGTTTTGTTATCCTTTCATTTTGATTTGTAATGTTCAGTACAGTTTCATCACGGTTTTCATTTAATAAAACTGGTGTGGTCCCATCCATGTTGTCTTTGGCCAGAGATTCCATGGTCCCTGATACATTCGGAATCTTTGATGTGGATGTTGATGTCGCCGAGCATTTCCATGCCAGATGTTGGCATTCCGAAAATTTACACTTTCTCTAGAGAAATTGTTTTCTTGTTGTCCGGAATTGTTGGTATTAATCCCAAGGATTTTTCTAATGCCTGCATTTATTTGCCTTCCCAATAAAGCTGAACCTTCTTTATTCAGTTGTACTTCATCATAGTAGAGATTCTGATTTACCTTATCATATTTCATGAATGCGCTTGTATTATCTAGGAAGAGGAATCCTTTGTTCTTGCAAAGCTTTTCTAGTAGATTATTTGCTTCATCAATATTTTTTCTTGATAATAAATCTCTCCTTTTTGGCAGAATGGATGATACAGCTATTTTCACATTTTGGTTTGCTGATTGTATGGAAGTAACTAGATCAGTAAAATCTTCACATATGGACTGAGGAGAGTTTGCATTTGAGATGTTTTTTATGCCTGTGTGTAGGACGATTATATCAGCTTCTTTTGTCTGTGTTTTATTGTGAGTTATTATTTTATTTATGTCCTGAATGGTTGCTTCACTGGTTGATTTTATGCTTACATTTACTTGTGAGTTCATTTTCTTTCGTATTAGTCCCTTGGTTACGGAATCTCCCAGGATTAGTACCTCATATTTCTTTGTTGTTGGATTTGTGCGTCTTTCAGGTAAATGCATCTCTTATCATCTTTGTAAAGAGGTCACTCAGAGGTCATCTTTAAGATCATTGTTTACTACAACCTGTACTACTAGTCAAGGGTGACCTTATATGCCCCTCCCCCATCCTTTAATCCTATTTGATGAAAGATAGGCATATAAGGTCATAGTAGTACATAATAGTTCATATTGTAGCTTTCCTAATTGACTTTAAGTAAAAACCTATATGCCCCTCTAATGTCAAGATAACAATGTTAAGAAGGTCAAATTATGGCTTTCATAATACACTGAATGAGGGAGAGGGTGATCTCATACACGATGCAACTCTTAGCGATGATCACACTATTAAGGTTAGTGGATTTCTTAATTAACTGAATAAAGGTAACCCAGGAGTCCCCTCTGGTTCATAAGTTGTTTTTTTTAGATACACCAACACTGTGACGATAATTATAAAAGCAAATTTTTTCCAGATTAAATGATGGAAAAATGATCACAAAGAAATTCAATACACCTTTTTGTCATACAACACAGACTTTTTACCTTTATTATAAAAAAAAACATCTACATGAAAAACTCAATAGCTCCTGTAAATAGAAGGATTCTACGCCCCTGGCTGGATTTTAACCCACATCAATAACTGTATCTTTTGTAATCTAAACTTAAATGAAGTGCACGCAACTAAAATGAAGTGCATGCCATGGCTTATATTGCAATCAGGCAACGAGGAGCTTATTTGTATTTTCTATTCATGTAATAAAATAATAATCGAGTCCTGTCATGACAAAACCAACGTAATGCGTTTGCGACCTGCATGGATCCAGACCAGTCTGGGCATCCGCGCAGTCTGATCAGGATCCATGCTGTTCGCTTACAATACCTACTAAAAGTAGAGAAACTGATAGCGAACAGCATGGATCCTGATCAGACTGCGCGGAGGCGCAGGCTGGTCTGGATCCATGCTGGTCGCAAACGCATTACGTTGGATTTGTCGTGATGCGGCTCATATAGCACTTACCACACGTTCAAGAAACTCATCATGTATAGAATCTTCAACAAACAGCCGACCTGCAGCTATACAGTTCTCTCCCTTGTTGAAAAATACTGCTCCACAAGCCTGCAATATAGTAGAATGAATTTTACTGTTAATGAAATATCAACTTAATCTCACAATACAGTCAGGGACATCATACTATCAAAACTTGCCTCTGGTGAGCAAAAAAAATGGGGACCGGTAATGTAACCTTTTCCTATCCAACTTGGCCTTCAAATTTTGTGTATCCAAGCTTAGCCAAAATGTTATATGGCAAATTTTTTAATGAAGTGTGGAAAAGTTTCAAAAATGGTTTGCAACTGTTGGTATACAAGTGTCACAAGAAAAATGTAACAGGTAACGGGGGAAAAAAAGTGCAAAATGGTATGCCTGGAATCAAGTGATCATGTACAGTGGGGACAATTGAAAATATAGTCAATGAAGACAACATCAAACAGTTCATAGTATCTCAGAAATTTTAAGACTGTCATCTACTTAGTTTGCCGAGAAGTTTAAAAGGCAATTTGTGTAATATGTCTTGTATAAGAAGGTAGCTTTACATTTAAAGTACATCCCTTACAGAGGTGATATTTTGAAGAGGTCAGAAGATACATTTACATAAAGTCACATAACGTTATTATGAGGAGTGGGCCACATTGTGTTATCAGGTAGTCTTATAATTTAATCTAAAATAAATAAATACAAGAGCTGTCCGTAAGACAGCGCGCTCGACTTTTTTATTGCTTGCCAATAAAAAAAGTTTTTGCAGTAAAAGGCAATACAAGAATCTCTGTATTTTTAAAGTGAACAATGGCCATGAGCATTAAGATATTTAGTGAAGAATTATTTTATTATGACATAATTTATGGTAAAGTGAACAAGTGGATAGGAATGAATTTTTTTAGATTTTTTAAGTTTTTTAGTGCTTGCCTATAATACAAAACATTGACAGTTAAGGGCCATAATTCAAATAAAATCTTTGACAGAATTACCTTCTCCTGGACATGTTTGGGAATCATGATTGTAAACAAGTATTCCAACTTTCAAATTAATATCTCAAACAGTTCAGTCAAAAAGTGGACTGGTACTAAAAACTTAACCAAGATTCTAAGTCGATAAAAGGCCTTAATTTTTAAAACAAATCCTTGACAGAGTTACCTTCTCTTGCGTACAGATGGGGGTAATGATGTGAAATAGCATTAAAAGTTTCAAAGCAATATCTCAAAGGGTTAAGGCAATAAGTGGATTTTACCCATATTCAATGTATTTTCTAAGTCAAAAAGGGGCATAATTCTGTCAAAAACCTTGACAGAGTTATGTCCTCTTGTCTGTTGATGAAGGTCGTGATGGTAAACAAGTATGGTCAGTTTCAAAGCAATACCTCCAATGGTTTTGAAATAAAGTGAGGTGGTACAAAAAACTTAACCAAGCTCAATACACTTTCTAAGTCAAAAAAGGGCCATAATTCTGTCAAAAACCTTGACAGAGTTATGTACTCTTGTCTGTAGATGGAGGTTATGATGGTGAACAAGTATGGTAAGTTTCAAAGCCATACTTGTAATACTTCTGAAATAAAGTGGGGTGGTACGAAAAACTTAACCAAGGTGTGACGCCAACGCCAACGCCGACGCCGACGCCGACGCCGGGGCGAGTAGGATAGCTCCCCTTTTCATAGAAAAGTCGAGCTAAAAATGATATCTTGCCGGTTTTTTGCATGTACACTCAGCAATGGCGTATCAAATATCAGTTACAATCTTTAAGAATTTCAATGAGTATTTTGTATTTAAATACTGTTGTCCATGATTATTCGGACAGACCTCGTACAGTGCATTTTGATATTGGAGACCTTGAAACTACTGATGAAAAACTTTAACAATGTAAAGTAAGGCACTGAAATATTTCCCTGGCAACTATATTACTTTTAAATCTCATGCTGTCACGTTGAACCAGCTTTAAACCTTCAATGAACACATTCACAATGGGAAAAAAAAATTATCATCACAATCAGAAAATCTAATTATAGAGCATTATCCTATCCCACTCTGTGATACAATATTAATTAAAGATTTTATCTGATAAAATTATGGGAAAATGCAGATAATGAAACATATACCATCACCTTAATGCAGTAATGGGTTAACTCCTATTAAATTATATAAAGAGTTAACCTGTTACTGCACTTAAGTGACAATACACCAACTCAATGGGAGAATATTTCATGATGAAACGACATTTCAAAATCTTCCCCTATAATTAAATTTTCTCATGCCAAACTTTTTTAGTTTTTTCCCTTGGGAGGAAAAAAAATCATGTTCAGGAATGAAGACTTCTGAGAATAAATAATTACTCAAAATGCTAATGAATGTTTAAATGAATAATACATCGCAGGTAATCAATCACTGAGATTCCAATTTTGTTCTGAGGGTGCATTTTTTTTGCTTCAATTTGTTCTTTTTCAAACAGTGTTCCCATTCTAATGATGTTTTATTATAAAGTGGCATGCCTTCAGATGAGCCAAAGTATTTCATTTCAAGAAAATCAAACTAGAGCACAATGTACAAAGATTTTAAGAAAATTTAAAAAAAGATTCAAGATTCATTTAATAATTCACATTTTATATGCGATTAATGAATGATTTAGCAGTATTTATCACCATATTTTTAGTGTGTGACTAACAAAGTAAGGGCTGTAGTTGCATGTTTTGACCTCTTTTTTTGGTTATTTACGTGGATTGTGAGTGTTGTTTGCAACTTATAAATTACTTTATTGTTCTCTTCAAACTATTTTTTTTTTTAAATTAGCATTAATCTGGAGGCTTAGTGCTTGAGAAATTGGTATCAATTTTTAATCCATTGTTGGAAAAAAATGCATGGTTGCAGTTCAAATACGCAGGAATATAATTACGAAGGCCGATAGTCTAAGCCTTTAATTCTTGATAAAAAATTCTTCTGTCATTCTATAAGTCCATCTTCTTTGGCCCTCTTACATCATGAAACTTCAAAATACTTTTTCTTGGTTTGGTGTAACAATACACATACTGTATAAATCATATGACTATTTTCTATACAACAATATAACTCTCAATAGAAGACAACTGTACCCTCTTCTTTACACACGGAATATTTTACTCCCAGAATTCAACATCATGGAGCTTAGAGCAAGTGATTCGACCTGCAATCTTATTCATAGACAATCAATTATACAACAAAATAACCATCAGGAAAGAAAGTTTTTAATCATGACTGACCCCAAAAACCAACAGTGGCAGCATGGCTGAGTGATTAACATGTCAGACTAGTAACCAAAGGATTGCTGGCTGTTTGGGTTTAAACCCCGTCAGGGGCAAGCCGTTGTTTGAGTGAGCAAGAAACTTTACACAACATTGCTTAGTACTGGTTAGTTCCAAGAACGGTTCAGATAGTGTTTCAATAAGCTTATAGCTTCCAACATGATAAAACTAAAATAAGTATAAACTAATAACCAACAACAAAAGCAACAGGACAATTGTTGAAACAAAAATCTAACAGTACATACCATTCTCACTGCCTTATCGAGATCACAATCATGGAAGATTATCAGCGGAGATTTCCCGCCTAACTCGAGTCCTACTTTCTTCACATTTACCTTGGCACAACTATAAATATAAACAAAACATATCTCCAATGTTCATCTGGTCCTTACAGAAATAATAAGTTGACAGATTTTTCAAACAAAAGAGATAGTGATGCTTTTGGTTAGCATAAGAATTTTTTTTCACTAGACATTTTTTGCAAAGCAATGTGACAAATAAACTTAAAAACTTGCATGGCTTTGGCAGCAGAAACAGTAGTTTGGGTCATATATGGCCTATGTAAGTGACCTATGTAAGAAGAAATTAATATTTCATATTTTTTAGTCTTTTGGACCTCAGTGGAGTTCCTTTAAGCTCAAAGTAGTAAACTGATTCAACAAAGATATATTTAGTAGATGATACAAATTTGTTGAGGTCAAATTTTGAATTACTGTTGTATCTAAACATTTATTTTTTTGCTTATCATAACACACAGATTTTTTTTTCAGTTTTCAACTCTGTAATGGTTTGATTGTTTGATTGATTGGTTTTTATGTTGCACTAACACAGTATAGGTCATATGGCGACCTTCAAGTTTTACTGGAGGAGAATGACCTTGGGTGCCATTCTGTGCATTATATCAGGCACAAACGGGCACCTTGGTAGAATCACGTTCAGTAAACTAGCTGGATAGCTTCCTCACATGAAAGAATTTTAAGTCCTTGTCAAGATTCGAATCCATGTATAACTTCAGACACTGCGATGCACCTAAGAACGGGCCTGGCCATTCTTAAGCCACATGACCTTTTCATCATTGACAAATCATTTTACCTTTCCATGATTGTTTTTCCTATAGGTGTTGAACCAGTGAAGCCAAGTTTGCGTATATCAGGGTGTTCAGACATGGCCTGTCCAATAGAAGAGCCGGGTCCAGGTAAAATATTGATAACTCCTGGAGGGAAACCAGCCTTAACTGCAAGCTCAGCAAATTTTAGAGCTGTCAGTGGTGTTACCTATAGATAAAACAGAAGCAAAGTATAAGTCAATTAATAACAAGATATGTTTGTAAAACATGTATGCCCCCTATCAGCAGCCAATTAGTCATGTGATAAGGTTATTATGCATGACGTCTGACCCAGTGATCAAACAATTAATAAGGGTTATAAAGTATCTACTGGTCATGACCTTGACCTTTGACCCCTTGACCCAAAACTCAATAGGGGTCATCTGCTGGTCACGACCAATCATCATACAAAGTTTAAAGTTCCTAGGCCTAGGCGTTTTTAGTAAATTGATCAGAAACCGTTTTTACCTACAAGGTCAATGTGACCTTGACCTTTGACCCCTTGACCCCAAAATCAATAGGGGTCATCTGCTGGTCATGACCAATCACCATGCCAAGTTTGAAGTTCTTAGGCCTAAGGGTTCTCTTATTATTGATCGGAAACCGTTTTAACATACAAGGTCAATGTGACCTTGACCTTTGACCCCAAAATCAATAGGGGTCATCTGCTGGTCATGACCAATCACCATGCCAAGTTTGAAGTTTCTAGGCCGAAGCGTTCTTTAGTTATTGATCAGAAACCGTTTTTACTTACAAGGTCATTGTGACCTTGACCTTTGACCCCTTGATCCCAAAATCAATAGGAGTAATCTGCTGGTCATGACAAATCACCATACTAAGTTTGAAGTTCCTAGGCCTAAGCGTTCTTGAGTTATTGATCAGAAACCGTTTTTACTTAAAAGGTCAATGTGACCTTGACCTTTGACCCCAAAATCAATAGGGGTCATCTGCTGGTCATGACCAATCACCATGCCAAGTTTGAAGTTTCTAGGCCGAAGCATTCTTTAGTTATTGATCAGAAACCGTTTTTACTTACAAGGTCATTGTGACCTTGACCTTTGACCCCTTGATCCCAAAATCAATAGGAGTAATCTGCTGGTCATGACAAATCACCATACCAAGTTTTGAAGTTCCTAGGCCTAAGCGTTCTTGAGTTATTGATCAGAAACCGTTTTTACTTAAAAGGTCAATGTGACCTTGACCTTTGACCCCTTCACCTAAAACTCAATAGGGTCATCTGCTGGTCATGACCAATCATCACACAAAGTTTGAAGTTCCTAGGCCTAAGCGTTTTTAGTTAATTGATCGGAAACCGTTTTTACCTACAAGGTCAATGTGACCTTGACCTTTGACCCCTTGACCCCAAAATCAATAGGTCATCTGCTGGTCATGACCAATCACCATACCAAGTTTGAAGTTCCTAGGCATAAGGGTTCTTAAGTTATTGATCCGAAAGCATTTTTACCTACAAGGTCAATGTGACCTTCACCTTTGACCCCTAGACCCCAAAATCAATAGGGGTCATCTACTGGTCATGACCAATCACCATCTCAAGTTTGAAGTCCCTAGGCCTAAGGGTTCTTTCATTATTGATCGGAAACCGTTTTTACCTACAAGGTCAATGTGACCTTGACCTTTGACCCCTTAACGCCAAAATCAATAGGGGTCATCTGATTGGTTATAACCAATCACCATACCAAGTTTGAAGTTCCTAGGCCTTAAGGTTCTTTTGTTATTGATCAGAAACCGTTTTTAATTAAAAGGTCAATGTGACCTTGACCTTTGACCCCTTGACCCCAAAATCTATACGGGTCATCTACTGATCATGACCAATCACCATACCAAGTTTGAAGTTCCTAGGCCTTAAGGTTCTTTAGTTATTGATCAGAAACCGTTTTTACCTACAAGGTCAATGTGACCTTGACCTTTGACCCCTTGACCCCAAAATCAATAGGGGTCATCTACTGATCATGACCAATCACCATACCAAGTTTGAAGTTCCTAGGCCTTAAGGTTCTTTAGTTATTGATCGGAAACCGTTTTTGCTTTTAAGGTCAATATGACCTTGACCTTTGACCCCTTGACCCCAAAATCAATAGGGGTCATCTACTGGTCATGACCAATCACCATACCAAGTTTGAAGTTCCTAGGCCTTAAGGTTCTTTAGTTATTGATCGGAAACCGTTTTTGCTTTCAAGGTCAATGTGACCTTGACCTTTGACCCCTTGACTCCAAAATCAATAGGGGTCATCTACTGGTCATGACCAATCACCATCCCAAGTTTGAAGTTCCTAGGCCTTAAGGTTCTTTAGTTATTGATCGGAAACCGTTTTTGCTTTCAAGGTCAATGTGACCTTGACCTTTGACCCCTTGACCCCAAAATCAATAGGGGTCATCTACTGGTCATGACCAATCACCATACCAAGTTTGAAGTTCCTATGCCTTAAGGTTCTTTAGTTATTGATCGGAAACCGTTTTTGCTTTCAAGGTCAATGTGACCTTGACCTTTGACCCCTTGACCCCAAAATCAATAGGGGTCATCTACTGGTCATGACCAATCACCATACCAAGTTTGAAGTTCCTAGGCCTAAGGGTTCTTTAGTTATCACTCGGAAACCATTTGGTCTACGGACCGACGGACCGACGGACCGACGGACCGACAAGTGCAAAGCAATATACCCCCTTTTTTTCAAAATGGGGGCATAATAATTGCAGGAAAGGGTAACCAGCAATTACAGGATGCTGTTTACCTTGAGAGTTATCAGTGGTGTTACCTTTACAGACAATTAATAAGTGGGGGGATAACTAGTGTACAGTGACACACAGACAAACAAGAGCACCGCTAGGCGGAGCATTATATGCCCGAAAGTGATTTTTTTTTTTTTAGTAAAGATGAAGCATTTGTAAGACATGGGAGTAAAATAAAGTATTACCTCCTTCAAATAACAATCCTCCTTTGAAGTTTCAATATTGTGGTCCAAATGGAACTTTAAGTTATGCCCCAGAAACTGTTTTAAATTCTAAGTAATAGTGACCTTGACCTTTGACCTTGTGACCCGAAAATCATAAGGGGTCTTCTACCAAATATGGACAATCATACTATGAAGTTTAAACACAGTAGGCCAAATGATACTTTAGTTATGTTCCGAAAACTGTTTTCAGTTTTAAGGTAATAGTGACCTTGACCTTGTGACCCCAAAATCAATAGGGGTCTTCTACCCAATATGGACACTCATCCTATGAAGTTTGAATATTGTGGGCTAAATGAAACTTAAGTTATGCTCAAGAAACTGTTTTCAATTTCTAAGTAATAGTGACCTTGACCTTTGACCTTGTGACCCCAAAATCAATAGGGGTCTTCTACCCAATATGGACAATCATCGTATGAAGTTTGAACACTGTGGGCCAAATAGAACTTAAGTTATGCTCCGGAAACTGTTTTCAGTTCTAAGGTAATAGTGACCTTGACCTTTGACCTTGTGACCCCAAAATCAATAGGGGTCTTCTACCCAATATGGACAATCATCCTATGAGGTTTGAACACTGTAGGCCAAATGGAACTTAAGTTATGCTCTGGAAACTGTTTTCAGTTTTAAGGTCATAATGACCTTGACCTTTGACCTTATGACCCCAAAATCAATAGGGGTCTTCTACCCAATATGGACAATCATCCTATGAAGTTTGAATATTGTGGGCCAAATGAAACTTAAGTTATGCTCCGGAAACCAAATTGCTAACGGACGGACGGACGGACGTACCAACTTTTGACATTTATGAGGCAAATCAGCTCATAAACACCACCTGGACCAACGTCCATAAGCAAAATTAGCTCATAAAAACAAAAAAATAGCTCTTAATTTGAATTTTATGAGTTTTTGTTCTTTATTTAACTACGGAATGAAGCTCATAAATATCAAATGTTTGCTCGTCCGGTAAGACGGACGGACATACGGACGGACGCCAGGGGGTATAACATAATATGTCCGAAATTCTTTCGGGCATATAAAAATGGTCAACAAAATTGGTCAATAAATGCTTTTCCTTTCATTTTTAGAAACAAAGACTGGTTAAGTAAGAAATTATTAATGATTATAATTATACCTGCAAAAAATACTCAAAAGAGGGTGCTGCAGTATAGATAGATAGATAAATTTAGCCACAAAATTAAGAAACAACCAGAAAGTCAGTACCTGAGCTGGTTTAAGCACAACAGTATTTCCTGCAGCCAGACATGCAGCCATTTTCCATGCCAACATCATAAGAGGGTAGTTCCATGGTACAACAATGGCACAAACACTGTAACAAAAATAATGTCACATAAATTATCTTTAATAATACAACGAATATCACATAATGATCAATGACACTTTATCTCGAACATTGAGGTTAATGGTCATTATTAATACATTTTGTCTCTTAACCTTGACTAAGAAAGTAAGCTGAATAAGTAGTGTGTCACTTGCTGAGAAATTGGTAATAACTGGTTAATCATTACACTCAGGTAAATTATTCAGGAAAGTTGGTTAGGTGGATGGACCGTCATCTGGTCATGATGTGACCAAACAAACAAGAGGGCCATGATGGCCCTGAGGTCGCTCACCTGTATATAGCCACCCCCCCCCCCACCGGGGCCAATTTTTACCCAAGGGCTTTTATTTGTTTATTTGAACACACTTGGTAGACACCCATAAGAAGATGTTTCATGCTAAACATCTAAGTTCTAGCTCATTGGGTTTTTTATAAGAAGATTTTTTAAAGTTTTTACTATACACATAAAATTATAGTTAAAAACAATGACACCCCTGGGGCAGGGCCAGTTTTGACCCCCGAGCTTTTATTTGAACAAACTTTGTAGATATTTACTTAAAGATGTTTCATGCTTAATATCTAAACTCTAGCTATTTGGGTTTTTGCTATTCACATATAAGGAAAATCAATGACCCCCGGGGCGGGGCCAGTTTTGACCCCAGGGCTTTTATTTGAACATACTTGGTAGACACCCATTAGAACATGTTTCATGCTAAATATCTTAGCTCTAGCTCTTTGGGTTCTTTAAAAGAAGATTTTTTAAGTTTTTACTATATGCATATAGGGAAAATCAATGACCACAGGGGCGGGGCCAATTTTGACCCCAGGGCTTTTATTTGAACAAACTTAGTAGACACTCACTAGAAGATGTTTCATGCCAAATATCTTAGCTCTAGCTCTTTGGGTTCTTTAAAAGAAGATTTTTTAAGTTTTTACTATATGCATATAGGGAAAATCTATGACCCCCTGGGGCAGGGCCAATTTTGACCTCAGGGCTTTTATTTGAACAAACTTGGTAGACACTCATTAGAAGATGTTTCATGCTAAATATCTTAGCTCTAGCTCTTTTGGTTCTTTAAAAGAAGATTTTTTAAGTTTTTACTAAATGCATATAGGGAAAATCAATGACCCCCTGGGGCGTGGCCAATTTTGACCCCAGGGCTTTTATTTGAACAACTTTGGTAGACATTCACTTGAAGATGTTTCATGCCAAATATCTTAGCTCTAGCTCTTCAGTTCTTTAAAAGAAGATTTTTTAAGTTTTTACTATATGCATATAGAGAAAATCAATGACCCCCTGGGGCGGGGCCAATTTTGACCCCAGGGCTTTTATTTGAACAAACTTGGTAGACACTCATTAGAAGATGTTTCATGCCAAATATCTAAGCTCTAGCTCTTAGGGTTGTTTAAAAGAAGATATTAAAAGATTTTTCTTTCGGTTGCCATGGCAACCAGAGTTCTGCATGGAATTTAATTCTTTGAACAATTTTTAAAGGTGACCACCAAAGGAACATTCCTGTGAAGTTTGGATGAAATTGGCTCAGTGGTTTATGAGATGTCATTTAAAGCAAAAGTTTACGGACGGACGGACGGACGGACGGACGGACGCCGGATGAAAAGCAATCACAAAAGCTCACTAAAAACAACAAAACAAATAAGGTGAAATAGAATAACTAATCAAACTTTACATAACTATTATTATGACAGAAATTTTAAGTAAAAAAAAGTTGAAATTTTTTCTTCTTCAAGTATATTACCACTGAAATCAAACTTTTTGCTGTGGGCAGGACAGGTGGGTGATGGGAGTTAAAAATGACTTTTTCATTCATATCAAAGCTCTAACACGATGTAACTTACCCAATTGGCTCTCTCTTAGTGTATGTAAGATTTCTGCTGGGTGTGGCATGGTTAATTGGAATGGTTTTACCCTGTAATATAGAAAAGCACAAAAGTTATACAAATCCTGAAACAAAATTTATAGTTTTACATTTTGCTGAGGTCTAGTATATTTGCAAACACATTAAGTTATTTCTGCACTTTTTCTGAACAATACCTGGGATAAATTAAATCAAGAGACTGTAGTCTTCAGGTTTTCTGGTGATAATCTTTGAATATTAAGGCTAGCAATGGTGTGTCAATCTTATGAACAGAAACCATGTAGGTTAAGTATTAATATGCTTGTGGAGGAAGATTTCAGATGCCCCTCCTTACATTATTTCAGACATGAGCAGTCACCCTTATAGAACCAACGACCTTCATCAAGCTATAAAGATAGTTTCCTCATGCTAAAAGATTTGAACCTACAGCAGTCAGGGCCAACTGGGTTGAATACAGCCACCTTAACCAATTATACTAAACAGTACCTGTATTTTGTCACACCATCCAGCGAAGTATCTGAAAGTATCTATTGACATTCCCACGTGTGTTTTCAGAGCTAGAGTGTACACTGCACCAGAATCTATACTCTCAATAGTAGCTAGTTCCTCTTTATGTTCCTCCATCAAATCAGCAAGTCTAGAAGAAAAGATAGTGTTACATGTATATCAGATCTTATACGAGTGGTAATTTTATATAAACTTTTATAATACTGCACATTTGTAATGTTGCTTTTCATTGGATAATCATGTTTAAAAAGTTTTATATACACTGTTGCAAAATCTTACTTTTTTCTCTAAAAAAAGATGCATGCTGTATTATAAATCAGGTTATGAATATTTCATGACAGGTTATATGGCCCTATATAAACAGTTGTTAGCAATATAACCTCGAGCCACTTCAAAACAACTGTTTATATAGAGTCATATAACCTTTCAAAAAAATCTTCATAACTTATAATAAAATTATATCAAATGAATCAAATGAGTCTGGTAAATTCCTATCAAATTAGCCTTGTATTCATTATAAAGACATCTGGAAAAGGAATCAGAGAGAAAATCTATTATAGGGTAACATTATTACACTATTTTATTTCTGGGTTTAACATCACACCAAGGTAATAAGGTGATATTCCAGCTTTACAGGCGGAGGAAAATCTCAGGTGCCCCCTCCATGCATTATTTCAGGCACGATCGAGAATCTGAATATAAACCACCAATATTCCGTAAGCTGGCTGAAAAGCTTTTTCACAGGAAAAATTCATCACAAAGTCCCTGGCAGCATTCAAACCCACCTCACTCAGGGGCAAGTATTTTTACCCTATTTTACAACTGTGTGGAAAAATATTATAAACAAACCTGTACATAAGTTTGCCCCTATCTCTAGCATTCATTTTACCCCATGGTCCTTCCTCAAATGCACTTTTAGCTGCCTCAACTGCTCTGTTCACATCTTCTGGAGTCCCTTTAGCTACCTCACATATAACCTACATTATAATATGATACATGCTTTATGAAAGACATATATTACTTGATACATATAATTTATACTGGGTTTTCATTATTAACAAATTGGTGATTGGCGATCCATATCATCACTTAAAAAATGCTCTAAAAAAATGGTTTTATTTTCAGCCTGTGTATCAAAATATCCCATTTGACCCTTTGCCAAATCGCTTGTTTTTGTTAACACGTTTGTTGCCTCACATTAAAATGAAAACCCTGTACAAACTTTACAAATGACCAATATTACTAGTGTAATATTAACTTGTTACTATGCAAATTATTTTAGACTTAATTACAACCTTAAAAATACTTTTCAATATAAGTTTTAACCATGTAACTTGTTATTTTTACCAAGTTATTTGATATGTTGAATTCAGTATAATTTTACAGGAGACAATTAAAGTATAATATAATATGACAATAAATGTGAGATTCCTTTTATCACATGACTGAAATTTAAATTCATGAACATAAACTTTATTTCAAATGAAGTTTTTACATGCTACATTCATTTTTTTGTATGATGTCATACACACATTGTGTGTAAAGAAAGTCCAAATGCATAATGGTTATACTACTAGAATAACAAGCCCTGTCATGTAACCATACCTTATGTCATATAAATCATACCTCTTGTCATGTTAACCATACCTCTTGTCATGTTAACCATAACTTTTGTCATGTTAACATTTTGTTATGTTAACCATATCTTTTGCCATGTTAACCATACAATTTGTCATGTTAACCATAAAATTTGTCATGTTAACCATAAAATGTGTCATGTTAAACATATCCCTGGACAACCAATATTCAATCAGTTAAGCTGTTTTTAGCCAATAATAAATGGAAGCGGAAATTATACTTTAAATTTATTTTAGCTATTAATGCATCTATTAACACTTATTCATTTTCAGGTTGGTACATTTTCAACAAGTCTTGATCTTTCTTAGAAATTCAATAAAAACAATAGGACCCACTCGGGTTACTCCCAGGAATATTTTAACCTAAATTCAAACACCAGGGTAATCACCATGGAATATTTGTTAAGGATAAATCAGGGCCACTAAAAATTGTAGAAAACTTCATATATAGTCTATTCAACGATTTTCAACAGTTTTTTCAAGATTTTAAAAAACTTACACTAAATGTTATAACATATGTGCAGCACAATGCATTGGTATGACTACAGTACTGTTAATGCGCATAAAAGGCAGTTAAAGGTGTCACATCTTAGTACGCTATTTGGGGTGCAAAATGATTAATGCATCCAATCTTTACAGCCATTTTACCTTCCCCACTTTATAATATTAGCAAATATGGAAACTTGTCTAGATCTACCAGCTGGTATCGCTTACAAAACAATTATTCTACAATCATCACATGAAAAAATTTGATAACAATATAAGATTTTATTAATAAGGACCCCCGTGTAAAGTCTGATGAATATTCAGTGGTACATCATATTAATAAATGTTTTAAATACACCTAGGACTGAGGTAAATGGTAAAACTCTTTAGCCAATACTTTATAAGAAAATTAACTTGCTTAGAAAATTTTTTAACACTATTTTAAACAAGTGACTATTTTGATATAGTGAAAGATGGACAATTTATATTGTGTCACTTAAAACAAACAGTTTCTTATTGTTTTTCTGAAAACATCTGACAATTAATCAAGTGTGGCATTTCTGCAAGTTTTGAAGTTAATACAAAATGTGACTTTATGCAATTTAGTCAGGCATGACATCAGTGCCACAGAATTAAGAATGTGTTTGAATTTAGGTTGTGATTGAAAATTGGTTGTTTCGGGATACATTTTGTCATGTTAACCATATATGTTGTCATGTTAAACATACATTTTGTCATGTTAAACATACATTTTGTCATGTTAAACATACATTTTGTCATGTTAACCATACCTTTTATCATGGTAACCATAACTTTTTCTATGTTAACCATTTCTTTTTCTATGTTAACCATACCTTTTACATTTACCATACCTTTTGCCATGTAAACCATACCTTTTGTAATGTTAATCATACCTTTTGCTATGTTAAATTTGTCACTTTTTTGGTCTTCATAATTTGTACCTAGGTCCTTTCATTTTCATTTCATAAATTTGGAGTTACTTTGTACATGTACATCAATTATATAGGCTTCATAACTGTCCAATGAAAATCAATGTTACATGTGGTGTTATAAAATAATCTCAACTCTTACCTCTTCATTAGCAGGGTTGATTGTCTTAAATGTGACACCATTGGATGAATCAATAAATTCATTATCTATAAATAGCTGATATGGCATAACGAGATCCATGTTGTTTTTGTTAATATTCACCTGAAATAAAAGCAACAATAATATAACAAGTTATGAGGTTGTTGTACCAAAAATTACAATAATATCAGAACAAATCGATTTGATTCAATCGGGTCATTGATTTTCCTTATATGTGTATAGTGTGTTCAAATAAAAGCCCTGGGGTTAAAATTGGCCCCGCCCTGGGGGTCATTGATTTTCCTTATATGTGTATGGCAAAAACTTAAAAATCTTCTTTGAAAAAACCAAAATGAACAAACTTGGTAGACACTTATTAGAACATGTTTCATGCTAAATATCTTAGCTCTAGCTCTATGGGTTCTTTAAAAGAAGATTTTTAAGTTTTTACTATATGCATATAGGGAAAATCAATGACCCCCGGGGCGGGGCCAATTTTGACCCAAGGGCTTTTATTTGAACAAACTTTGTAGACACCCATTAGAACATGTTTCATGCTAAATATCTTAGCTCTATCTCTTTGGGTTCTTTAAAAGAAGATTTTTTAAGTTTTTACTATATGCATATAGAGCAATTCAATGACCCCCTGGGGCGGGGCCAATTTTGACCCCAAGGCTTTTATTTGAACAAACTTGGTAGACACTTATTAGAAGATGTTTCATGCTAAATTTCTTAGCTCTAGCTCCATGGGTTTTATAGAAGAAGATTTTTTAAGTTTTTACTATATGCATATAGGGAAAATCAATGACCCCCTGGGGCGGGGCTAATTTTGACCCCAGGGCTTTTATTTGAACAAACTTGGTAGACACTTACTAGAGGATGTTTCATGCCAAATATCTAAGCTCTAGCTCTTTGGGTTTTTTAAAAGAAGATATTTAAAGTTTTTTCTTTCGGTTGCCATGGCAACCAGAGTTCTGCATGGAATTAAATTCTTTGAACAATTTTTAAAGGTGACCACCAAAGGAACATTCCTGTGAAGTTTGGATGAAATTGGCTTAGTGGTTTATGAGGAGATGTCATTTAAAGTAAAAGTTTACGGACGGAAGGACGACGGACGGACGCAAAGCGATCACAAAAGCTCATCCTGTCACTTTGTGACAGGTGAGCTAAAAAGATATATATTCTGTATTGTTTACTAATTATTTGTTTTGGAGCCAAAATTTAAAGCGATTACTTGAATTACAGAAAATTACCATGAATATCAATTAATGTCTTGTATTGTGTTTTTCTATCTGTTCGTCTTTTTGAAAATGCTTTATTCTGAGGAAAGACAAAAAATTTCTGTTTTAAAAATTAACGACATTACTTACCGAATCAAAGACAAAAGGCTCCTTATCTTCAATGCCACGCCCCCTCTTGATAACACATGTACAGAAATCTTCAAACACAGTGTTCATGTACACATCATCATTTTCTAGACTGATACCATTGCATTTCTCCTTCACTTCCTCAACCAGTCTACAATTATTATAATACATGTATATATATACATTTATTAAAATGATATGCCCATCAAAGTGTAAATGGTGCGTGCATGGGTAAAAAAAAAAAAAAGCTTCACATTTTGCCATAATTGCATCAACCACCATTATATTAGTCAATCTCTTGTAATATACCACTAATTCAACTCAACAGCAACAAAATGAGCATAATGTAATACATTTTAAACTTTCAATATTATTTTATTTAATTTGATTTTTCATACATTTATTTTACAAGAGACATAGATAACAGTGATAGACAACTTCCTAGCCATTTAAGATAATACACGTGCCTGCTAAACTTAAAACTTGCTACAAAAAGGCTAATTTTTCACTTTTTGATAGACATGTGTGGTATTGCAATGGAGTATATAGAAGCTGCTTTTCTCTTTTATCTATATTTCTGATACTACTTATCTGGAGGTGTGACTAACCTTACACTGGCTGCCGGTACAGACTGGAATATCTAGCTCGAGGGTAACTGTTTAAGGTGGTAACAAGGCTCTGCACAGTTTCGGCTAAACAGTTACCTGAGAGCTTGATATTCCCGTCTGTTATGGAAACCGATGTCTGATTTTTTTTCCTGCATATAGGAAATTAATGATATTTCAAAAAGATATTATGAAAACTTATATTTTTATTTAATACCTTTTTTCTTATAGTAGCATACAGATTTACAAATCATTCATAAAGGCAAAATAATGTCTTTCTAAGAACACAAATCATTCATTAATGGCACAGGGGAATGACTTCATATAAAGCACAAGACTTGTCTTACATGGGGTGTGAGACAGGTTTTTCTAGCACCGGTGTAAAAGGTCGACAATCCTGTCTGATGTGCAAGAATTTCATGTCTGTATTTACCTCACAACATCCATGGAACCGGCCCCGGACTTGAAGAAATCTGTACTGATATCTATATCAATGTTGAGAATACCGTTCCACACAGCCTTCAAGTTGTCCAACATTTTATTCTCCTCTGGAGTGAGTTCCATCTTACTTTCACCAGCATCCATTTTCCCGTACTTATTGGCGTTGATCATTTTACCGCTAGCTAGTTGTACCTGGCTTACGTTTACCTATAAAACACAACATACTTCTTTTTGTTAACCATTGAAAAATGACTGTATTATTATATGAATTATGTTTGTTTGTTTGTTTGATTGGGTTTTACGTCACACCGACACAGTATAGGTCATATGGCGAAGTTACTGGTGGAGGAAGACCTCCGGGGCCCTTCTGTGCATTATTTCAGGCACGAATGGGCACCTGAGTAGAACAACCAACGTTCCCTCAGCTAGCTGGATAGCTCCCCCACATGAAAAAATCCAAAGTCCCTGTCAGGATTCGAACCCACAGCAGTGAGGGGCAAGTGGTTTGAAGTCAATGAACTTAAACACTCATATGTATTATGTAACATGTGTATTATTAATAAACTTCTTTTTTTGCTCACTATTGAAAAATAAAAACTCATCTGCAAAACTCTTTTTTATAAATTGTTAGATGAATGTACAAATATTCCGAATCAACAAAAACAGTTAATTTCTTTTAATTTCCAAATTAAGTCTTGTAATTTCAAAAACATTTTAGTTTTTTAATATGCCCTCTTCTTTTTCCTTCTCCTTTAAAAGATATACTATGCTCAAATCCGGTATTAGAAAATATTGATAATTGCTACACAGTCTCTTTGTAAATATAAAACAAGTATGTTTTGACTTCACACAAAGTGATATGTTTAAAGTTCTACACACAATAGGTGGTCACAACATGCACATATAGTGGCAATTTTTCTTTTTAACAATTTTACTTGACCTATAATAGGGAATGCAGCTTCCCATACATAGTTTATTCATTCTTTTATTCAAATTAGACATATTCAGTAAGAATTTCATAGATTTCAATTAATTTCCATGATTACAATATTTCACTCAAGGATGAGCATAGTATATCTTTAAATGCAATTGTTTTGTTTTGATTTTTGTTTGTTTTTTTATTCGATATTTTTAAATGTAAAATGTTTCTTTAAAATGAATAATTATAATATAGTACCATTTTTCCATCATTTCCAAAAAGGATCATTCCATTTTTATGGACTATACCAGGTTTTGTGGCTCCCTCAATCTGTACTGCTGTCCCTCGAGGCTCCATTCTATTCCATAATTTAGAGGCATAAAATGTGACTTGCTGAAACGAGATAATATTATCAATGTAAGTAGAGCTTTTTATATTCATCCCAGAACTCATGGAAAACAAGTTTGTTTTTGTTTGTTTTTCTGGTTATTAAGCCATTTTAACACATGTTTTGGTCACATAAGGCTGGTGATCTGACAACCTAACAAGCTTTCCTGAATAAGTTGTTTTTGTTTGGTTATTAACTCATTTTAAACTTGAAGTATATTGCTGAATGCAATTTATTCCCACTAAGTTGTGAAGCTAAACCTATTGAAAATGGCTGTAACTTTTTATATATTTAAATTTCAATTAATTACCTGCACTGCTTTCAGTGATAGGTAAATTTCAGGAAATGTTCTAAGTAAAGGAAGGGACGTGTAAATTTCAAGAAAGGTTCTAAGTAAAGGAAGGGACGTGTAAATTTCAGGAAATGTTCTAAGTAAAGAAAGGGACGTGTAAATTTCAGGAAATGTTCTAAGTAAAGAAAGGGACGTGTAAATTTCAGGAAATGTTCTAAGTAAAGAAAGGGACGTGTAAATTTCAGGAAATGTTCTAAGTAAAGAAAGGGACGTGTAAATTTTAGGAAATGTTCTAAGTAAAGAAAGGGACGTGTAAATTTCAGGAAATGTTCTAAGTAAAGAAAGGGACATAACTTGTATTAAATTGCAATCAATCTCTACCCAGGCTGATTACCCTTTCACATAAATTTTGTACAGTTATACATATAGTGATTAAGTATTTTGTATTGAAGTAAAATACCTCTTTGTTTACATACTGCCACTTTAATCAGAAATTGTTTCACATGCAGTGCTATTTTTCTTCACGTGTTATGGATCTCATACATTCTAAATCTATTATTACATGCTTTATAGTGGAAAATGAAATTATATTTGATAATTTTCACAGTGAAATTATATTTGATAATTTTCACAGTGAAATTATATTTGATCATTTGCACTGTAGTGGAACTATATTTGAATGCGGATGAAAATAATATTTCATAACTAAATGGAATTATCAACAAGAATAAATTCTGTCTTATGTAAATTTTGCTTCTTTAGGAGAAGCAAGTAAATAACTGCATACATTGTGTTACAAAAGTAACAAAATTTGAGAAATTTTACAATTTTTTTTTTTTTAATTGGGAAATTTTTTGTTGGAAGTGCAAGCACGTGTTTTATATAGAGGATATTTGTTTGTGTTGCATGTAAGATTAAAATATATATCACTTGTGAACACCAGCTATTATACTTTCACCAGTTGCATCTGGTGTCCACTAAGTGAAATATATTCCGATCTTACATTCAAAACAAACAAATATCCTCTATATAAAACACATGTTTGTACTTTCAACAAAAAGAAAATTTTTAAAAAATCACTGTTTTTTTTATATACCTCTCCATTAATCATTCCCCAAGCACCTGGTACTTTGTCACATCCTCTGATAAAGTTGTGTATTTGTTCTGCAGACATATCCCAGTTAATCTAGTAAATATATAAAATAATGAAAAAAGATATATACAATATATACATGTACAACAATGAAAAAGAATGTATACAAAGTGACTTCTCCAAATATATATGAGCTGCGTCATGACAAAACCAACATAATGGGTTTGCGACCAGCATGCATCCAGACCAGCCTGCGCATCCGAGCAGTCTGATCAGGATCAATGCTGTTCTCTATCAGTTTCTCTACTTGTAATAGAGTTGGTAAGCGAACAGCATGGATCCTGATCAGACTGCGTGGATGCGCAGGCTGGTCTGGATCTATGCTGGTCGCAAATGCACTATGTTGGTTTTGTCATGACGCAGCTCAATTATCATTCTACAGTTCATTTTTGTGAGTCTCTTTTTTTAATTAAGTTTTCAGTCAAATAAGTATCAACCATGAATGAAATGCCAAATTTAAATTGCTGATATCTTGAAATACCACAATGTACATATACTGTCTTGATATCCCATCCAGTAACAATATAGAAACAAAATACTGACTTTGCTTGTCTGTTTCTTTGATTGGTTCTAAGTCAATTGAACACTGTAAAAAGGTTACAAGTGAACTTTCCAGTAGTACTGATGTTAGAAAAAATGATTTCCAGCATGAGCACACACCTGAGTAGAACCAGCATCAAACATTAAATCAGCTGGATAGCTTGCTCACATGAATTAAAATCCAAAATCCCTAACAGAATTCAACTCAATGAATCTGACAAAGTGACACTTCTTCATTTCATTAACATCAACCATTTCCATAATGTATTACTGTAAAATCATTATTATTCGTGGGGCACGAATTTTCGTGGCTTTCGTGGGTAGGTCAATCCACGAATTTAAGATCCGACGAAATTTTATCCCAACAAATACTTCTTACCCTGTCTCTGTTCTATATATTACAAACATGTATCGGCTCTTTTCCTGCCGATTTTTGTGAAATGGATGTATATACATACAGTACTGGTAATCAGGTTAGTAACAGATTAAATCTGTTTGCAATGTTTAAGAAACTTTGAAACCTCGATTATATGTCCTCAATTTACTGTCACAAATGTCCGTCGCATATACACACCTGATCGTTGTTACGAGTAAATATGGGAACCCAGGCAATCCAATAATTAGCGCTTATAAAAAATGTCAGTTTGCTCTTAATAATTAAAGAAAAGTCTTTGAAATTAATGTATGTACACAAAACTATAAAAAAATACAATTGCTAAAACAGATGAATTGTACATTCGTTTGTCGTTTTTAAATGATCCAGTTTAAATGAATTTTAATCTGTATTTGTGCGAATGCTATTACGTAAACATCAAAGTCTCCACCAACTTTTTCTAGATCCACACATACTTGTGTTATTTACTTAGATTAATTTATATGCATGTAAATTTACACAGTCGCTGTGACGTTGCGTGTAGTTACTGTCAAATATGGTAAGACCAATTTAGTGTGTAAACTGGTTAAAACGTGTAAGGTGTCGTATAAATTATGCGATGTTTACATCGGCGAATTACAGGGGCAGTGTGTCTAATGGAGGTGCATATTTATAAATGTGTTAATTGCAGCCAGATATCGGCAGTAACTGTGCTATATTAGAGTTATGCCCAGAGGCAAGGATTAAACTTATTGACAAGCGTTGTGTGACACGTAAAGATATGTACATGCTGTAGGCGATTAAGTTAAAGATTACTTTGCATAAGGTTACTAAATTTTTTTAAAAGAAAATAAAAATCCACGAATATAAGAACCCACGAAATGCCAGTTTTGATAAAACCACGAAATTTCATACCCACGAATATAAGTGAATTCGCAGTATTTGAAAATCTCACTTGAGACAATGAAGTATTCCCTATTATGATTGATTTATAATTTTCTTAAGTAACAATAGGAAGGGTAAGAATTAAGTATATTGGTAATGCATGAAAAATATAGGAAACACCCTCAAAGACTTACTTTCACATTACTCTTCTTCAACATAGCATCGTATGTGGCGCCCTTTTCTGACTGTACCAACTTTGGAGCCATGCCTGTATCTATCAATCTAACTGCCTCACCCTGTAATATATAACATTATTTAATGAAAATCACAGACCTCAAATATATACTTTTTGGTTAATCTTAACATTGAGCCAACACTGTTAAGATCATCAGGTGACTCCAGCTTTACTGGTGGAGGAGACCTCAGGTAAATCATAAATCATTATGATGATTTCCCAGTCAATCTCTAACACTGAACGGACCTTACTGTTCCATTTTGGTCTGTTAAATGTTTACGTGCTGACTGATCAGTCACTATAATCCTATAAGGCTCTAAATGATGAGCACTATTTCCTAAAAAATAACTTACCATAGCTTTCACGCCTTCCGGGAAGAGAAACCTATTATAGATGGTGTCTACTGTATCATTAGGATCAACAAATGTCTTCTTCTGTAATAGAATAGGTCCGGTATCTAGTCCATCGTCGGCCCAGAATACAGAAAAACCTCCGACCTTGTCACCTTGCATCAAAGTCCTGAAATCAATTGTGAATATATCTATCAGATAAATCGCAGTGCAGTAGTGTAATAAAGCCATTCAATAACAATGATATAGCACTAGTGTAATAACTTTTTGACATGACTTCATCAAATATTCGATCTGAAAATAAGGTCATTTAACCTTTAGCCTACTGGCCGCAACAGACTTTAATTAGCCATGCGAGAAGAGTATGCCAAGATCAGCTGCCACATCACTGCAGTAGGATGATGGTCTGCACTATTTTCTATTCAGTTAATATATTTTAAAAAATTTCTCCATAACTAATGATGAATGGTTTTGTCCATATTCAAAGACGGACAAGTCTACTCAAAAAGAGACACAACTGAGGTTTTTTGACAGGACTTGAAATAAATCTTTTAGATTAATGTCCTATTTGATGTAGATCTAGACTCATAAGGTGTGTACAAAATTTCAGATCATTCTGATCACTCCATTTTTCCAGAATAATTATAGAAATTCTGAAAAGTCACTAAAATTCAAAAGCATTACAACCCTTTTTCACTAAAATCTGGCTATGAATAGCACAAAAATGTTATTGACAATTTATTTTTCATTATTATCTTTCTGTTTGTTCAAGTGCCCAAGGTGATCTATGTAAGAAATTCAAATTTGATATTTTTAGGCTTTTGGACCTCAGTGGAGTTCCTCTAATACATTTATAACATTTTAGAAAATTTCCCTAAAACCATTTAATGGTTTTGTCCATATTGAATAATGGACTAATCCATTTACAATACTAAGTGAGATAAAGATTTTTTATATGCTGTATTAAACATTACCAGTTAATAGCTGAAGCTCCTCTATGCAACGGCAACAACGACGGATGGTATATAATAGACTCGTGTTCCGGGTGCGTTATCACTTCCATCGGTATAAACTGAGAACAAAACGGCAGCACGTTCAGCTCGGCTCCCAGGGACTTGTACTCCTCCACGACCTCTGGTATCGCAACTTTCTTTAACTGCCATCTTTTGTATTTGAACACGGGTATGCCGTCATTCTCGGCAGCAACAGCTGAAAAATAAAACAACATTATAATAATGTTAAATAATAAACACTAGTGTTAATAAAAGAACTTCCTAATATTAAGTGAAATCATAACCTAAAGCTATAAAAAAAACTAGAAATGTGTTCATTGGACACGGGTGCCCCCACACTCCACTGTTTTGGCAAACTCATGACTTATGACCACAAATTAGCACGCAACTTGTCTACAAAGGATGTAAGCAACTGTGAACCACATTAACTGTACCTCTCCCCACCCCAAAACAGATAGAAAACACTGAATTTACATATCTAAATATAGAAATATATTTGACAGTAAAGAGATATTATATAATATATGTATATACCTAACGGGTCCGGCTTTCCGTTGACATCAGGTACCGTAAAAACACCAACAATCTTATGGCCATCTTTCTGTAACAGCCTGTACACGTCTGCTCCAAACAAACTCTGACCTATCACCGCAATCTTCATCCTACTCAAAGACTGAAATAGACAAACACTGTCATTTAATCAAAAACGTCATAACTATTGAAAAATCATTATTATTCAAACTGGGCACTTATTTTCGTGGTTTTTGTGGATAGGTCAATCCACGAATTCAAGAAGCAACAAAATTTAATTTTGTCTCCTTTACAGTCACTTAATCAAACGGGAGCAGTGACCTGGTGATTAAAGCGTCTGCCTCTCAACCTAGGAATCATGGGTTCATGCCCTTATCAGATCATGACCTTACTCGAAGACTGAAAAAGAAAAATACTGTCAATTAATCAAATGGGAGCAATGGCCTGATGGTTAAGGTGTCTGCCTCTCAACCCAGGGATCATGGGTTCATGCCCTAATCAGGTCATGTCCATGTTTCTTCATGATTCCAGTACTGGTTAGTTCCAGACAGTGATTCAAAAGTGATTAATGTAAGTTGCAAGAACTTGTTTCGCAATCCAGCTTAAATAAATATGTTTTTAAAAAATTAAAAATCAAAGATGTCATAATTACTGCAAAATCATTATTATTCCTGGGGCACTTATTTTCGTGGTTTTACTGTGCTCCTCTTAGTTCACGGTACTTAACACTTTAAAACAGTAAAGAACACAAACAATAAACTTACACAACAAAAACTGTTATAAACTGTATCATTTAGTCATTTTTCTGCTATATGACACAAGGAAACAACAATATATTCACTCAAAATTAGTTTTAATTTATCAGATGTAAACCGTGTGTCGGCCATTTTGAAAACAGTATGTCATCATTTACCTCGCGGTAATGGTGATTTATTTCAGTTTTTTTCATGTCTCAGTTAAAATTTCTTTAAGTTATTTTGCATAATTTTAAATATTAAAAGTATCTTTACATTGTAACTCAAAATTCATTTTTTCAACAAACAAGAACATTTAGAAAATGATGATTGTTTCAGACATATGCACAAATTTAATCGACTTTTGTTGTTATTTGCAGAAGTTTGTAAAATGTTGTTCAGTTTTACGTAAAAATCTATAGATTTAGATTATTTTGCACAAAAACTTTGTTGTTAAGGTGTTTGAATAAAATATGTCAATTCTGACCAATTTTAACAATGGTCACATGAAAATATGCCATTACCGTGAGATAAGTGATGACGCGGAATTAGTGATGTTGAGTATACAAATAAAAGTAGACGGTCCATGAATTTACAAACCCACGAAAATGTTCTTTATAACAAAACCACGGAATTTCATGCCCATGAAATTAAGTTAATTCACAGTATACAACCATACATGCCAAATTTGAAATCTTAATTATTCTTTAAACAACAGCTGTAGTAGGACTTGTGCACCCTTGACTAAAACATGCCCTCTGGATAAAGAAAGAATTAACAAAAATTGGAGATTTCATTAAAAAAAAAAATATAACATTGTTCAAGCGATTAAAAATTGACCAAAGAAGCACGTAAGAAACATAATAAATTATCTCATTCATAATTCATGCCTATAATTATGTAATACACTGAATAACTTTTTGGTTTACAATTTACAATGATTAATTACATCAGGGTTTTTATTATCAACAGACTGGTGCTCCTATCATCAGTTAAAATGCTTTTAAAATAGGTTGTATTTTCAGCCTGTATATTGAAATAGAACTCTTGACCCTTGGCAAAATTGGTTGTTCTCTTTGACGCATCAGTTGCCTTAGCCCAACAAATTGTGCGCTTTAGGGCTTTTTATTCGCCCTTTGCAAATACAGACATCTATGAAAAATCAGATTATAAAATTGGTTTGTCTTGCAGTCGAAATATTGAGACTACTGTTGCCTCAGAATGGGCCTCAGATCAAAATGAAAACCCTGAACATGTGAAAACCAAAGTATTATTGTTCAACATAAATAAACTACGACAAATGTATATTACATAAATTATGTATAACATAAAAGTGTAACTTTACAAGTTATGTTTTACTTTTGAAAGGTAATGAATGAGATATGTGACCTTGACCGGTTTGTCCGATATCTACATTCAGACCTTTAATTCAAATTACACACATTTTACCATTAAACGTGATATTTCACATGCTGTCTCTTTCTTTTCACTCTTTGCATAAATAACCTATTTTTAGCTTATATTTCTTGGCAAAGTTTATGAATTTATAATTGTATGATAAGTAACAACTATGCATTTTTTTTCAGTTATAATCTGCTTATAATTAAATAATGTTGTGAATTCACTTAATTAAATTTATGGGCATGAAATTTTGTGGTCTTGTAATAAAGGGCTTTTTCGTCCGCATTTCTTAAATTCTGACATACATTGTTTACTTTTGCAAACAGCCAAATGCAAATAATGTAATGCAAAATAATATCGAAGGAGACAAAATGAAATTTCATTTCATCCGAGTTAAAATGGAGTCCACTGAGGTCTAAAAGCATAAAAAAATAACAGTAACTAGGTCCTGACCAAAAAAAAAACATGTGACAACCCTTATAATTATAGACATATAGTTTTGGTCATAACTGACCCTACTATAGAGTCCTGGCATTGTGACAACCCTTTTGATTTTTTCAATATACCCATATAATCAAAGGGTACAAACAAACTTTTTACTTATGGCTTCACAGTGCACTTGTAACTGTTCATTGCAAAGTATAAATTAACCAATTGCAGTTATAATATTATCAGTATATTTACCAAGTTGTAACTGTAAAAATTTGTTCATATTCAAAAATTAAAAGTGAACAACACAACTCAAATTGCACCAATCTGAAGAATCTCAATCTCTTATTCATTATCTTTATCATAATTCATATAGCAACCATTAAATTATTACCTTTTTTTCCTAGAACAGACTGAAATAATTCCACTAAAATATGTGAACCGTTTTCGACCACAAAATTTTTTAATTTATGAAAACAAAAATAATTTCTGTCAGCAACTACTGTAAGCCCGAGACTTAACGATATAGAACAATAATGTACACAAAATTTACATTGGTTCAAACTGAAGATAACAAATCCCTCCCTGTCTTTCTACAACAAGGTATTTAAAAAGATAACGGCATTTATTTGTCAACATCTAAACAGTGGCAGTTCCATAACACAAGATTTAGCCCTGATAAAACATTTACAAACAAACACACAAAATGACTTTTGTCTAAAAATGTATACATTCTTATATATGAAGTAAAAAAGTCAAAATGCAAAATAAATATTGAATAGTTTAAATCTGTTAACAATTATCTTGTTTATTTTTCTAATTTCCAAAGACACAAATTTTACCAATAACAGAAGACAATTTTTTATTTGTCAATAGTTATGACAGACAAAAAGAAATAATCATACAATTGTTCAATGCAGTTGTATACGAAAAAATTGTTAATAATACATGTACATAAAATTTATGTCCATGCATGTATATAATGTGTACATTTTTCAAGACTAAAGACACGTACATGTATTACATGTACAATGTACATGTACACATATGTACAGCGCAGAAACTGTTGTAACTGATAATTTATACATGTAGTTTTAAAAATCTAAACAGAATTTTGGAATCGGTCACTGGTCAGGGTTATATTAAAGGAATATTCAAATTTTGAAGCCAATGTTCAGTAAACACAGTTATCTTCTCCCTGTAATTCAACCCATTCCCTTCAGTAGTTTTGGAGATACCAAATTGCATGCAAAAACTTTACCAAAGTGAGACAGATAGCTAAAGCCACTGAGGGTGACCCTGTTCTTCAAAATTTAATAATAAACTAAAAAAATCCAGTTTCAGCCAGTTAAGGACAATGTCAGAAACTAGACAGTTTACTGTTAAGATCAACATATAGGGTAACAAAATAAATCACTGGTGATGTAAATGGGTCAAAATGTGTGCTTGTTTTGAAGGTGAAAAACTATTTCAGTGATAAAATACCAACTAAATAACTAAGTGCTGACCTTGATACACAAAATTATCAGTTAATTTACTTTTATACAGTTAATAGGTTAAATTCATATCATTAATGTTGGAGACTGCAAGGGGGGGGGGGGGGGGGAATTGGTGTTCCAAGATAATAACAAAACTTCAGAAAAAGGATCTAAGGATTTTTGCAGAAAAAAAAATTCAAGCGTCTTTCACCTTAACTTAACTTAAAAAAAAACAGTATAATATTACATTTAATATAGAAATATAATTATGTCTACCTCAATTAAAGCTGCATGAATTTATATGTGGCCTCTTTTGATATACATTGTACATGTAATTTGATATGTGACAGACATGGCATTTAAACCATTATGACCCTTTCTCTCATTGGATGTTACAACTTATATCATCACATTGTGACCTTATATACATGTTATTATACCCTATATATAAAGTAACCTGTAACCAGAATATATTCATATTGAGCAAGATAAACATTCATAATGGCTGCCAAAATCAAGCTTTACTGACTGAGACCTAAAGTTCAACTCCATGCATTTCTTTAAAGGCACAAACAGGAACTTGAGAAAAACCACCAACATTCTACCATATGAAGCTTCCTCACATGAAACAATCCAAAGTCACTGGCAGGATTCGAACCCACAGCACTGAGGCGCAAGTGGTTTGAAGTCAACGACTTTAACTACTTGGCCAAGGAATTCCCCCATTTACATATAACAACATACACATATAATTATTTAACCATATTCAAATTTAAGAAACCTATTAAAACTTTCACCTTATCAGATGATCATATTATTTTCTTTTACCATCATAAAAAATCCATTTAGATTTATGCCTAAAAAATGGGTCAAAAACTTTACTTTTTTTATATTTTCTACTTTAAACAGTTTCAAAATTAATGTCAGTTGTGAAAACAGAAAAAACCTATAAACGGCTTTTCCATTTTGCAAAAATTATACCTAGGACATTGCGTAAACTGCTAACTGCAATGGTTTTCATGGCATTCACAGTAGTCTAGCTATATGTATTGCAGTTAGAGCATAAAGCCAGTTTGAGCCAGTCTGTGTCAGAAACTCGGGTATGACAAGATCAATATATAGGATACCCGAGTTTATAATTGACACTGATGATGTAAATCGGTCAATATGCATGTTTTTAAGTCAACCATTTCTATGATAAAAATTTATCTGTCAGCTTGATGTTGACCTTGACACATTATGTACACTTCAAATTATCAGTTCAAGTACATGTACTTTTATACAATATCTTAAATAAACCGATTCTTGAATTTTCATGACTGTAAGCATAAAATGACTCCATGGTACCCCAATTAGCAAATAGAAAAAAAAAGAATTATGACAAAGAACAGTTCATTGGCTCAATGCAAGACAATTCTATTACTCAATTTTCTTCAGAATTTTTTTTACATTTCCTTGTATAAATTCCTCATAACTATGCATATTCTGTTGAAAAAAAAATAATCATTCATTTCCAACTAATTTCTAAGTTTTCCACATTTTTAGAAAACACTCTATCTGCTGTTATAATATACTTAGTGCAAGACAATTCTAAGTTAATTTAATTACAATAGTTTTGCAATCACTATAAAGTTAAAAATTTGATATGCTTGACAACATATCCTCTTATTAGAATACTTAATAATTAATGCTTTATCAGTCTCCATCAAAAAATTTATTTTTTTTTGCTCTAACTTTGATGAACAAATAGTATACATGTGTTTACACATTTTGATTTACTTGACGTTTACCTTGTTTCCCACATGCATGTTTTATTTATAATATACAGATTATTTAACATACTCATTTAAAATGTGTAGTTAATTTTTAAACATTGCAATATAATAATGTGGCATGCATCTGAATACCAACAATAACGATTTACATAAATGTGTAACATTGATGTTTAAACATACTTAATATCATATACATGTACTTTACATGAATAGTATGCATATTTAATCAATAGTTACCTATAAAGTTTCACAATCCAAAAAAACGTGCTGCAAAATGAATACTCCAAAACTGGTCTACCTCTTTTTAAATGGTCACACAAGATGGTTTTAACACTATCTGGTGCATGAGGCAGTGTTTAGAACTACACAGCAACCCTAGATAGTGGTTTATATAATTATAAATAGAATAAATAAACTTTACTGATGAAATGGTTCGCAATTGAAAACTTTTAACTCCTTTCCCTGAATAATTAACACTTATTGACTATTCATGTACATGTACTGTACATGTATATACATGTATGTATAAATATAGACATGTATATAGTTTAACAGTATAATAATTATATTAGATGAAGATTAACCTTACACTGGGGTTAAAGCTAAACTTTTTTTTAGGTCAAACCGTAAGTCAGACACTCTTTATTTATTGTATACATATATATACCGGTACTGTACATAACATTCTAACTTATAACTTAGCCGGCTGGTCAATAGGTAGTCTGTAGAGTTTTGGACTGTGAAATGGACGGTGCAGGTCACTTTCGTTGTGATTGATCATGAAATCCTTTCTACGGTCATTTGCACTGCACCCCTGCCCTGACATGTACAGATTTTAGTTTCAGTTCCTTGCGAAAGTGAAGGTAACTAGTATTGGTAAACTGCTCAACAGCCTGCTAAGGAACGGTGCGGTGGTTGAACTGTGCTCTGGTAAATTCAATGTGGCTTACTGCCGTGATCCCGAGTGAAAACTACCAATACCACTACCACAAACTTATAATACAATTTGAGCCACGTCACGACAAAACCAACATATTGGGCTTGCGACCAGCATGGATCCAGACCAGCCTGCGCATCCGTGCAGTCTGATCAGGATCCATGCTGTTTGCTTACAAACTCTATAACAAGTAGAGAAACTGATAGCGAACAGTATGGATCCTGATCAGACTGCGCGGATGCGCAGGCTGGTCTGGATCCATGCTGGTCGCAAACCCATTATGTTGGTTTTGTCATGACACGGCTCATTTTATTTTACTATCATAATGTGACACTGCTGTTGGCTAAAGAATATGCCTAGGCACCCAGTGCAGACCAAGATCTGCTGGCACATCCTGGGAACATGCCATCTGATTATGGTCTGCACTGTTTGTTATGCACTCAGTTTATATTTTGAAATTTTCCCTAAAAATGATCAATGGTTATGTCCAGATGGAAAGATGGATTAGTCCATAAAAGATATTTAGTGAGTGTGGTAAGGGTTAAGAGTTATAGGTAACAGATGGTCTAAATAAAAAGTTTAAACACAAACAAAACACATTTTACAGGGCTTTTTTTCCTTCTATAACAGGTGCCGATATAAGGCCCCTTCACAATTCAAAATTGCACTTTCAAAAGTAATTTCACAAAATATTGGGACTTTGTCTTAGAGATACATTGTTTACTATTCAAGTTAATCATGATTTACGCCAATTTCAAGAACACAGAAATAGTTTTAATCAATTTAAATGGTTTAAGCACATGTTAACCAGGTTAAAGTACCGACTTGAAGACATTTTCTGGTTTCATAATGTCGCTAAATGCCAAATAATATGTAATTTTTTTCACAATTTTAAGACAAATCACACTTTTTTCACAAAATGAACAGGTCCATCCCCCTCCACAATTTTGACAAAAAATGCCCTGTTTTATATAATTTAAAAAAAGTAATTTACTAGAGATAGAGATAACAAGAGCCATCAGAAGGCAAGCATTAATAATGCTGGACTATTCTCAATAAAAATATATCTATAGATAATGAAGAGTTGTCTAAGATCAAAAGGGCCATAACTCTGTTTAAGTTATATGACTTGGATAAATACCTACTATTATGCTCTCATAAAAGTGTGTGCAGTTTCAGCCAATTCCCTTCAGTAATTTTGAAGATTATTATACCTTGAATTTGCATGCAAAACTAAGTGTGAGGCTGACGCCATCTCCCTTAATTCTTCGGATAGTTGAACTAAACATTGATTTCATAAATGGATGGATATAAAAATGAATATTGCCTGCTGCACAGTAAATGGGCCAATTTTTCAAAAATACATGTAATGCAGGCTTTCTCAAAAAAATAATTGCGTTTGCAATTCCTTTTTTGTGTTTTTACAAAGGACTTACTATAAAGCAAATGTGCCCAAAAGTTTTTTATGATAGCATTACCCAAAATATAGATACAGACATTTTTATACCCTAAAAATGCCCAATTTTACATGTAATGTGTTAGCATCTGATTTTTTGGTGTTTTTAGAATTAACACAACTATTATCTGTTCTAATTTATCTGTTAAATTTTTTTACATGCACATGGAAAATTTAATAACCATTCCGATGAGATATAATACTTGGTATATATCATCCTTGTTTTAAGCGTTAAGATGATTTTAGTAAAATCAGACTTTTGTAATGCATCAGTTTTTTCAAAATTCAGTTGTTAATTAAACAAGAATACCTTTAAGCAATTACAAATAAAATAGTACTTTATGGTCTTAATCTAATGAAATATGGATTAAAGACATATGTAAAGTACTTTCAAAACAAATTTTGAAAACAATATTACCATAGTATGCATTATAGTGGTGGAAAAAAAAAATTGTGATGAAAAAACTGTAACGTCCGTTCCCCCTCTTAATAGAAATATCCAATTTTAAAACAATACTCATAAAAAACAATGTTTCTGGTGCTTATTGATAGTCTAACTATGAAAATGTTACAAAAATTGCCAATCTCTTTGTTTATGAGAAAAAAAAATACAATAATGTAAAAGTTGTGTGTAACATCCGTCCCCGTAACATCCGTCCCCCTATATAAGGTGCTTATTAAATCTCATATTAACTGTAATTGAAAATGGAATTTTACACTAAAACACCAAAGTTACAATTAAAAATGAACAAATAACAGAAATAGAGGACTGAAATGATGTATTTCTGTAAAAATTATTATTTGTGAACAACAAATTCCTTAATGTTGAAAAAAAATCAGTTTTTTTTGCTCTAAAATAAAAAAAAAATACTTTGAAATAAAGTAAATATGTTATTTTTAAACATCAAATGGGCCTATAAGTTTATTTAAATAATATTTAAGCTTATAATCATATTAGTTCATATAATCTAACTTGTTTCACAGTTTATCTAATAAAAAAACATGCATAATATAACATTTGTACATGTTTGTCTACTAGAAGTTAAAAACACACCAAAATATCAATTGGTTGTTTAATTTAGTAATTTGTTATCAATTTCAATCAAGGAAATAAATAAACTTTGGTCTGTTAAACACATTTTTTATTTGGGGTGATAAAAAATTAAATCCTTTTAAAATTTCATGATTATGGTTATTCATTACTTGGCAACTTTGATATGAAAAAATTGTATTTAAAAAAAGTAATTTTATCTGTCAATAGATTTTGACTTTATCTATAATTATACAAACAAGGAAAGGAAAGAGATAAATTTATATCAGTACAAGGTTCCCTGTGTTTACAACTATAACTGTCCTTGACTGACTTATTTTTGCCCAATGTTTACAAAACTGAAGGTCATGATATTGTAAGCTCGCACCTGATTGGCTGAAATTAGCACACCCTCCAGATCGAGTTTATCATAATGCTAAAAAATTAAAACATTTGAACTTAGCCAATTTTCATAATACAAAATGTACAGTATTGTTTTTTTACATTCTAAAGGACTGAAATTTAATCTGAAATATATCATAAGCTTGAATAAACCCCATATATTACACTTTATTTCCATTCAGAAATGTATTAATAGTTTATATTTAAAGATATAATACCGTAAACTCATCTTAAAAGAAATTTATTGAATACTTGAAAATTCTTACAGAATTTCCTAAATTAAATAAGAAAATGCAAAAATTATGTGTGTGAAAATGCATTCCCTATTGCAATTTACGGTGAAGTTAATTTGGTACTTTAAATGTTGGGAAAAAAAGCTGTCAGTGAATAGTCAGTTTATTAATGACATTACATGTGCATATTTATACTGAGTCTACATGTATGTATTGTAGGGTTTAAAAAGTAACATACCTTCTATATGTGCACGGGTGAAAGTTGGAAATTTTGAGGGCAGCTCGACCCCCCTGCCATTTATGGGCGGCTCGAAACCCCCCTCCCATCCCAAAGATTTATTAAAAATCATGCACTTTACCCCCAAATTTGATTTTTTCAAATCAAGTTTTTCATCCCCTTTTGCAAATATATCTTATAATTTTCCCCCTAACTTAAGGACAGGGCTGCTTTTCCAACTTGTGAAAAAAAAGCCCTGCAAGCTAAAATTATCTTTCTAGTACATGTATTGAACTTGCTAGTTAATAGGAAAGTTGAGAAAAGGCTTGGTATTAAAAATACTTTATTCTACATCAACTTTATTCTGTATCAACTTTATTCAACTGACTTTTGAGAAAAGGCTTGGTATTAATAAAAATACTTCATTCTACATCAACTTTATTCTGTATCAACTTTATTCAACTGACTAAGTATGTTTGTTTTAATTTTTTTTGTTCTTTAATTTCTAGAGCTGTCTACAATGATGCAACTATAGCTCTCAAGTTTTTTTTAATATTGAAATCACTTAAACTATGATTACACTGTTCCTAATTCAAAGCAGGACAAATCCATTACATAATTTAAAAGGTTAAGGATTAAAGGAAAAACCAACACTGCCAAGGATGGATGAATCAGTCAGAAGTAGAATCCATATAGTAGATTGCTTATTCTTCAAATATTTAGGACAGGCTTACAGTAATGAAACAGTCCAGTGTTTTTTTCTTTATATAACTACTACCCGAAAAAGTACTATTCCCAATGGAAAAAAGACATCAAAATTCCCAATTTCTAATGTGAAAATTACCAAAATGACTGTTCAAGGCCATGAGAATTCCCTTAAATCATTTAAAATCAAAACATATTTATATAAATCACCACTCAATAGTTCTACCTGGACAGTGGAAGCTGTTAGCTGTCTTTATTCATTATGACTAATCTTATTTATAGCTGAAAATATGCTTAATAAAATTCCCAATTTGAGTCAAAATAACACATTTTTTCCCAATCAATCTGGTACCGGCACCATCCCCAAAGTAGAG